TCAAAAGGCTGAGAATTCTAGGGGACTCTGCTGTGGGTGCTGGAGCCGGGAGTAAGTGGCTATGTGTAGTCCTTTGTCACCTAATCAGATAGGGCTGATCTGCAGATAAGCCATTCTAATTCAAGTGTAAGAGTCCTTGAGGGTGGTAATTGGGGTCTTGCTCCTTGCTATTTGAAAGTGGTTCAGGAGCAATTTGGGCATGGGGTTTGGCAAATTTATTTTGTAAAAGGCCAAGTTAAAAAATTTGACCACATGTGGTTTCTTGCATATTCCTTTTTTTTTAACATTATATATATTATATATATAACTCATATATATATATAATTCTTATATATATATATAAAATTCTTAGTTTGAGGATCCAATCCACTCTGCAGGCAGTGTTTCCATAAATCCAGGTTTAGGAGCTTGTTCAGAAGTGTGGATTGTCAGGCTGTGCCATGGCATGATAGGCTGAGCCTCTGCCTGTGGTGCCGCATCTTGTTACATTCTGACTCTTCCATTTCTGATCTTGTAGCCAAGGGGATAGAATAACTTTCTCTCCTCCTCTGTCCTTCTCACTGTATCTCTGCCTTTGGAAACCCACCCCCCACCCCCCCCAAAAAAAAGAAGTGCAGAATTTGAGACTGGTCCTGTCTAGACCTGCTGATTAACATCCAAGCTTAATGATATGCCCAGGTGATTTGTTTGTAGACTAAATGTTACCCATTAATATGGCAGGTTACAGCCCTGACTGCACATGACAGTCACTTGGGATGCTCTTAAAAAATACCGAGGTCCTGGGACTGGTGCAGTTGGCTCAACTGGCTAGTCCTCCACCTCTAAGCACGGCATCCCATAGAACTGTCACTTCCCATCCAGCTCCCTGCTTGTGGCCAGGGAAAGCAGCAGAGGATTGCCCAAAGCCTTACGACCCTGCACCCAACCCAGAAGAAGCTCCTGGTTTCAGATGACAAAAGGCTTCTGCTGCCTTTTGTGGGGGGTGAACCAGCAGATGGAGGATCCCTGTCTTTACTTTGCTGTAAATCTGCCTTTCAAATTAAAATAAATCTGAAACAAAACTGCAAAGGACTGGCAAGTGCTGCATAGAATCCCAAGGAAACTGCAGAGAAAGAAAAAGATCTTCCATCTGCTGGCTCATAGATGGCCACAGTGGCCAGAGCTAGGCTGATCCAAGGCTGGGAGCCAGGAGCCTCTTGGGCAGTGAGGCCACCGTTAAGCTGCAGGTGAGACTAGCTGAGTTAGGAGACTAAGCTACGGCGTGGCACCCAGTGACACAGGAGAAAACTTGAGATCTGCTGACCACATTGTTTTTGCTAACAAAATTAATGCTTTACATCTTAATTAAACTCAATTCTGATACCAAGTATTAAGCCAGTGTAGCTAATTGGCAAACTCTGTTTCCTTCTGGAACTCTGTAAAGGAAAGAAGGAAATTATTTTTTACTTTCCTTTTCCTGCAACATGTGATTGCACCAAAGGAAATCATTTCAGTGAGCCAACATGTAGTACCTAATACAGTCCAGCATTCTGTGTGTCTAGCTGTGATTATGTGGGAGATAACCCATGTATGTTTGTGTATACACACCCCTGTTGTGTTTGTGTGTCACCCTGACCAGGCCCTGTGTCCTTGTAGCGCTCAGCTGCACGATTCTCACAGTGAAGTGTCTGAGGCAAATGGTCTCTCTTGGCTTGACATTCAGATTCCCAACCTAGTATGTTTTTGTCCCTTTTCAAGCATTGTGCTTTGAATTTTACAAGAATTGATGAAATGCGAAAGTAACCTCTCATTGGAACTGATTGAGTAGTATTGAGTTGCTGAACACAAAGGATTCTCATCCTTGCTGTTTCTTGGTATACTAAAAAAATGCTGTTACCCAATAATACTGGATTATAACTTACGATTCCTGTAGGAAATGCCATCACTTTATGTCGCAGCTTTGTATTGATTCAAAGTGGCATTGCTTGTTTTGATTACTTGCCACTTTATTACCCAGGCCTATTTTGATTTTGGTTTGTTTTGGTTACTTGCCACTTCATTTTCTAGGCCAAAGTAGCTGCACGGTACGTTGCAATCATAAGAGTCAAATCCAGTTGCAAGGTACCATCTGCCACTTTAAGATAATGTGAGGGTAGGCATTTGGTACAGTGCTGAAGATACTACTTGGGATGCCTTCATTTCCCATCTGAGTGCTGGGTTGGAGGCCTGGCTCCACTCCTGATCCACTTGCTGCTAATGTGCTCCCCATGAGAAGCAAATGATGGCTCGAGGTCTTGGCTCCCTGTTACCATGTGGCGACCTGATTTCAGGCTCTCAGCTTTGGGTCCTCCTTCTCTCTCTCTGTCTGTGTTTGTGTATGTATGTCTGTCTTTTTCTGTCCCTCTGCTTTTCAAATAAATACAAAAATAAAAATATCCAGTTAGGAATGTACTTTATCTTGAGTAATCTGGGGGTGATTATTTAACTGAAGGGGAGTTATTTATTATAAGGTGTTTGAAAGTAAGTGGTTACTGTCTACTTGATGGCTCAAAAATGTCCAGGTTAGTATGTAAATCCCTGCCTCTTGGCCTTCAGGATGACTAGTGGTAGTTATTACTTCCTTATTCAAGGCAGAAAGAAGATGTGTTTGTGTGTATGTAATATGTTTGTTTTTATCAGGTAAGCAAAAACTTTCCAAGAAGCTCTTAAAAATCGTCACTCTGGGTCAGAGCTCTGTGGAAGGTGGCCACTCAGCCTCCGGGGGGCACTAGACCAGTATTAATTTTTCTGTGCCTCTAGCAACACAGGCAAAGGGAAGAGATTGGGGGTAGAGTTGGGATGACCTATTTTAAGTGTTTCCTAAAGGATATTCATTTAGAAGACTTAGAGCAACATAGCAATGCTGGAATAATTTGGTAACTTTCCCCAAATAGATGTCTTTAAAAGGACTGCAATTTAATTTGGGAGTATGGATTTTAGGTTCATGTCCTATGTACATCTTTTTAATATTAGAAACTGAGAGGTGATTTACAGATAATAAGGTGTGCACATATTAAGTGTACATATGTGGATTTGGTAAATGTTAGCACCTGTGTGACCATTAGCAGGGTGAGAGAGCACCTCTGTGCCCCCTTTCCAGTCAGCCCGATGCAGCCCAGCCAGGTGCTGTGCTGATGTTTGTCATAACACAGTGGCATGGCTGTTCTTCAGCTTTATGTAAATTTAGAACACACACACACCACATATTTGGTATTTTGTGATTCACTTTTGTGGCTCACAGTGTGTTTGAGAATGATCTGTGAGGTGTGGCTCAGGTTTTACCTTTTTTGACCTTTTTGGGCGTGTCCCACTCTTGTTTTACTTTTTGTTTCTGTTTTGTCTTCCTAAATGAATGTGTTTTTTTAAACAATGCTAATCTTTTTGGAAAGATTTATTTAGTTTTGTTCTAAAATCAGATTTACAGAGAAAAGGAGAGACAGAGAGGAATATCTTCTGTCTGCTGGCTCACTCCCCAAGTGGCTGCAATAACCAGAATTGAGATGATGCGAAGCCAGGAGTCAGGAGCCCCTTCTGGATCTCCCATGTGGGTGTAGGGTCCCAAAGCTTTGGTCCATCCGACTGTGTTTCCAGACCACAAGTAGGAAGCTGGATGGGAAGTGTGATCCCCGGGACGTGCAAGGGAAGGATTCAGCCACTAGGCTACTGATGTCCCTGTGTTTATCCTCTCCTCCACTGATGGGGCCTCGAAGTTGCAGTTTTTCACTAAAAGAATATAAAGCTGTTGATTTTTAACTCCTTTTCACGCTTAATCATTGGCCTATATTAAGGACTGGACTTGGAGGTGAAAATACAGTGATTAAGCAGAGGTGTGGACAGTCATTGAGAGAAATAGTATATGAGTCCTTTCGAGCCCCAGGAGTACAAGGAGTCCTGCTCCGCCTGGCAGAGGTAAGGAAGACTTGTTGGAGTAGTCTGATTACAAATAATGTGAGGAAAGAAGTGTTTGAAGTTGAGCAAGCTGCTCTTGTAATCCAGGTGCAAGGTGAGGATCCAGACTGGGAATGAAGGCTTTTGTTTGTTTTTTATTATATCTAATTTTTCATTGGAAGCTGAGAATAAAGGAGAAAGCAAGAAAGAACTCAGACTTCTGGGTTTTTAATCTTAGTGACAGAGTAGTATGCTTCATGCTTGCACCAAAGGAATAAGGGCCAGCTTCGTGGCACAGTGCATTAAACCACTGCTTGCAATCTTGGCATCCTTTATCAGAACTGGTTCCAGTCCTGGCTGTTCCACTTCCAATCCAGCTTCCTGTTAATGTGCCTAGGAAAGCAGGGGAATATGGAACAAGTGTTTGGGCCCGTGCCACCTGTGTCAGAAACCCAGATGGAGTTTCTGGCTCCTGGCTTTGGCCTGGTCCAGCCGTGGTTGTTGTGGCCATGTGGGGAGTAAACCAGCAGATAGCCACCTCCCTTGTTCTGTGTGCGTGCATACACATGTGTGTGTATTGTGTGAGAGTGAGGGGGATAGTGTCTGTCGTTCAGGTAAATAAATTATTTCAAAGTAGGTTATACAGCCCTAGAATTTGGAACTGGAAGGTATGATGAGTAATATTTTGAGGAGGCCCTGCTGTGAGAAATGAAAACAGTAAAATAAATAGAAGCAAAGCTGGAAAAAAATGTCCATTTATAGTGGCCAGTATTTATAAAAAACAAAGCACCAGCTGTTGTGTGCTAATTGAAACTGACAGCTTCTGGTTTTCCAGTTTATCTAGAAGGTTGTGGATTCTTTGTGGAGGAAGGAGATCAGTGATTCTGTCGAGTGATAGAAAGTAACAGATGAAACGAGTATGCTCTGCCGCGGCCCTGGCTTGTCTCCTTCCTTCTCCAGAAAGGCTCGTGGTGACCAGCTCTTAGGAGCAGTGGGATTCCTGCGACTTCTGGCTTGAGACGATGGTGACGTAGACCATGAGTTTGGTATTTACAAGTTGCCATTTTTGTCTAATCCGTTGTTTTCCACCACAGGTGCAACTTCTTTCTTCAGCAAAAATGTGGGTTCAGAAAAGCTCCCAGGAAGGTTGAACCTCGGAGAACAGACCCAGGGACAAGTGGCGAAGCATACAAGAGGAGCGCTTTGATTCCTCCGGTGGAAGAAACAGTCTTTTATCCATCTCCTTATCCCATACGGACTCTTGTGAAGCCATTCTTTTTCACTGTTGGGGTAAGAGTTTGCACCTCCAGAGTTGTTACTCTGCAGCCAGTGGAGTGTTAAAGAGCTGCTTGGCCGGTTGGGCTCCCTTTCTGTAAGAGGTGGGAGGGGTCCCAAAGGTCTGTCTGCGTAGCTGGGCTTATGAATTCTGGTCACAGAATGTGAATTGAATAACTGTTTTAATCGAAAAAAAAAGTTAACTTGAGAAACAGATAAAAAGAACTCCCCTACTCTTTTTTAAGATTTTAAAAAAATTTATGTTTATTGGAAAGTCAGATATACAGAGAGGAGTAGAGACAACAATTTTCCATCATCAGCAGCCGGAGCTGAGCCAATCCGAAACCAGGAACCAGGAATCTCTTTCAGGTCTCTCATGTAGGTACAGGTTCCCAAGGCTTTGGGCCATCCTTGACTGCTTTCCCAGGCCACAAGCAGGGAGCTGGTTGGAAACTGGGGCCACCAGGACATGATCCGGCACCCATATGGGATCCCGGTTCATACAGTGAGGGCTTTGGCCACGAGGCTACTGCACTGGGGCTGAGCACTCCCCAGATGTTTTTAACACCTGGGGATGAGTCAGGGTCTTCCATGTGGATGGCTGAAGTCCAGTTACTTGAGCTGTCTCCCAGGGTCTACACCATCAGGAAGCTATAATCAGGGGCTATTATTGTGAGTAAAGCCACCCCCTGGTGTGCGGGCATCCTATATGACCTTGGTTCACGTTCTGGCTGCTCCACTTCTGATCCAGATCCCTTCTGATGGGTTGGATGAGGAAGCTGAAGATGGCCCAAGGATCTGGGCCCCTGCACCCATGTGGAAGATCTAGATGAAGCTACTGGTCTTGACCTGGCCCAGCATTGGCTGTTGTCGCTATCTGTGGAGGGAACCAGCAGATGGAACATCTCACTCTCTCTGTGTTTCTGCCTTTCAGATAAATAAATCATTTGTTTTAAAGGCAGCTGTAGTCAGGAGCTTGGGCTCTGGCTGTCAGCCTCAAACTCAGAGAGGAAGCAGGGATCTTTATTGCTAAACTAAATGCTGCTCGAATTACTGGTTTGACAATGTAGCTGGGTTATGGAAGCCCTGAAGAAGAAACTTAGGGGCTTAGATCTGGTGTAGCAGTTCAAGTGGTAACCTTTTGGTAGTTTGACTTTATGTGCAAATTTGCTACTGGAAATTGGCCCCAGATGGGAGAAGCTACTAAACTGGGAAATAATAAAATACTCTTTTCACTCTAATAAGTTTAACTATTTCAGGTGTTTCTTCAGTTTGTAAAAAGCAGTGAAAATGAAATGCTGTCCTTGGAAATATATATGGGTTTATTTCCTTTTTAAATTTATCATGTAACATGCCAAATTTTATAGTTTACAGGCTGTGCGTTTGGATCAGCTGCTATTTGGCAGTATGAGTCATTGAAATCCAAGGTTCAGAGTTACTTTGACGGTATAAAAGCTGATTGGTTGGATTCCATAAGGCCACAAAAAGAAGGAGACTTCAGAAAGGAGGTAAAGAGAAATAATGCTTTCTTTGTTTTAGTTAATCATGATTTTGAAAGTTTGGTTATTGGTATTTATATCATTTTTAATTTAAAAATTTGTATTAACATATAATACTTACACATTTCTATAGTATACGGTATGATCTTCCACCACAGTAATTCTGCCCCACCCGGCAGTTAGCATTTCCGTCCTCCTGTGTGTGTCTGGAGCCTCCCAGCTCCTCTCTTGCAGTTCTTTGCAGTGTATAATACATTATTGTGAGCTGCTGTCACCCCACTGGGCTGTGGGACACTGGAACTTGCTGCTTCTGTGTGCCCGTGTCTGGTACCCTCGCCCGGCCTTCCCAGGCTCTGTTCACTGTGTGAAGCGCTTTTAGTTCTTGGCAACATTTGGTCTTTGTAAAGTCAGCCCTTGTAATACACTTGTAATACTTTTAATATAGTCCTTTCATCAGAATAAATATTAATATTTTGTATGGCTGTCTGATACTTGGGTAATATTCCAGAAACTTTGTCCCGCTCCTCTTATGCGTTCCAGAGAATCACCACACAGAGTTTGAAACAGTTTTATTTTGGGGAGTATCCCAGGCCCACTGCAGTATAAGGTCCACTGTTTTATGGCTTCACCTTGCTGGATGGCAAGTTTGTCAAAATACACACTTGTCTAGTAGATTTTGAGATGCTTCGCAGTGGCATGTTGACACACTTACCTCTTGTGAAATGTCACTGCTGAGTGTTTCTGGCTCTTTTCAGGGAGGTTGGGATGTAAGAAAAAAGTACAAATACTAAGATTTTAGAACTTTTATTACTTTATATACAAATGGATACCACTCTTTTAACTGATTTTTAAAAAATAGTTATTGGGCCTGGCAGCATGGCCTAGCGGCTTAAGTCCTCACTTTGAACAATCCGGGATCCCATATGGGCGCCGGTTCTAATCCCGGCCATTCCACTTCCCATCTAGCTTCCTGCTTGTGGCCTAGGAAAGCAGTTGAGGATGGCCCAAAGCTTTGGGACCCTGCACCCGTGTGGGAGACCTGGAGGAAGTTCCTGGCTCCTAGCCCCGAATTGGCACAGCACTGGCCGTTGCGCTCACTTGGGGAGTGAATCATCGGACGGAAGATACTCCTCTCTATTTCTCCTCTTCTCTGTATATCTGACTTTGTAATAAAAATAAATAAATCTTTAAAAATAAATAAATAAAAAGACTTATTTGTTTTAAGTCAAATTTACAGAGAGAAGGAGAGACAGAATGATGTCTGTCCGCTGGTTCACTTCCAAAGAGACCCATCCGAAGTCAGGAGCCAGAAGCCTCTTCCAGGTCTCCCACGCAGGTGCAGGATCCCAAAGCTTTGGGCTGTTCTCCACTGCTTTCTCAGGCCCCAGGCAGGGAACTGGATGGGAGCGGAGCAGCTGGGACACAAACAAGTGCCCATATGGGATCCTGGAGTATACGAGGCAAGGACTTTAGCCACTAGGCTACCATGCTGGGCCCTCTTTTAAGTAATTTTTGAAAAATGATTCCTTGCAGATTTGCTTGCCCATACTGAGTGAGCACTCAGGCCACAGGTAAATATAATTTCGGGTCTGTTTGGTTTTCAAGCACTGTTGTTTTTATAGTATTTTGGGGAAAGCATTGGTGTGCTCCTGACCTTATCCCTTCCTAGGCACAATGTCGTCCTGGCAGGCTAGCCTCGGGGATGCCTTGGATGTATTTTAAATGAATGATAGCTTGATAGTCTCTAAGTGAGGAGGAATCATTTCACTCATTTCCCCTTAGACACATTTATCAAGCATGAAGTCTATTTGTTTTAAAGGCATTTGCTGCCAGAAGAGCAGTGGTTGCAGGTGAAGCCTGCAGGAGATTTGGTGTAAAAATGTACTTGAAGAGATAGTAAAACTGGCCTACCTCGTGATTCTGTATCCCGTAGAAGGCTATAGGTTTCCAGCACAGTTCTGTGCTATGAAATTTTCATACCCACATACTCTTTAGAATGTGATAAGTAGCACAAGTGATATATGTAATCCTCATCTAAAGATCGATTTGTTTGTAGTAGACTTAAATAATAGGTTGTAGTCATTAAAATCCCAGAACAGATGAACCAGTTTGTGTAGCTATGCAGAAAATGGTAGTTCTCGGAACCCTTTTGTGCCATTACGTATGCAGTGAGTAAGCTCTGGGAGCACACAATAATATAAGTATAATTAGAGAAATCAAATCAGGTGTGTATTGATCTCCATATGTGCTTTTTACTTTGGAATTTTTTTCCTGTAACAAGTCTTATTCAATTTCATATTTACAATATATTTTTCTGTATAAAAGCTTTTCTCATGAAACATGCCAAATGACAAAAGTTCAGAGCAAATAGTGTGATTAGCTGTTACTGTCCAGGTTTGGTGAGTGCCAGTGCATTGTCCTGAAGCAACAAAGGTTATTCCCAAAAAGTTGAGTGGGAATCCCTTGAGATATTAGGATTCTGTCTCTTTTTTTTTTATCTTCAGTACCACTATTGTATTAAAATGTAACAGCAGTTTAGCACAAATCTTTCACAGAATTTTGAAGCTCAGTAGGACCTGTGGGCTAATCACTTGTGTAGCTGTCTGTATCTGAGAGTGCTGGCTGGGTGCTTCACATCCTGGCTAGTCGTCACAACTAGGTGCTAGGTATTCTCTTGTCTTCTAGAACAGGGAACTGCAAGGTAGCAAGAGTTTGTCTGAGGTTCTAGAGCTCACCAGTGGTTCCGGGCAGAGGACTTAGGCTGTTGTCCGACCGTGACACACATGCCTGTGCTGTTCTGCCACATCTTAATTATCTCTGATGGTTACAGGTAATTTTTACAGGTGTTTCCTTTTTGTGTCTTCCTTTTCCTAGCCTGAAAGCATTTCACACATGATGATATGCAATTTTCCTTCTGTTTTAGATTAACAAGTGGTGGAATAACCTAAGTGATGGCCAGCGGACTGTGACAGGTTTGTGTTAGCTTACACGTTTTAGCCATTCAAGGGAAGAGAAATCAGACCAAAAGGTACAGTATGTCATAGGGAATGGCTTTTGTATATCGCCATCACCAATGGTTTAGAAGGCAGAATCTCTGTACCTTTAGGCTAGTGTCATCATCTGAGAAGTAGCTTAGTGTGAAGGTTTACTGCATGCCCTGTTGCAGTTTAAGGTGATAGCCATTAGATGACCAGTTTATTCTAGAATTCCAGCTTATGAAAGAGTTTACAAGTAAGAACCTTACACATTCAGGTGCTTTATACCCATTATATACCTACTTCACAGGTTTGCAAATGGGACATTTGTCTCCTCTTTTAAACATAAGGAAATAAACTTTCAGAGAAGTTGAAACTTTCAGATAAAGTTGAGGTGGAATTGCTGTTAAGAAGTTGAGCTGAATTTCAAAATCTCCAGGTCTGTCTCGTTGTAGAGCCAGTTCTCTCTCTTCCATTCTTCTGTCTTAGCAACCCTCTTGAAATGTGAGCATGCTGTGCATGATACAATGATCATTGTAATTTTTAAAAGAATTTTTAAAATATTTGTTTTTTTACTGGAAAGTCAGATATACAAAGAGGAAGAGAGTCAGAGAGGAAGATCTTCCATCCGCTGATTCACTCCCTAAGTGGCAGCAGTGGTGGGTGCTGAAGCCAGGAGCCAGGAGCTTCTTCCTGATCTCTCACACGAGTGCAGGTCCCAAGGGTTTGGCCCGTCCTTGACTGCTTTCCCAGGCCTATGAAACTTGGCAGAGGAGGGAGAAAATGATGTGTTCTAACTAGCAGTATCAGTGCAAAGTGCTTTGAATGTAGATGTGAAAGTTCCACTAGTAGTATATCATCACTGTTGGGTTGTCTCTGTAATATTTAAAAGCTGAGGAAATGCTTTTAGAGCTATTTGGTATCACCTCCAATTTATCTTACTTAGGTATTACCGTTATTTTCACAGCAGTGATTTTAGCTTTACAACGACTGTTAGTGAGGCTTAATAACCAATTAATTACATGCCGATATTCTCAAGGGTAAGCAGATGCCTTGTTACACCGTCTCCTTTCAACAGTGCCAGTAGTCCAGCTTGCCTTGCTTAGCTCTCCACTTGCTTCTCTTAGACTGATCCTCAATGAGGTTGGCACAGCTCCTGGTATTAATTGATAGATTCACTCCATCCTATTTTCCTTCCTTGGATAATAGATGTTTTGTTTTGTTTTGTTGTTTTGCATTTGACAAGTTCTCAGCTAGAGTGTTTCAAAGCTCTGAGACTAGCTTCCTGCTTCGTTTTGTAATATTTATACCTAAACAGTGGAGCATGAAAACCGTGGTAGCTTCAAATGTTTTTTTTTCTTCCTTCTCTTCTTTCTTCCTTTCTTCCCTTTTTCTTTCCCTTTCTCCTTCCTTGCATTCTTATTTTATTATTTATTTATTCAAAGAGTTAACAGAAAGAGAGGAAGAGTACAGGAAATCTTCCATCCTCTGGTTCACTCCCCGATGGCTGCAGTGTTGAAGACTGAACCACCCTGAGGTCAGGAGCTTCGTGTAGGTAGCAGGTGCCCAAGTACTTGGGCAATCCTCTGATGCTTTCCCAGGCCGTTAGCAAGGACATGAAGTGACACCTGTATGGGATACTGGCATTATAGATGGCAGCTTTACCTTCCATGCCACAATGCCAGCTCCAGATTTCTCGCTATTTTTGTAAAGACTTATGTATTTTTACTGAAGGAATTACAGAGAGAACTTGCATCCACTGTTTCACTCCTCAAATAGCTGCCACAGGCAGAGTTGGGCAAATCTGAGGCTGGGAGCCAGCAGTTTCTTCCATGTCTCCCATGTGGTTACAGAAGCCCAAGTCCTTCAGCCATCCTTGCTGCTTTCCCAGGCCATTAGCAGGAAGCTGGGTCAGAAGTGGAACAGCTGGGACATGAACTAGCACCACAGGTAGAGGATTAGACTACACCATTATGCCAGCCCCTGGAACTCACTTTTCAAACATATACTAGGGGATTAGTTTTAATCATCTTTTTTGTTAGGTTGATTTTTGGATTTTTTTTTTTTAAGATCTTAATTGCTCAAAGTTATACTTGTACTTGATGCTTTTACGCTTCAGCAAGCTCCTTGTTCTGTTGATTTGTTCTGGAAGGCTGTTGAGCCTGTCCTGGAGGTCCCAGGCAAGCTGTCAGGACCATATTTTCTCCCGCCTTTCTATCAGGGGTGTCTTCCAAAACGCTTGGCAGACTTTCTTGTTTGTTCAGTAGAACACTGGCTTTCCTGCAATGGGATTCAAATAACCAAGGAGAAAGAAGCAGCTAACGTTTTCTGATCTGGGAGGGGAGGGGTAGAGAAAGATGGGGAGAGAGAAGACAGGAGGCTTTGCCCAGTGCCTGCAGTTTTTTGGCAGCTTCAGTGTTGGGTCCTGCTATGCCCTGTGCCCTTGACCCTGCTGCCCCACCTTCTGGAGTCTGTCCATTTTCCTCTGCTGTTTGTTTCCCGCAGGATTACCTTTAGCTTTGAGTTTTTTCTCCTAAACGCGTTTCTGTGTCTGCTCCAGGCTGAGGCCTCCTTCCCTGGCACTGGTGCTGCCAGCAAGGTGGGCTTCCCGCAGCACTCCAGCTCATCCCGACCTTTTCCTATAGCACTTGTCTCCTCAGGTGCCAGGGGACTTATTCCTGGAGAAGAACGTCAAAAGTAATACTTGATTGCCACTGAAGCACCAAGTACTAGGCTAGGTGCTTTAAATGAACATTGTGTCATTGTTACTAATTCTCTTGAGAGTCCTTCCAGTAGTAGTCCCATTTTTCAGAAGGGATAACCGAGGTTCAGACACATGAGTAGCTGAGATCAACAGCCAGAAATGGCAGAGATAAGAATTACAGCCACTTTGTGTATCAGTTGTCTTAAAGGAACTTATATATCAATTTCCATGTTCTCCAACAGTGTGTGTCATGTAAACAGGTCAGCTTGACTGATGAAGGTTGCTTCCAAGGAAAGTTAGATGTTCTTATCTCCAGGGAAGGTACAGAGAATGTAGTCGCTGCATTTTGTGGTCAATAAACTGTAGGCCTTTGCCTTCCTTATGGTGAATGCATGCCAATCTTTCTGTGTACCAGCTTTCTGTGACAGACCTTCCAGGTAGAGGAGCTGTGGAGAAGCAGGTTGATCTAGTCCAAAAACAGAGGGGATCCTCTGCTTAGCTCCGGGGGTCCAAGTGGAATAGTGAGTACTTCTTTTTAGGAAAACAGGAAAAAAGATGGTACTACTTTGCTTGGACTAAAGACAGACAGAAATAGACTGACATTGCTGCACCAAACTGTGCTTCTCAAATTAGTGCAATATTCTGTGCGTATGTGTGTGTAAGTGAGAGACCTTATTTGTCATAAAATGAACCCTTTAAAGTGGCTTTTATGATATACATAAAGTCATGCTACTGTAATCACCATCTAATCCTGAAACATGTCATCACTCTATGATAAAACTCTACACCCATTGGCTATCATTCTACTCCTCCTTACCCTTAGCCCTTGACAATCATAAAGATGCTCATTTTGCTTTCTCTGTGGGTTTGCCTGTTCTGGCCATTTCATATGAATGCAATCATGTGTGGTCTTTTATTTCTGAATCTTTCACTTAGTTGCTTTTAAGGTTCAGTCATGACATAGTAGATGATAAAATTCCATTCCCTTTAAGGCAGAATAGTATTTCATTGTGTGGCTATGGTTGTATTTTGCTTGTGTGTTCACTCGTTGGTAGACATTTTGGTCACTTCCCTTCTATGGCTTTGTGAATAACACCGCTGTGAACACAGAGCATATACATATCTCTTGTGACCATGCATTCAGTTCTTTTGAATATATAATCAAATATGGGGTTGCTGGATCTTACAGTAGTTGTATTTTTGTTTATTTGTTTTTTAGATTTAATTGTTTGAACGACACAGTTACAGAGAGAGAAGAGAGAGAAACCTAAAATGGCTACAGTGACTGGGGCCTGGTTAGGCCAGAGTTAGGAGCCATCTGGATTTTCCACATGCGTCACAGGAGCCTAAGATTGTGTTATTTTCTAGTGTTTTCCCAGGCACATTAGCCTAGGACTCAGATTGGTACTCATATGGGATGCTGGCACTGCAAATAATGGCTTAACTTGTGCCATAGTGCTCACCCTGTATTTTAAATTTTTGAGGACTCTCCTTGTTTTCTGAGGTTTTTGGGCCATTTACAATCCCATAAACAGTGTATAAGTTTTCTTTGTCGTATCTTTGTGAACTTTGCTTCCTTTTTTCCCATTCTGTTGATGGTAGACATTCTGATCATTATGAGACGGTACCTTGTTGAGCATTCTTTTAAGAAAAAATGAAGTGATTTGAAAGGCTGGTTGAGCTAGATCTTCCCTGGTTTATTCCTCAAATATAACACTCAGGTAAAAGCCAAGCCTTGTGTTTTCCTAGTATTTACTTTTCTTGAAGATTTTGAGGTCCCTTGCATGTGTGGATTTCAGATTTTCTTTGCATCAAAATCAGTTTAGCTTTTAATTCCATGCTTTAATAGTAACTTCCTTATTTTTATTGGGAAGACAGAGAGAGAAGGAGAGACAAAGAGAAAGTAGCTGCAATGGCTGGAGCTGAGCTGATCCGAAGCCAGGAGCCAGCAGCTTCTTCCTGGTCTCCTGTGTGGGTGCAGAGCCACCAAGGCTTTGGGCCATCCTCTACTGCTTTCCTAGGCCATGGGCAGGGAACTGGATAAGAAGTGGAGCTGCTAAGACATGAACAGGTGCCCATATCGGATACCAGCACTTGCAATGCAAAGATTTAGCCACTGAGTCATTGCACCTGGCCCTGCTGTGTATTTTCTTTCTTTTTTAATGAATCATTTCTTTTTTAAAGATTAATTTATTTTTATTGGAAAGTCAAATATACGGAGAGGAGGAGAGACAGAGGAAGAGCTTCCTTCTGTTAATTCACTCTCCTAGTGGCTGCAATGGCCAGACCTGAGCCCATCTGAAGCTAGGAGCCAGCAGCTTCTTCTGGTTCTCCCACGCAGGTGCAGGGTTCCAAGGCCTTGGACCATCCTCGACTGCTTTCCCAGGTCACAGCAGGGAACTGGATGGGAAGCAGGGCCACCAGGATTAGAACCGGTTCCCGTATGGGAACCCTGTGCTTGCAAGGTGGGGACTTCAGCCGCATGGCTATCGTGCGGGGTCCCAAAATTCCAGGTCTTGTCTTCTAGCTGCTTCAGGTGGTTGTCAAGCTGTGACTGGGAATATCTGTTGTTTTTCAGTCTTGGTTGTATCCAGGAGCCAAGAACTCCTGGTCTTCCACATGGGTGGGAAGGGGTCTAAGCAGTTTAGCCATACTCTGCTGCTCAGGTGCATTCACAGGGAGCTGAATGTGAAGTGAAGCAGCCAGCACACAAACCAGTGCCTAGATGGAATGCTGGCATCACAGGCAGTGGCTTTACCCACTATGCCATAGCGCTGCCCCCTGGATTTTTTATTAAGAGGAATAAGCTGTTCTGAAGAAGTAAATTGGGATGTGGGTGAAGGAAGTAAGCTCCTAGAGCACTTGGAGTTTCCTCGGGGTTCTCTAAAGCACGTGCCGGCACCTTGGCAGTTTTGTTTTGCCTTAAGATTTATTTATTTTGGGCCCGGCGTGGTGGTGCAAGTGGTTAAGGTCCTCGCCTTGCACGCCCGGGATCCCATATGGGCGCCGGTTCTATCCCGGCAGCCCCGCTTCCCTTCCAGCTCCCTGCCTGTGGCCCAGGAAAGCAGTCGAGGACGGCCCAAAGCTTTGGGACCCTGCACCCGCGTGGGAGACCCAGAAGAGGCTCCTGGCTTCAGATCGGCATAGCATCGACCGTTGCGCTCACTTGGGGAGTGAATCATCGGACAGAAGATCTTCCTCTCTGTCTCTCCTCTCTGTATATCTGCCTTTCCAATAAAAAATAATAAAAATAAGTCTTTAAAAAAAAAGATTTATTTATTTTGATTTGAGAGTCTGATTTATAGAAAAGTAGAGATACAGAGAGAAAAAGTGCTTGATCCTCCATCTGCTGGTTTACCACCACAAAAGGTCCCAAAAGCCAAAACTGAGCTGATCAGGAGCAGGAGCTTCTTCTTGGTCTCCCATGTGGGTGCAGGGTCTCGAGGGAGCTGCATGGGAAGGGCAGCAGCCTGAACATGAACCCTTGCCCTTTTCAGGCTTCATATTACAGAAATGTTGCTTTCACTTGCTTTCTTGAGCTCTCTGCCATGTGTATGGTATGATTCTGTAATTATGGCAGGAAATCTTATTCAGATGAGTTTTAAATTGGGCTTTTCTTTGCTCTTATTTTTCATTTGTCTGAATTATAAATTTTTAAAATTATTTTCTAGGTATCATAGCTGCGAATGTATTTGTATTCTGTTTATGGAGAGTTCCTTCTCTACAGAGGATGATGATCAGATATTTCACATCCAACCCAGCCTCAAGTGAGTCTAACTTACGTGGCTTTATTTTGAAGTGGGGAGGGTAAGAAAGCAGTATGTTTTGTATTAATTCAAATACTATAAAAAGTTGAGTTACCATCAGCTCGGCCTTGAATTGGTTGCCTTTATGGGGTGCTGGTATTCCAGGTAGTGGTCTTATTCACTACACTGCTGGCCCCTCAACTTATTTCTCTTCCACATTTTCAACAAACTTTTTAGTTGCCTGAACTGTGCCTTAGACATAGTAATTATATAATTATTTTTTGATGAGTTAAGATTATTGCATGTTTATTCCTTGAGGAAAATATTATGTAGTTTTGTATCTGCGGTTGAAAAAAAAAATCCATGCATTGTTTCTAATTGACTTTTGCCAGAAGGACAACCTAAATTTCATTGATTTGTGAATTTTTCTTAGTTGCTTAATAAGTGTAAAAGAAAGCTTTTTACTACTTTGAAAAATGCTGGCTTAACCCCTCTTGTTTAAGTTTTCAGCTAGCTCTGTTTTAATTTCCCACGTTTGATTGGTTTCCTGATCACTGTGGCTGTGTGTTTCACGATTACCACACTGTTTCTCTCTTGTAGAGGTCCTGTGTTCTCCAATGTTGCTGTCGACATTCAGTCATTTCTCCTTATTTCACATGGCAGCTAACATGTATGTGTTATGGAGCTTCTCCTCCAGCATAGTGAACATCCTGGGTCAGGAACAGTTCATGGCAGTGTACCTGTCTGCAGGTAATACATTCTTCATCTAGGGACCTTCAGGAGTGTAAATGCTTCCACCCATCTGCCCAAGGGACAAAGGGAGTGGTTACAGCCATGTTTAAACTGAGAAAATGCCCAGGACACATTAGTTCATCAGGTTGGAGGTAGAGACGTTTGCCGAGGGCAGGTTGAGCTGCTGCCTTTCCTGTTTGCACATGGCTGATTTCCTAGTGCGTGGGTTGTTTGGGCATGTTTAATTTTGAATTATTGAGGAGAAATGGGAGTTGGGGATTAGAAGTTAAGTATGCCATTTTAATCTCACTACGCCTTGCTTTCTTTAGCTCAGGCCGGCCCTTCTGTGGATTAGTGGTTCCCAGACTTCCCAGCTGTCTCTTTCATTTGGGTCTTTATTAAGTAATCTTAAATTAGCTCATTTCCCTTCAGTGTGTTCAGTTTCCAGAAAGCTTTAGATCCAGTAGGATGGCCATAATTGAATTTGTTTTTTCATCTTTCTTTTTTTGCAAGAATACATGTTGATGGCCATGGTCCTAGCAATGGCATGATTTCATCTCTCTCTGTTTTCTAAATTTACTTAAGCCGTAAGATATAAAAAATCAATTTTTAAAACTTCTAGTTTACAGTGTATCTGGCAGTTGTGCTAAGCACTGAGCTTCAGAAGCACAAGATATGAGGTTAGATCCTGTTTCTGCAACCGGCTGTGTGGTGTGGCAGAAATGACTGAACCTCTCTGGAAACAATAAGAATTGAGCTTTCCTGGGCCCTCCACGGTACATAACAGCTAAAGTCCTCACCTTGCATGCCCTGGGATCACATATGGGTGCTGGTTCTAATCCTGGCAGCACCGCTTCCCATCCAGCTCCCTGCCTGTGGCCTGAGAAAGCAGTAGAGGATGGCCCAAAGCTTTGGGACCCTGCACCTGCTTGAGAGACCTGGAAGAGGCTCCTGGCTCCTGGCTTTAGATCAGTTCAGCTCTGACTGTTGCAGCTGCTTAGGAAACAAATCACTGGATGGGAGATCTTCCTCTCTGTCTCTCCTCTCTGTGTATTTGATTTTCCAATAAAAATAAATCTTAAAAAAATAAAAAAAGAACCCTCCTTTGTTGAGGGTTGTTGAAGAATATCCTTGGCTTGTATACTAAGGGTCATTCTCCCCTGGCCATGAGTTGTGGTGCTGTGGATGTAGATGTTCTGGTTAGCTGCTGTTAATTACTGCCTCATAGGAAGTGGTCTTTGGAAAGATTTATCTTGAGCTCCTGTGACCTTGGAGCTGAAGGGGCCTGAAGGGGTCTGAAAGTTTAGCTGGAGTGCCTTCCTGAGTGTGTCAGCAGGCCAGTCCCAGACTCAGAGGTAACTGCAGAGCTGCAGAACATTCTGGCCCCTGTGTCACTTAGCAAGTCAGCCACGTGGGTCAGGGTCGTTTTTCCCTTGGAAAGATGGGAAATGAGGCTAATATTCTTCCTTGCCTCCCGTTGTGTGACCCAGACGGAAACTGAACGTTGTTATTCTGGGTGGGAGAGAGCTAGGTGTTTAAACCATTTTTATATTCACTTGTTATTGAAATATAACTTATTTCTCAGGTGTTATTTCCAATTTTGTCAGTTATGTTTGTAAAGTTGCCACAGGAAGATATGGACCATCACTTGGTGCAGTAAGTATTTCTAATTTAAACTTTTATTTGCTTTTTAAATTTTGAATCATTTTAGACAAAAAGTTATAAAATTAAAGTGTTTCTGTGTATGTTCCACCCCATTTTTAATCAATATCATGTAGAATCATAATTGTAATGCTCAAAATTGGGAAGTTAACATTCAGATAACACTATTGGCTAATCTACATCTGATTTAAAATGTATACATTTGTTGTGAAGTTTCAAGCTATAGCCTTAAACTTTTGGTCAAATATATTGTCAGTGTAATACAGAGCATGTCAAAATGAATAAGTCAGAACATGACTGAATTAAGCATTGGATAATTCTGACTAATTAGGGATTTAAAACTGATGGTATATCCAGTTTAATCGAGATTGAATGGCTCCTGTGTAGACTGGATGTGCATTATAATACTTCCAGAACCTGGGCTATGGCCAGTGGGCAGATGGCTAAGATTCTTGCTCTCAGGAGCCCATATTCTGGATTCCTTAAGAAAAAAAAAATGTTAATGTGTGTTATTTTTTGGGTGTATAATGGCAGATTTCTTGGTACATGGACATCTTTCTGTAAAATGTCTTTACAGACTTTGTATTAAACTTGCTTGTATATAAGTGCTGATACATTTAGCACAGTGAGGAACACGTGGTAAGAAAGGCACAAGCAGCAGATATTCAGCCTTCAACATAGGATAAAAGCATTGTTCCCAAATACTTAAATTCATCCTTTGGTAAATTGAACAAAAATCAAACCATTAGTTCAGGTATGATGGCATTTTTAATGAGAAATCTAGAAAACACTTTTAACAAAATTATGTTAAAAATATAAAGTGTTGATCTTATTGGCCTAATCATCATTTTTTGTTAAAAATGGAGACCATAGGCCCACCGCGTTAGCCTAGTGGCTAAAGTCCTCACCTTGCACTTGCGAGGATCCCATATAGGCTCTGATTCTAATCCTGGCGGCCCCGCTTCCCATCCAGCTCCCTGCCTGAGGCCTGGGAAAGCAGTCAAGGACAGCCCAAAGCCTGCCTCCCCTTGGGAGACCTGGAAGAGGGTCCTGGCTCCTGGCTTCCGATCTCTGGCCATTGCAGTCACTTGGGGAGTGAATCAACAGATGGAAGATCTTCCTCTCTGTCTCTCTCCTTCTCTCCGTATATCTGACTTTTCGGTAAAAATAAATAAATCTTTAAAAAAAAAAAATGGAGACCATTAAACTGTATTTGTCAGTTACCATATTGACACTAGGTTTCAAGAATCTGTTAAAGGTTGGTTTAACCATTTTGAATCTCATTTAAAACAGTTGTTTTTCCCTGCTATATTGTCAGGAAGTTTTTCTCTGACATTCACATTTCCAAGTTTATTTTTCTGTAAAACATAATTTTTTATAAAGATTTATTTTATTTTTGTTGGAAAGTCAGATTTACAGAGTGAAGGAGAGAAAGGGAGAAAGATCTTCCATCAACTAGTTCACTCCCCAAGTAGCCACAACAGCCAGAGCTGAGCCAGTCCAAAGCCAGGTGCCAGGAGCTTCTTCCAGGTCTGCATGTGGCTGTAGGGTCCCAAGGCTTTGGGCTGTCCTCAACTGCTTTCCCAGGCCACAAGCAGGGAGCTGAAAGGGAAGCAGAGCAGAGCAGCTGGGATACGAACTGGTGCCCACATAGGATCCTGGGTGTGCAAGGTGAGGATTTAGCCACTAGGCTACTGTGCCAGGCCCCAAAACATCATTCTGAATCTTGAGTGAACAAATATGTAATCAAGCATCTGTTGGAGGAAGCAGTGTCTTATGAAATGTTTGTTAAATAGGATCTTTTTTGTTTGAAATATGAAGTTTTCCTAGGCAGAATTTGCTCACCGGTGTTATGATGATCTACTTGCAGTGACTTCATTGATTTTAACCATAAGTGACCTGATGTCTATATAAACAGAATTCTCTTGCTAAATTAGGACATTATCTTGAATTTTTTCCTTACCAGATAACCATTTATGAAGAAAAAGCCTATAGAACATTTTCACTTGATATGTCTTGCGCTTCGCAACACGGTTCTTTTATAGCTTTCTTGAGTGGCTGCTGTAAGGTACTGCGTCCTGTATACGTTATTTAGAGCAGTCTAACGGTCATGTCATTTTTACCAGTTTGAGTGAAATATAAAGCCTACCTCGTTCACATTCATATCTCCTGCCAAGTGATGATTGTTTTACCTGCCCTTACTGCATTCATTTTGTTAGTGTTGGAATTTGCTGTAACCACTAAGCATAATTCTTAAAATTTAAAGGGAAAAGAAAAAGTTACTGTATTTGCACATGCTTTTGTTTGGTCTCCTACATGGGTGGCAGGGACCTAAGTACTTGGGTCATCTTCCATTGCTTTTTCAGGTGCATTTGCAGGGAGTCACATAGAGCAGCCAGAACCTGGACTGGTATTTCCAGTATGGGAAGCCAGTGTCATAGGAGTTGCTTAACGTGCTGTGCCACAATATTGGCCCTTTCAATCTGTTTTGCTTTTGTTGTTCAGTTTGGGTAATATCTCTTTCACTCTTCTTTACTTTCTAGTCTTACTTTATTTTGAGTTATTTATTTGAAAGACAAGAGACTGATTTTCTGTGCATTGATTCATTCCCCAAATGCTTGCAACAGCCAGGTCTGGACCAGGCCAGAGCCCAGAGCCAGGAACGTCATCCTGGTCTCTCACCTAGGTGGTCGGGGCCCAGTCACGTCCCGCTGTCTTCCCAGTGCACAGGCCAGGAAGCCAGGTCAGAACCGAAGTAGCTGGGACTTGAACCAGCACTTTGACATGGGATGTCAGCATTGCAGGCAGAGGCACGTGGGTGATTTCTAGTGTTTGTCTCCAAGTTCACTAGTGGTTTTTTTTTTTTTTTTTCCCTGTCCTTTCCATTTTGCTTTGAACCCATCCTTTCAGTATTTTTACTTTGGGTATTACCTTTTCTGTTTCTGAAGCTGAAACTTTCTGGGTGTTTTTTTGCTTTTTCCTTTGCTGAGCCTTTTTTGTTGTTGTTCTGTATTGTTTGTTTCAAGCATGGTTGTACTTGCTCATTGAAGCCTTTTATGATAAATACTTTACTGGTCAGTTCTTGTTTCAGTTTGGGCTTGATGTCATCTTTTCTCATTCAAGTTGAGAGTTTTCCTGGTTCTTGGTGTGACAGGTAATTTATAACTGAATTACAATTTTAATTTGTCTCATGATTTGGGATTTATGTTGTCAACTTTGGATCTTTAAAACATCTGTTGTAATAGACCTGCTGGCTGCTTCTTGGTGAGAGGCAGGGAGTGCACTGCCAGCTCCCCATCTCACCTCCAAGAACATGTGCTTCACTGAACTGTCCTGCCTTTTTACTTTCCTTTAATGAGGGACAGTTTCTGTGTTTGGATACTGACAGGAAGGTGTTTGTGGACTGTCACCTAGAACTGTTTTCAAGAGGTGATTGAGACCTGTCTCTGCCGTGAACTTGGCTGGCAGACAGGCTAATGCTCAAGTGCTTGCCTTTCTGCTCTCTCCCGTCCTCTGACGGCGCGGTACGCTCCAGGTGCACACTGAGTCAGCGTTCCATCAGACCGAGTGCATTGACTCCCCGGCTTCTGCTGCACTGCCTATAGCACTTCATCTCCTCCCCCTGGCCACTGTCCTAGTACAGGTTCCTGTTGCTTGTTAGTGCTAGCGTACCCCTGTGCTGCCTTAGCACACTGCACCTCCCTGTTGTCAGAAGGCAGGCTCTGCAGGGCTTATTCCCTTGGTTTCCTAGCATCCGGCGTAGCAATGCTTGTGTATCTGAAGGACTAACTATTTATCCTGAAATTTTATTTAAATTGCATGGTAAGATCCATTTTCCCGAGTAGTCTACCACTTAAGGGAATTGCAAATGTGCCCAATATTAAGAAAAATTAGATTAGTATCATTTATCTAGAGCATATCTCACAGGCATTAACTACCCACGTTAAAATAAAAACAGAAACAAAACAAAAAATAAATACTCGAGTTATGTGCCAACCAGGAAAAACAAAGACAATAAAAATTAAATCTTTGCAGTGATAGTAATTGTTCACCTGTCACAAGAAGTGGTTGACGTGTTGGCCATCGGTTCTGGTTTTAGTTTTAGATTTCTATTTCTAGAGAGGAGGTGGTTAGAAGAAGGCCTGTGTGTTCCTAGGGGAGGCTGTGGGGCGGCCAGTGTAAAACTACAGGGTAACTTTCATTCAGGTTTTAACGATAATGTTTAGTAGCTTTATACAACTGAATACAAATTTCACATGCAAGTTGAAGATAGAGCCTTGTACTTGGAGGAAATTCACCCATAGGGCTTTGGGCTGCTTGTATTCTTTGTGGTAGGGAGTGCTATTGGACAAGCTTCAGAAGTAGCTTATTGGGCATTAAATGAGGTGACGTCAGTGGCACACCCCATGCTGTCCCCGAGCTTCGGGAGCCCTTCCAGGCTTACCAGTGTCTGCGGGATGGCACGTTGGCAATCTGGAACATCTGGGGGCCTACCTAATGCTGCCAAGTGGGAGCATTGAAGCTTTGTGCTCCCCTAGAAATGAGGGTCAGAGAAACTTGGCAGGTTCTACAACCTTTGTCCTTTGTGGCCTCTGACAGCCACACACAATGTTTCCTGCTCTTACCAGTGTGTCCCTTTGCAGTCTGGTGCCATCATGACTGTTCTGGCTGCTGTCTGCACCAAGATCCCTGACGGGAAGCTTGCCATCATCTTCCTGCCCATGTTCACCTTCACAGCGGGAAACGTAAGTCCTTTCCCGGTGTACACGGGGACCACCTTGCCTGAATGCCCACACTGCTGTCGGGATTGTCATGCTGAGGAATCAGTATTGTTTCCCTTCTGTTCTCTCTTGCCGGCGTCCAGGCCCTAAAAGCCATTATTGCCATGGACACAGCAGGAATGATCCTGGGATGGAAATTTTTTGATCATGCAGCACATCTTGGGGGAGCTCTCTTTGGAATGTAAGTTGGTGTGTAATGGGTTGTTAATCTGCTTCCTGGGGTCTCCACTCACCCCAGGAGGGCAGAGAGGGCATGCTTGACCATGTGCTAGAAGTGGGAACCAGTGGGCATGGGAGGGTTGGAGAAGCCTCAGTGTGGTTGCTCTGACCTTGGCCCTGTTTACCATATGGACAGGATGGAGAGTGGGACCCTCCCCTGCCCTGGTGCCTTGTAGGGCCAACCTGTGCTTCTGTCCTATACCTAACCCAAGTCGCTCCGGATCTCAGCCTGTTCCCTGGTCTGGGCTGTCCTTTCCTCTCCCGAGCTGTGGGTCTGCCTGCCCACCTCTCCCTTGCTGCTGCTGGCCTCTACCTCTCTAGCACTTGGGCATGTGTGCTGAGTAGTGGGGGTGCTTGCTTGGCTTTGCTGAAGGCCTGGATGGGAGCCTGGGAATCACAGGCCTGGGGACCACCTAGCACACACAGGTCCTGAGAAGTGACCCTTACACTGCTCTGACTCGCAGGCAGTGGGACATGATCTTCCCCAGGCTGAGCAGCAAGGCTGCCACCCCATCACTCTACACTGAGCACAGCTGGTGTGTCAGGCTTTGCCTGAGCCGAGGCTCCTCTGTGAGTTCCCAGCCCGTCTGCTGGCAACCCCGTCAGCGGAGCTGTCCATCCCATGGGCCCAAGCCTGTCTTGTCTTGCAGTGCCCTCCAAGCCTGTCTTGTCTTGCAGAAGTGTTGCCCTTTACCCTTGCTTTGCCTTGTTTGCCCTTTTACTTTGTTTCATGACTTTGCATTTTGTTTCATGACAGTGGGACAGTTGAGTTTTGTGATTTTGAAAAGGAAATATAAAAATCTATTCTAAATGAGGTAGTTGTGCCCAGTAGGCGTTGGCAGTAAATGCCATTATGCCATTTTTAATTCTCTGTGATGATTAAAGAGTAGCACCGGTGGGCTCTAGCTGCAACGACAGCATGTTATAAATAGTAGAAACTGACCTGGGCTTGCCGGTGAGAGGCATAAAGACTCAATGTAGAGAAGGTCCTATGTGGGGATCCTCCCCCAGGCATTCATAAAGGATCTCCCAGCAGCTCCTGAACCTCAGAGCTATAATTATCAGGCCTTTTTCTAGTCTGGAAATTGGAGCACTTGGGTCTGAGAGGTGGAGGATTCCTTTTCTCTCTGCTATTTCTAGTTTCAACTTGTCTTTATTCAGTAGAGCTCAGTGACATCCACAGTTCATCTGTAGGTTTAGAAAGCTACGATCTTTTTGAAGGCCCCAGACTTTGTTGGCAGGCCAGGTTCCCTGGTGCCCGCCTATGCATTGCCCTCGCTCTGTGTCACGGAACACGTATGGTGGTCTTCACATGCCACATGGGAAGCTGAGGACTTGGATCCTCATAGTAAGGAAGGGAGTTTGTCCAAGGTCACATGACTGATGATCGTGGCCCCGGGGTTGCAGGCAGCGCTGGGCCACCGTGCTGCTGTGGCAGGGCAGGACACCGTGAGAACTGGGCACTGGTGAAGTGTTTTACTGAAGTGAGTGCCTGGAGTGGCCATAGTGGCTGGCCCCAACCTGGGAGCCAGGAGCCTCTTGTAGGTCTCCCACATAGATGCAGGAGACCAAGGACTTGATCCGTAATTGGCTGCTTTCTTAGCATTAGCACGGAGTTGATCAGAAGTGGAACAACTGTGAGTGTATGCACACTGTGCAAGTCACTAAGCCTCCATGCCTCAGACCCCTCAGCTCACAACATCAGGCCATTTTAGGCCGTTTTTATCAAGAGAATGAGAATTGGGACTGCATGCTATAGGATAGGCAGCGTGTGGTGCAGCTGACCCATGTGGGTAGCCAGGTAAGGTAACAGGCCACTGTGACTGCCAACACAAGTGACTTGTCATCCTAACACCTCACGCTTGTCCAGGTGAAGAACCAGCTTGCCTTGCTAGTATGATAAGCCTGATCAGTCAGTCAGAAACTGTTAGTACCCGGGTGGACCTCCCCCTGTCTGCAGTGGACGCTTGCAGGGCTGTGTGGGCGAGGCAGTGCATGGGAAGGGCTCACAATGCCCAGCATTGCCCCTGGGCTGGCCTCTTCCCTGCTCCCAGGGCCTGTTGTGAAGTCCAAGTCATGTACTGCACTCAGAAGTTACTCAGCCCCTTTAATAAGCTCCCCAGTAAACAGCAAGGACATTTGATTTAAAGACAGTGGCAACTTGATGTGGTCCTGGTACTTGCCATGTGTTATCTGAGTGTGGGACCTGTATGTTTTTTGTTTCTGCAGATGGTATATCACTTACGGTCATGAACTAATTTGGAAGAACAGGGAGCCTCTGGTGAAAATCTGGCATGAAATGAGGACTAATGGCCCCCAAAAAGGAGGTGGCTCCAAGTAAAACACAGGGCTTGGCTGTACTAGCTAATGTGTGTGGCCTCTGGCCCCAGCGCTTGGCCCCGGACTGACATGGTGTGGACCTCGCCCAGCAGCGCAGCCACCCCAGCAGTTCATGCCGCGCACCCCACTCCACCCGGACACATCTTCTGAGCAACTGAATTATGACAGTGTTGTGAAATAAAGGTTTCTATCTCTAGTTTGTAAACAGGGGACACGTGGTTCTCTGAGGGCACGGGGCTGCTGTGTCTGGCAGGGCTGGAGTGTGGAGTTGGGGATAGCACTGGGCACAGGCCGGGTGGCAACGCTGAGGCCTGGCTTCTGCCTGCTGCCTAGCAGCCCCACGCCCCACGCGTCTGCCTCCCCAGCCCCCCTGCCGCCTGGCTGATCTGGGCTGTGAGGCCTTCTCTCGGATGCCTTCCGAAATAGCAGCCACTGTCTTTCCTAAGCATCTCCAAGAAAGGTAAAGCTTTCTGGCAGTGAGTGGCATACACAAAATACTATTTTAAGATTTTGCTTTCTAGGTTAAAATTGTAACTAAATTAGAGCTTGACAGCAGTGACTTAAAGTCATACTTGAATCTGAGCCGAGCTGCATCTTATGTATAAAACATGCACTTTGTAACTGGAGTGTTTGCTGAGGGCATGCAGAGGTCGCTGGCACCGTCACCATCTCCCAGGAGTGCCTGCTGCCCCACAGGGCCGGAACTGCTTCCAGGAACTGCAGTGGAGAGCTCTCTTTCTTGGAAAGATCTGCAGGAGAGGTTTTAATCTTCTGATGGTCTCAGTGTCACCCCAAATCTGTGCCTTTGCACTGGGGAGGAGTGAGAGCCCTGAAGCCGGCCTTTGTGGCTCGGTGGCCCCTGGCAGGGCCCTGCTGGGCAGGCTAAGCAGTGGACTTCCAGAACAGGAGTGGGAGCCATGCCCATCCTGCCAGGGGCTCGAGAATCAAATGGCGGGACCTAACAACCGTCTGGTCTTGGCCATTCTTGGCCTCCTTGTTCCTCCCGGTCTTGTTTCTCTTGCCAGGAGCTCCTTGTTCCTGACAAGCACAGCCGGTGTTTCCTGCAGGAGAGAGCGCACGCTCCCTCCAGCCCTGACTGCCTGCAGCAGGACAGCTGGGAGGCACCGCCTTTGGCCTATACTGTGTGACCTTCGAAGGCGTTATGCTGACAGCCCTGTGGCATGAGGCTGGGAAGCTGGCTGTTCACAGACTTGCCTTGCTGGGGACCCACCAGGGCGCGCCTGTGCTTTGTGGCAAGTGGGGAGGTGGGATTTAGAAGTCACAGAAATACTTCCCAGGCCATAACATCCCTCCCCGCCTGAGCCTCCTCTGAGGGCGGCCTCGGGAAAGCGAGCTGGACCTTGTGGTGCACAGCTCTGGCTGGGGCTTGGCTCGGGCCCGCACCCCCCTGCCTGCCTAGTAGTATGTTTTCCTTTCCATGGTGACCTCTGTGCTGGTGCTGGTCACTGCTCTGTGGCCTGGGAGCTCCCTGGGCTGCACCAGCCCCTCCCCCAGCCTCTAGGAGAGGGTTTCCCAGGAATGCACCCCTGCCTGTTGCAGTCCTCTGTCTACACCCTGCTTGCCAGGTGTGGAGTGCTGCTTGACTCCAAACTGCTGAGCACCTCTGCTCCTGGATGCCCCTTGCTCAAGTGCCCAAGTGCCACTTCCTGTCTGAGGAATGGCACCCATTGGGGAAGTCCGGCTCCTGGGAGCCACACTAGGTGCCCCTCTCTCACCCCTGCTGTCTGTGGCGCATGCCTGTGCCACTGTGCAGCCTCATGGCACCTGCTCCCCTCCCTGCACTGTTGACTTCACCTTTGAGATGGCTGTCAAAGTGCAAAGCACAGTCACCCTGTGGCAATGGAAAACCTGTAAAGCCCTGGGTACAGCCAAGGGCCTCCACAGTCCCATCTCAGCTGCTTCTGGCCAAACTCCGTCCCCTCAGGCCTGAGCTGCCCCAACAGGAGGGTCCCCTCTCCTCTGCACCCCTGGTTTCCAGTGCGCATCTTCCACATCTAGCCAGCACATCCTGAGGTGCCCCACATTAACCATTAGCCCATAGGAAGTGCTGTGGTAGCTGCCAGAATGGCTAGCCCAGAGCCTGGCACAGTGTCCACAGACACAGCTTGCCCTGAGCCCCCAGAGCTGGCATGTCTTCCAGTGACCTCACAAGGTGCATATGGCTCTTGGTGATGTTTAGGACTCTTCTCTTCAGGGCAGCTGGGTTGTCACTTGGCTAGCAGGCAACCAAGACAGGAGTTGTTTGCGGAGCCGAGTCTGTTCTGGCTGACCCGGGCTGCGCTGCGGGCCTTGGCTGTGCAGACTGGAGGCTTGCCAAGTGCAGCCCTGCCATGGTGCCCAGGGAACTGGGCCAGCTGCCCTAGTGTATTTAGTCATTGATCCGCAGTGCATGCCCTGGGCATCTGTCAAATAGCAGAAAACCTTGGGGAGGTGCAGCCAGGGGAGCACAAGCCTACCACCCTGCAGCCTGCATGACTCCCCCTCGGTCTGTGTATCCAGACCCGGATGACTGCCAAGGGGGAGGCAGTGTTCAGATTTTGTGGCGGCTTTATAAAGCAAAAGCCGCCTTAAAAGGGAGGCTTTTACAACCCAGGGAAAGGTCAACTGGGGACTAACCCCAATCCTGCCAATCCACGCTGGAAACTGGATCGCTGCTTCTGAATTCAGCACGCTAAAGGTGGCTCCCAGGCTGCGTAGGCACGTGTTCTCCACAAGCACTGCCCGTCTCCTGGGTGACACCCTCCCCGGGTGCCCGGTACATCCCGGCACCGACTCGTGCACACCAGCGCTGCCTGCCGGCTGGGGGCCACAACTATCTGATGCCAGGGTGATGTCAAAGATGGCATGGGGGTGGGGTGGGGAAAGACTCTGGGCCCAGCAATAAAACATTCTCCAACTCGGACCCTTGCAGGGGTGCCCAGGTGACCGTGCCTTCTCCACCTCCTCTGGCCGCCCCGCGGCAGCATCCCGGTCAAGGCCGAGCCGCCCCCGCGGCCGCCCGCTCCCGGGAGACCCACCCCGAGCCGGGGGGCGGTGCTGCGGCGGCGCGGGCGGGGGCGGGGCCGCGGGCGGGCGCGGGGCGCGGAGCGGCGCGGTGCAGCGGGCGCCGGGGCCGGCATGGCGTGGCCCTGCATCAGCCGCCTGTGCTGCCTGGCGCGCCGCTGGAACCAGCTCGACCGCTCCGACGTGGCGGTGCCACTCACCCTGCACAGCTACTCGGACCTCGAGAGCGACGAGCCCAGCCTGGTCAGCGGCAGCGCTGCCGCTCGCAGGGGCCCGACTCCGGCAGGCGCCCGGGACTCCGGCCGGGACGTGCCGCTCACTCAGTACCAGCGGGACTTCGGCGTGTGGACGGCGCCCGCGGGGCCCAAAGATGCGGCGCAGGGACGCGGATCCGGGCCAGGCGGCCGCAGAGGCAAGTCCTCTGCGCCCAGTGCCCGAGAGGTCTACGTGCTGCCCATCGGCGACGGGGACTCGGCTGCCGCGGCCACCACGTCCTACAGGTACAGGGCTGGGGCTGGGAAGGTTGGGGATCTGCACCCAGTACGATCTCGGCAACTGCTGGCAGCCTCCGATGTCATTGCCTTGGGTATCCCGGGTAGGGCAGGCTTCGCCCTGGTCACTCTCTGTCCACATGCGGGGCGAGGGAGCACCTCCGCCGACGGGGGCTCCTTCACTGGCTCTCATCCTGCTCGCGGGCCTGCCTCACACTTAGCTGGGTGGGGACCCGCTTCCCCTTGACCGTGGTTACCGGGGGACCTCGCTGCAGGAGGGCACCACCCGACCAGCTCCGGAGCTCGCTCTGGGCAGAGCTGCTGCGCGGGGTCCCACAGGGTGGGTGCCAGGCGCTTGTGGATTTGGCTGTCACCAGGACGGAGCAGCCCGCAGCTCCTGCAAGCCTGGGGGCTTTCTCCTTTCTCAAGTCAGGCACTCTGGAGGCAGAAAACACGGAAACCACGAAGTGTGTCCCAAGCCCTCCCAGCTCATTTCCTTCTAATTCTTGGCTTGGGTGCACGTGCGAGGCGACCTTGTGCGCGGTGAGGGTCTCACTGCGCTCCAGGGTGTGTCTGCTCCCTATGGCTGCGTGTCCCTTTCACAAGCATGTAGTTGTGCCCATGTAGTTTTTCTGTCTACACATCTGGAACCTCTGGATATCTGCCTCTTACTCTATCTGTAGTTGCTTCACCTCCAGGGAATTCTGCCACAGCAGGGGCCCTTAAAGGTCGGGGCTCCGGGCAGAGGGCCCCCGTTCTGTGCGTTTGGGGGACTGGTGAGTTATCTATTGCCAACTACTGGGTGCTGCACTGGGAGGCCATTCCTGGGCTGTCAGCCTCGCACAGGTGCACAGCAGTGGGCATTGCCTTAAAGGCAATCACATGGATATGCCCATAGTCCAGGGCTTCATTTGGACAGGTAAGGAAGCTTGGACACTTTACTCTTTGAGTGTGTATTTCAGAGAGACTCAGAGCCCTTCCATCTACTGGTTCATTCCCTAAATGCTTGCGGCATCCAGGGCTGGGCCGGCTGAAGCCAAGAACCTGAATTTTATCCCAGTCTCCCATATGGATGCAGGGGCCCAAGGACCTGGACCACCTTTTGTTGCTTTCCCAGGCACATTGGCAGGAAGCTGGACTGAAGTAGGGCAGCCAGGACTCAAACTGGCACCTGTATGGGATGCCAGTTTTGGAGATGGTGGCTTTACCCCGCTGCTCCATGACTGGCTCATGGCCTTTTTTCAAATATGTACAGGTGTCAGCTGGGGTTTTCTGCTTGTTTGTTAATTGTAAAGAAGTAACTTCTGTGACGAGCAGCCTTGCAGCTAAATTTTTACTCTTAGCATAATTCGTTTGGGAGAAATTCCCACCTGTGGGATTAAAGGACCAGAAAGCATGACCTGTCCTCCTGTGTCAAGGCCTAATTCCACATGCAGAACCCATCCATTCTACATGACTCCTGGATCCCCCTGCGTGACTGAAACACTAGAATGTTCTCTTGCCTAGCCATACATTTTTTTTTTTTGCCCCTAAAAATTTATTTCCTGTTTTTGGAAAGGCAGGCTTACAAAGAAGGAGAGAGAGTGCGAGAGATCTTCCATTCCCCAAGTGACCACAGTGGTTGGAGCTGAGCCAATCCAAAGCCAGGAGCTTTTTCTGGATCTCCCACATTAGAGCAAGATCCCAGGCCATAAGCAGGGAGGCCATAGGCCAGACTCAAACTGGTGCCTATATGGGATACTGGCTGGCACTTGGACGTGGAGGATTAACCCTTTGAGCCATCATGTTGGCCTTCTAGTCATGCACTTAATTTTTTAACGCTTTTTAAAAAATGTTTGTGTTATTTTTAATTTCTTATATACTTTTCTAATTTTTTATTATTTCGCCATGCACTTCTAAGGAGGTAGCAGGGGAAGGGTTTTGCAGCCTTTCATTCACTGATGGGAGCTTAAAGCTGAGGCAGGAAAGCTCAGTTGGGAGCGGCAGGCACAGGACTGACACAGAGCCCAGCATCCAGACCCCAGCTGGCATCGTGATGGCTCTGACTTCCCCATGATCTGACCCAGTGGAGGGCCAGAGGTCCTGGTGTGGGGCCTCTTTGGTAACGGCCTGGGGTGGGGGGAGGTGGGGAAGCTGCTGGAGCCCTTCCACTGGTCCTGACAGGTGTTCCAGTTTCTTTTCAGGGTTTCTCATTTGCTATTTTATAATCATTGCTGTTCAAAATATATTAAATTAATGCAGTGACACATTATCATTGTAGAACAAACGCAATTATAGTTGCATTGTGTTAATCTGTTGATGTTTATGCATGTATACATACATATCAGACATTGGTAGAGGGCTGAGAAAGCTATGCTTGCCCTTACTGCTAACGGTCGCCTCTAGTTCCTGCTAGCTCAGATTGGGTCTTTTACTCATCCACGTAGGCATGGCCTTCTAATTTACAAGTTTTCCCTTTTGATGACTTCCATAACTTTCAGAGGAATTTACCAATCATGAGCTTGATAAATCTGTAGCCGTTCTTGTTCCTTATGTTTTAACAGTCATAAATGTTCAGGTTTGTCAGAACATGTCTCAGTGAAGACAAAGCCATTTTTTATATTCTTTGCATTCTATGTTTTAATAATACAGTTTGACATGTACATATTTGTACACATCAATGTGAGTTTTTTAATTAAAAAATGTACAAAGACTGAAAAAAAAAAAGAAACATGAGCTGCCCTGGAGGGTAGAGCTTCCCCTCCCCAAATACCTGGGCTATCCGTGGCCAAGGACCAGCGCTGCGTCGCATCTCTTGTCCGTACCCAGGTGTCCTGTGAGGCCCGCCCTGACCTGCTGCGGGGTAGGCAAGGCATGTGACTGCCTTCTGTGCTTTGGTGGCTGCCGGGCCTGAGCTCAGCACTTTAGTTCCCAGGCTCCAAGATCACTGTCCGCAATCCAAGATCGAGCAGAGGAGGGAGAGGAACCCTGGTCTGTCTGCCCTCTGAGACTAACCCTGGAGCCTCCAGGGGATAGGCCCTGGGGTGCAGCACCCAGCAGGGTGAAGTGCTGGAAGGCAGGACTAGGACCCGGGAAGCATGTCCTACTGGGTAAAGCAGCTGGTACGGGATGGCTCTGAAGCCATGCTGAGAGCCCAGCCCCCATTCCTTGGTCCCACGCTCCGCAGTGGGAGGGGGCTGCTAAGGACAGGTCAAGCTGGGCCCGAGCCATTCACTCTCCTCCCCTTGCCTCAGGTGATTATAGGTCCTAGGATGCCCCATCCCAGTCCCCCCTGCAGCCCCAGCCACTTCCTGCTCTGGGTCTCTGGCCACTGCTGGCACAGGCTGCCAGATGCCATGCTCCACTCAAGCATGGGAGGCAGGGCGGGCACGGGGGCATGCTCAGGGCAGGACCTGCCTCCCTGGGAGAAACAGGGTGGCAGATGGTGCGGGCAGCTGGGTTTCAGGACTTTGCAGCTTCAAAAGCAAAAGCCACCTGCTGGGGCCTGGCACAGCCCTGCTTCGGGCTGCCCCCACAGCCTCCTCATGCACTGTCCTTCCTACCTGCTCCTCCAACACTGCCGGCGCTGAGCCACTGCAGCCACGTCAGGGCAGGCAGCTTTGTTGACCTCGGGGCTTGAAGCCCCCCAGTGCACCTGGGGACACTTTCCTATGGAGCAGGGAGGGCCTCAGCCAGGTGCTCCTGCCCTCCTCAGCTCACCATGTAGTGGGGGAGTCGCTGGGATTGGAGCAAGGGAGGAGTGCAGTGTTTTCATTGTGAGAAATTACTCCTGCCTTGGGGGGAGTTGGCAGGGTCACCCTTTGTCTCACTAGTCCAATCCCCAAAACCTGCTGAATCAGGCCAGCTTGTCACTTTATGGGTGGTCACTTCCGTGCATTCTCTCTTTTGCATGAGTTAATATTTCCTTCCCCTCCCCGCAAAAAAAAAAAAAAAAAATTCTACCTGGAACACTGTCTAATCCTTCCCACTCACAGCCAGGTATGGCACATCTTCCCTGTGCTGGCCACTGTCCGGGTTGTTCAGAAGTGGCCTCTGGGCTTCAGGGGCCTGGCAGCCACTAGATCGTTTTGGGGGTGCCTAGGAAGAGTGCCTTGAGCTGACTTGTCTCCAATGGTGGCAGTTGCCAAGTGCTGGTAGTTTTGGGTGATATGAGGCCCAGCTGTGGACTGGGCCCACTCCTGGTGCTTCAGGGCCCCAGGCAGCCCTGAGGGGCAAGACATGAGTGCCCCATGAGAAACGGTGAGAGGCTGGCTGCCCTGGGCTGAGCAGTGACTGTCCTCTGTTGCAGGCAGGAGTTCCAGGCGTGGACTGCAGTGAAGCCCACAAGACCCGCCAAGGCAAAGCCCACCAAGGTCGTCACAACCCACACGTCATCGTCGTTGGCGTCGGGGTGGGATAGCGGCCCCGGGGCCAGCTTCCAGGTGAGCATGTCAGGGCAAGGTAGCTGCGACAGGGTGTCAAATAGCTTCATGGCCAGTCACTCCTCACACAGAAAAGCCACCCTTCACCCGTGGGCAGGCACCCCTGCTGGGATGGCTTCTCCTGGAGGCAGCAGCTCCGTCTCCAGAATCCCAATCTGTCTCTCAGGAGGGCGGGCGGAAGGCCGTGTGCTCTGTGCAGCCACCCTGTGTGCCAGTGCGCTGTTGCTGCTCGTTCTGGGCCTGCACTCCTGGTCAGAGGTGGCTTTGCCCCTGGGGCTGGGGAAGGAAAGGGCGCTCTAACATGCCACTGCATTTTTCAGGTCCCTGAGGTGAGGAAGAAGTTCACTCCCAACCCCTCAGCCATCTTCCAGGCATCAGCTCCCCGGATCCTCAATGTGTGACTGCTGGGTGCCCTGCCGCTGCCACCTACCGAGGGACCAGGCTGGGGCACACGCAAGCCCTCTGTCCACTACCGTGCTGCAGCCATGCAGCCATCCTGCTGTGCTTCAGTCTGAGGCCCAAGGGCCAGGTCAGCTGTGATCTGTGAGGACCAGGGACGTGCGTGGCCCCCAGTGAGGTGTGTGCTGGGGGTTCTCCAAGCATGTGTGTTGGCTGCAGTAGTTCTGGAACCCACAGGAACCCACGTGGGGTACCCGCTGAGTGACTGCTCAACGCCATATGTGTAAGCCTGAAGAAGGCTTCTTATCACCTGCATGTGACGCATAGTGATGCTGGGTGACTGAAAATTTCTCCAGGGCTCATGTGGAAGGTGTTCCTTAGTAGCTGAGATGACCCTTGCGTGCTAGCAAGTGAACTAGTACCATGTGACAGGTGCCCCCCCAAATGACTGAACTCTGCCACTTCGGGGAAGAACTGGGAAGGAGGGGACATTCCCTGAAGGACTCTGACCCTGCTGCCCGTCCTGCTCTTACTCGCGGTGACAGGGCAGCTCATCTTGTCTGGAATGCTGTCCCTGGTTGGTGTGTGGAGATGCTACCCAGGAAAGCTGTCTCCAACAAGCCTGCGGGTATCTGGTAAGGAAGCATCCAGATTTGGCCTCTCCTGGTGGGCGTTCAAGCCGCCTTCACCTGGTCTTCAGCGCCCTGGCCTGGTGGCACGGGGCAGTGCCCACAGTCTCCCCTAAGGTGCTAGTTCCGGCAGCACAGCCGGCTCTGCTCCAGGAACTGCTCTGATCTTAAAGGGACAGCAGACCCACATGCTGGCACACAGGGCTGTCGCAGACCCCACTGGTGTGCACACTGGCTGTTCTTCAGAGACTGCCTGCAGAGCTCCGTGGGAGAGGAGCAGATTTTTACTAAAATGCACTGTTTGTTCATTTCTGTTAAATGATAAACGCAGACATCTTCTGGTACTTTTGCTTTTATCCCATCTCCTGGCCATTTGGACCTGGATGTAGCACGGCTGCGGCCATGACCCTCACAGGCCCCTCAGCCTTGAGCATGACTCTCTGCGGCTGCAGCTGCCTCCCACAGAGCCCAGCAGCTCCCAGCAGAAGGATTGGGTTGGGGAGCTAGTCTCAGGTTCAAACCCCAACCCAGCTTCTCCATTCCTTGAGCTGCGGGCTCTCCTGTGAGGTGACACCCACACCTGCAGGCTTGCAAGAGTGCCCGCAGGAGTGGGTGCGTTTCAGATGGTCTCGGCCGGGAACTCTTCTTGCCTCTCCCCCTCCTTGCGGAGTGTGCTGGGTTCCCATCTGCAGCCACCCACAGCTCCAGCCTGCGGCCTTGTGCTTGCAGCCCCTCACCAGGCAGCAGGCAGCACTCTCCCCTCCCCTAGGGCCTGATTCCCTGGGGGGAGACTCTGTGGTCTCACTGCTGGCGCTACAGCAACCGTGGAAGTGCCCTGCACCATCAGGTGGACCCAACCCTGCTTTCTGCAAGCCATCCTGCCCACCACCTCCCCAACAGGCTTCACAGTTAGGGGAGCTGGTTTCTAAAGAGACTGCTCCTTCTAACTCCACATCTGGGAGACTGCTGAATGCCACACTGAGTGAGGGACGAGGGTCAGGTATATGGTCACACAGACACACAAAAGTAGTGATGACCGAGAGGAGGACTGGGATGATTTAAAATTATTTTTATACTTTATCTGCTGAAGTTTCTATTAAATAAGCATTTTTGTATTAATGCTGTAAAGGGAAAGTTTTTAAAAATAAAATGCAGTTCAGTCTGTTAGCTAACTTCAGCCAATAGAAAACATACACCATTATTTCATAACCAAAGTCACTGCTGCAGTAGTGCCCTCAACCAGCCTTGGAGGGGCCTGTGAGGGTCATGTAACCAAGGGGCTGCCCAGGACCCCAGCTTACAGTACGCCCTCAACCAGCCTTGGGCCGCCAGGGTCCTTCCACAGGCCAAGGGAGTCATGGTCAGAGACCAATGTCCCACCTGTATGCTTGGCAGCACACCATGCCAGGCCTTCCCCAGGCCCTGCAGTCCACCTCTGGCCAATGGGAGAACTTTGCTGCTCTGTGGGCTCAAGAGGACCGGAGCTGCCTGCTGATGCCTCTCACACAGGGTCTTCATTCAGCAATCCAGAGGCCTCGTGGCAGCCCTGTCCAGGCCCCATGCTGCCGCTCCAGAGCGCCTGGCATGGGCACCTGGGTCTGGCTCCTTTCCTCCTCATGCCCTTTGTGCATTGTGGGGGCACAGCGGCCTCAGGAATTCTCGCCTTTTGCAAGCCAAGGTTTTCTGAGCGTCCCTGGACGCTTGGCCCTGCTGCTGCGGTGACTTCAGCCACAGGCTAGCAGATGGCCCCAGCAGACGGGCCATGGTGCAGGAGCACGCGGCACTGCCGCTTTTCCCTGCCAGATACACCAGCCTGGTTCTCTGCTGGGGTGACAGGAACTGCCCCCTTCGCCTTGGCTTTGAGGTAGTCAAGCTTGAATGCAGTTTTCTTTCCCCCACCCTGTCAGGAATAATTACGTCCACAGCTAACATGTAGCTTCCAGTCTTTTTTTTTTAGGCATTTATGTAACTAATCCTTTATCCAGCATGGCTGTAATCCATTCTGGAAAGAATTAATTGCAAGAACTAAGTGAGAGCCTCTACCTGCAACTGGCCCCTGCGCTGAGCAGCCAAACAGAAGAGCAAGGTGTGGCCTTACAGTGATCCCAGGGCATACAGACCCACACAAATGCTAAAAGGTTTATTGTAGACATTTTTGTTACACAACTGTTATAGATTGATACAAATACACCTGAAATATTAACACACGAGATTTAAAATCACTTAATGGTTCTTTCACAAAAAGGTAATGTCTTTAGGCTTTCACACCTGTTACCAATGAGTCTGTCCTCTTGTGGATCACATCTGCCACCCGGGGTCTCCAGCAGAGCCCACGAGCTGCCCACGAGCCTCCCACCAGCCTCACTGGGCTAGCCCGTGCAGAGGACTGGAGCTGAGGCACTGCACTAGTTGGCTCTAGGCCAGGCTGGGCTCTGCGTCCCATGGAACACACACCTTCACCTCCGCAATGTGTGGAAGCTGAGTTAGGAAGTCACCTCCTGCCTGTCACCTCCTGCTTCATCCTGCTGACGCCAACATTATGGACTACACGGAGAGCAGATCACTCAGAGGAGGAGTCTCGTTCTTCACCTTCCTCACAGAGCATCTCTGAGGGGCTGGGACAGCATCTGGGGCACCGAACCGAGGGCTCTGCTCAATGCATGAGCTGGTCTCACGTGTCTGAGTGCTGTGTCCCTGCTCTGGGCTTGGACAGTCTTTTCTCCAACAGATAAGGCACTCACGGGTGTCTCCATCAACACTTGTCTTCTCAGGAAGGACTCCATCAGATGAAGTACAGGCCACTAGCTCCACGGAAAGAACAGTCCCAGCACACTGTGCCAGTGCTGTGCAGCCAGTTACCTGCTGGGCACACACTTCCGGCCAAGCCCCGGGGTGTGTGGCTGCTGTTACTGACATGGCAGGAGTGTGCAGAGCATCAGGGCTCATGGTCACACCTTCCCCTTCCTGGCTGTGACGTGCTCTGACAATGGCTGCGCTAATGCTCTCAGAAGAGACTGCTGCTCGGGCTGCAGCCACCCAGGCGCCCTGGGCTCCACACGGCGCTGCCTCCTCCCGAGCTGACACATGGCATGGAGGGCTGTAGCCCCTCTCTGTTCAGGGTAACCGTGGGGCTGCTCGGGACCCCAGTTTACAGAAAGGGTCCATTTCTAGCCTGTAACCTCCAGTCCTCGGCAGGGCAGGCCCCTGGTGCCGCCTTGAGCACACCTAGAGGAACAAAAGGCCTGACACAGCTCGGGCCAGCTCTGTGGCGCGCACCTGGCACCTCTGCTACACTCAGCAACATGAGCCGACGGAGTGTGTGTGTACAGCTCCACTATGGCATCTGGAACAAACCTCTGTCCTTAAAGGGTTTCATCTGGAACCGGGCACTGGTGTCTCGGTGCAGCGGGGAGAGGCAGCAGCTTGTAGGCCATGGCATTCTGAGGCTCACAGCAAGTAGCCCTGCTCCCGATCGCAGCCTTTACAGCTGCTAGGCTCTGAAGGCAGCTGCACTCCCGCCTCGCCAAGGCCTCTGCGTCCACTCACTGGTCCTCGTGCAGGATCCCCATGTGTTTGTTCGTGAGGAAGTCCAGGAAAGGAATGTTGCAAATGGCCTGGTGAATATTACTCACCGTGACTTCTTTGGGAATCCTGATCAGAAGACAAAACAAAACAAAACAAGAAGTGTCTTCAGTGTGACTCCCAGGTCTCAGCAGTCGGTCAGCGCAGGGGCCAGGGGTAGGGTGAGGCAAGGCAGGCTCGGAGGAGGACAGGTAGGTATCCGCATCTCGCATGCCTCTGGCCCCGTCTCCAGCTCTCCCTTCCCATTAGTTCCTTTCCAAACTGTGAAACTTAGCTTCCCTACAGTCACAGTCCAATGTGACTTCCCGGTCAGAGATGCGCCAAGGAGCAGGAAAAGGACTCTGAAGGAAGTGGAAGGCAGACCAGAATAAGGGTTGTTTGTCATTCTTGGCAGATTGAGAGCTGAGCCAAATCGCATGGAAATGAGGGCCCTGCGGCTTCCTGTCTCTTATAGAGGAGGGGACACGGGGTCAGGCCAGGTCAAGTGAACGGTGACGGTCCTCTCGGAGCGCCAAGTCTCTCTGCCTGCACTGTCAGCTCCACCGAGGCGAACTGGCCACAAGAGGCCCGGACTTCGAGCAGGACAAAGGGCAGCACGACCAGAACTCCCTGCTCCCTTCTTTGTCTAAAGGCTTCTGTGTGTTACATCCTGCTCAATTCTGATCTAACACCCCTCTGACTTAAGACTGTTCATATCCTCATGTATTTTGTTATCATTTAAAAACTTACAACACTAGTAACATGATGGAATAAAATAATATCAATTTTCTTTGAAAGAAAAGCAGGGTGTGACCTACCTACCCTTCTGTCGGAGGCCAGAGAGGAGTCAGCACCGTCATGGTGAACCTAGGGGCTACACAGCTAATGAGACCTGAGTTTGAATCTCGGATCTGCCATAACTGACAGACAGGGTACCCTTCAAAGACTACCATCCTGACTCCAATAACGGAGTAACAATCAAACAATGACAAAATTAGGCAAGGCAGGTAATGCTCTGCTTTGCCATTGTTATTGCCATGGCAGCTAAGAGCTGGTGTCTGTTCAATTCTGCAAAAAAGGTCCTGCAGGCTGGCGTTCAGGCACAGCACGTTAAGCCACTGGTTGGGTCACTGCTCTTCCCTTATCAGGGTGCTGATTCAAGTTCTAAAAGCTCCATTTTCTATCCAGCCCCGATAATATACCTAGGAAGGCAATGGAAGGTAGTTCAAGTGCTTGGAAGCCTGCCCAGACAGGGTATTCATGTAGGAGACCCAGATGGATTTCCTGGCTCCTGGCTCTGACCTGGCCCAGTCCAGGACATTAAGGCCATTTGGAGAGTGGACAAGAGGATAAAGAGCTCTCTGTGTCTTTGTCATCGATTTCCAAATAAATCTTTATAACCAGCCCCAGGTGTCTGTGAGGTAATGAATACAGGTTACAGACATATGGGCAAAGCTGAGCTTTCACAACCAAGCAGTTCTCTCAAAGGTATAGCAAACCCTTGGGTCACCAGACTCTTAAAAATGTCCCATTGTACCTCCTAGAGATTGATTTTAATGTAAAATGACTCCATGGGAGATTAAAGTGTGAGGAGGTATGTGCGCCACCCTGACCCCGTGGGGACAGTACCTGCTGTGAGATGCTGTCTGGTACCCGACTGCCAACGCCTGCCTCAGGATGTCACTCACCAGCTGCTCTGTGGCCTACAAGGAAAGACACTGTTATTTCCAAGCATGGCCATTTGATGCCACTCCTCACTCTGTATTTTCTGAATGGTTGTTACCTAGGCAGGAAAACTGAAGGTCTGGATTAAGAGACTATAAAAAAAATTAGGGCCTGGTGCAGTGGCCCAGCGGCTAAAGTCCTCGCCTTGAACATGCCAGGATTGCTTATGGGCACCAATTCTAATCCTGGCAGCTCCACTTCCCATCCAGCTCCCTGCTTGTGGCCTGGGAAAGCAGTCGAGGATGGCCCAAAGCCTTGGGACCCTGCACCCGCGTGGGAGACCCAGAACAGCTCCCGGTTCCCGGCTTCAGATCAGTGCAGTACTGGCCACTGTAGTCACTTGGGGGACTGAGTCATCAGACAGAAAATCTTTCTGTCTCTCCTCTCTGTATATCTGACTTTCCAATAAAAATAAATACATCTTTTGCAGATGGATTTTACTCACTGGACAAGTTTTTAAGAAAAACAGGTGAGGGCTGCTATGGCATCCCCGATAGGGAGGGGATCTGCTAAGTACTGCCAGCCACGTGGGAGACCTAGAGGAAGCTGCTGACACCTTGCTGTAGACTGGCCCAGCCCTGGCCTCTGTGGACATTTGAGGAGTGCACCAGCAGCTACATCTCTGCTCTCTCTGTATCGCTGCCTTTCAAATAAATAAAATTAAAAAAAAAAGATTTGTTTATTTTTTATTGCAAAGTCAGATACACAGAGAGGAGGAGAGCTAGAGGGGAAGATCCTCCATCCAATGACTCACTCCCCAAGTGACCACAACAGCCAGAGCTGTGACGATCTGAAGCCAGGAGCCTCCATCCAATCCTCCCCGAGTGACCACAACAGCCAGAGCTGTGACGATCTGAAGCCAGGAGCGTCTTCTGGGTTTCTTAAATGGGTGCAGCGTCCCAAGGCTCTGGGCTGTCATTGACTGCTTTCCCAGGACACAAGCAGGGAGCTGGATGGGAAGTGGGGCTGCCAGGATTAGAACAGGCGCCCATAAGCAATCCTGGCATGTTCAAGGCGAGGACTTTAGCTACTAGGCCGCCACACTGGGTCCTCAAAAAGAAATCTTAAAAGAAGAAGAAATCAGTAGGGGGAGTGTCCATATGCAGCCCAGTGGTTGCCTGCATTCCACACTGGAGTGCCTGAGTTTGATTCCCGGCTCCAGCCCCTGACACACTGGGAACATCTGGATAGAGTTGCTGGCTCCTGGCTCTGGTCCTAGCCTAGATTTGGCCATTGTGGGCATTTGAGAGTAAACCACAGGATGGTACCATTTTTTTCTTTCTCAACTAAAAAGCCACAGAGGAAAGGAAGAAAAAAAAAAAACGTGAAACCTGAGTCAGATAGGAAATTATAAAAATACATCATCTCTGATGCTTTTCTCAGTCCTTGTCCCTTACTTGGCACAGCCCGGGACCCCAGCACCCTGACCTTCTGTTCTAAAGCCCACAGCAGCAGTTCAAGTCCTCTCTGCTGCAGGGAGGCACCCACCTTCAAAATCATGTCCTCCACTACGGATGCATACACGTTCTTGTGGAGCTCCACAGGCTGCAGGATGACCCCGATCTGGAAAAGCAGGAGGAAGTTATTTGGTGCCACGTCTGTGTTGAAGCAGCCTCTCAGCAAGCAGGTGGCTTTTCCAGCAGCCAGAGAGGTGCCTAGTCAGCAGGAGACCCCATAGACATTCTAGACCAAGCTCACAAGGAAGCAGTACCAAAGAGAACCACCGGAGATGTTCGCATGTCTTCCTTGGCTTTGGATTATTTCAAATGCTATTAAACTTGGTTTCACTTCCAGAATTCTTTGGAGGGAAAAACTGGCTGGGACTTGCCAGGCATCTGACAGCAGGCCCACCACTCGGGGATGTCTGGAGGCAGACTCAAAAGCCAGTGAGCAAGAGGTGCGGAGAACACCCTTGCTGCCTTTTCTGCTCATTCTCTGAGCGACAGGAGACTCATTTGGGTTCTGAGCAGCTGGCAGGTGGCTCACATGCTGCTGGGTTTCGTCGAGGTGCATGAACCAGTCTCTCCTGTGTAAAGGGGCCGTGTCGACACTGCAGGCATGCATGGAGGGGTTATGAAGACGGTAGGCAAGACTGCCCGCCACAGAATACCCTGGAAATGCTGCAACATGCCTCATGAAGGAAAGGGGTTCTCCCAAGTTAGCTCAGAGCAAAGGAGAGGAAAGTTACAAACTGGCTAACATCTAGCTCATGCTGCTTCAAGTCCATGTGCAGCAAGCGACCTTTTCATGGGTAGTTCATTTCCTCACCCCTGGGCTCTGATGTGGCAGGCGGGAGCCCAACAGCACACCCGAGTTTAGCTGCTCTGTGACCCCTTCGCAGATCTTAGCCCCTACCTTCTGTGCGACATCTGTGATGAACTCAGAGCCTGGAGTGGGTGGCAGGTAGAACTTCACTTCTTCCTGTTTCTCCTCCTGCTCCTTTTTAATGTTTGTCTTCAGTGGCTCTGAGAGAGTAAGGATGTCCACTTCTTCCTCACTGTCCGGTTCGCTCTTCTGAAATTGCTGCAGGTCCTCCAGCTTGCGGCAGAGGTTGTCGGCAGAGGAGAACGATGACGGGCACTCTGAGCAAAGACGGTGACGGGCACTCAGGACAGCCAGGGAACCACGGGACTTCAGACCCCCAAGTCTGAGACCTGAGACAGGACTAGGTACAAGTAGCAAGGGAGCTCCCCTTCCTCACCCCTAGTTCTAAAATTCTTTGCATCTAAGCAATGAGAACTAGGACTCTCATTACTTTACAACCTGTGTGACCAATGCGACTGACTGCCCTCTAAGATCAAATAGCACAGAGCTCTGGCTTCCCCCACCATCAACAGCCATGCACAGCCCCCTCCTGAGTACAGTTGACTTCCTCTTCATCTTTCGAGTCTGTACACTTAGAAGTGTACCAGGAGCCAGGACTACCCATCTTGCCATTGTCCCGAGGACAGTGCTGTTGACACTCTTGGGCATCCTGCACAGCAAGTCCCTAGTGAGGGGACTCCCGCAGAGCAGGGGGAGCAGCACCCAGCCAGGGCACAGCGAGATGGTGGCAGTGCATTTGGCTCCTGACCTTTTCTGGGCTGCTTCCTGCACTCTGACAGTCAACCGGGAGCCAGCTCCGTGTGTGGAAGGGACGGCGCCTCACAGAGGGCTCCTCCTGCCTGCGGGGAGCTGCCAGGAAGCCTCACACAGGAGGCAGGGCTCCAGCACTGGGCTGCAAGGGTCTAAGACAGATGGGCGAGGTTGGGAAGACAAACTTTTTTCTTATTCTTAAGGGATAACTTCAGAATGCTTCCTCTCCCTCAAAACCCATCACGGGCCTGGCCCCAATCCCTGCCACCACACACAACTGTTTACTCCTTGGCACTCAGCCTTTTACCCGCAAAACTTAAGTTGTTTCCAGTGCCTAACTAGTGTCTTTCCCAGCTAGATCTGCAGATAAGAGTAACAGGGGAGATCTGTCCGCAGGGCCTCCTTAGCTTACAAAGGAAGGGATTGCCACTTCTATGTGAAGGAAAGCAGGTGGCTTGAGTTTGGAACTGCAGTCCTAACAGTGGAGGTGGAGACAGGGTACATACGGCAAGAGGTAAGCAAAGGGCCCGTTGTCTGTGGCAGGTTCCTCGCCTCTGCTGCAGCAGGGAGCAGCAGGCACCGGGGGCCGAGGTGACCACATGCCCAAGGGGCTGTAGGGATGCTCTATCTGCTCACCAGGCTCGCTGTCGATCTGGGTCAGCACGTCCTCAATGGAGTCGCCGTCGGGCCTGAGGCTCTCAGGGTCCGGCGGGGTGTAGCCGTGGCAGCGGCACCAGTGAGCGATGTGCTTGGTTTTCAAGGGAGTCAGGTGGTGGAATCTTGGGTTCTTTTCCAGGATTTCTTGTAAGACTTTTCGCATGGTCATTGCCCTTTGCCACTTAAAAACAAAAGTTTTCTGGATCACATCAATTCTTCAACTTGGCACATGCATAGTGGAGACAATCACACAACAGTGAAATCACTGTGCTAACTTAGCAGAACGCTTTTTTTTTTTTTGATGGAAGAAAGTTTGATTGTGATAGCTCCAGTTTAAAATAAAAATAGCCGAAGAGTTACTACTGGCTCATAAAGTGAGACGTACTTGTCTAGGTTTGGTCTTCAAAGCTTTTTACCAATTTCCTGCTTCCCCAAGCACACTAACTTCCCACGGTTCCTGGGTAGGCCTGTGTGTGTGCTCCTTCCCTGTCCCACAGCCTCAACGGAATGGACATCACCAGGAGCTGCCTGTACGCAGTCAGTAAACACTTCAATTCATTTAAAATCATTTTGCAGTTTATTTAAAAACTTTAGAAAATGCAAGATTATGTTTCCTTTAGTGTACAAAAAGGCATCTGGTCTTGCAAAAGCTAGGAAACTGAAAGTGGGGTTTCTAACTGAGGGAATCCTCTATCACCATTACTTCTAACCCGCTGTGCTGCAAGCATCATTATTGTGCAGCGCAGGGTTCAGGAGTGGCCGGGAGGCACAGGCTTTCCGGCTTTCTCCTCACAGGCCTACGGAGGGGCATTACCTCAGCAGCTCTCCTTTTCCCAATGTTCCAGCCGTAATACTGCTCCACCGACTTTGCAGAAAAGCAGCTGGCGTCTTCACCTAGAATGCACACACCCAGCACACTGAGAGAGCTGCTACAACGCAAAGAGCTTCTTCCGCCCTCTCCATGGGCCAGGTTCCCTAGGCGCCCTTGAGAGGCAGAGCACAGAAAGCTTCTCCTTGGGAGAGAGCATCTCACTTGTGTGCCCTCAGCCAGCTCCCTTCCTTAGGAAACCGGCTTCCACAGCATGAAGCATGGAAATCCATGGAAAACGGAAACACACTTCCAGGAGCTGGGCCTGGTCTTAACTCCCTAAGCAGCGTGAGCAAGCCACAGCTCCTGGCTGGGCTCCATGTTTCCCAGCTGCAAGGGGAAAGCAGGGAAAGGTGGTTTCTGAACTCAGTGCTCATATTCTGTGCCTGCATCTAAGTGAGAGAATGAGAGAGGGGGAAGGGGAGAGAGCAGGAGCTTTCTGAATCTTGCTCTGTAGTCTAGCAAACTGGCACTGAGCTGTCTCAGCATGACCTCCTAAGCATGAACTGGGCGCAACAGGGGATCCTCCCTTTGTTTACAGTGGAAACAATTAGCAGCTTGCTCTGTACTTGGTCTGTCATTTCTCTGTCCCCAGGCATGCAAGTGACAGACTCATCTGCTTCCCAGCTTCCTTTTAAGAATCCCTGGTAACCTTGTCCAGAAGCACACACAGAAACACCCACTCCTCGGGCTGCTGATTTTGGCCCAAATTACTTAATCTTGCTAATACTGACATAGCAGACATTTTTCTGGAGGTCTTGAAAATCAAACATTTCCACTGAGTAAGTGATACTGAGAGTTAGAGAAAAGACTGGAGCTGGCAACAGTCAGAATTGGGTTTGTATCCTGCCTTGCCATTGCCGTGTGATCTTGAACAAGCTTGCTTACCTCAGTGTTCCCCTTTGTGCAATGGGGATGACACAAGAGATGTCACCGGACAGTGATGTTTCCTTACTACTAAGCATTGAAAACCAAAGCAGAATTTTAATTATATATATGATTTACAGGCAAAAATAAGTCTAAAATATTCCTTCTATAGATGTAAAAATCGTAAAAGACTAACTGGATGACCAACAGACTGTAAATTCAAAGGCCCTAACAAATGAGCTGTGTGCATAGCTAAAACTCCAGTACTAACTTACAAAAGGAAACGAACTGACTCACTACCCTAGGCAGTCTCCAGCTTGCAAAGCAATGCCCCTATAGTCAGTAACTGCCTTACTTTTCGCAGTGACTAATGGAATCTTCTTTACTATTGCTGTTAAGAGTTGCTGGATAGTCTCCAAATGGTCGATCCTGGGGATAAAAGAAAATTAAGGTAACAAATCCAGTATGTGTAACAGCTTCTACCCACACAAAAGTAATTTAAAAGCTCACAGAAAATGAAATTCAAAGTTTCTTGCCGCTCCCCCATTTGAGATCATGATATACATTTTTAACAAACTTTTGAAGACACCCTCACATGTATGAGCTTCAAATTTTTTCAGCAAAATAAACCTTTTAAATTTGATCTTCCACAAGCTTTTGGTTCTTTTTTTTAATAATTATTTTATTTTTATTTGAAAGAGTTACAGAGAGAAGGAGAGACAGAGAGGACTTCTATCCACTGGTTCACTCCCCAAATGGCCACAATGGCCGGAGATGAGCTGATCCAGAGCCAGGAGCCTCCATCAGGTGTCTCGTGTAGGTGCATGGTCCCAAAGACTTGAATCATTTGCTGCTGCTTTCCCAGGCCATAAGCAGGGAGCTGGGTAGAGCAGCCGAGTCTCGAACCAATGCCCCCATTGATGCTGGAGCTGCAAGTGCAGGCTTAACCAACTATGCCACAGCACCAGCCCTGCCCCACCAAGCTTTTAAAGCACACATATACACATGTTTATCTGTTAATGTGTTTCTCCTTCTTGAGGGAACTATAATTTGAAACCAACATATCAGTTATATCTTTCCTTCTAGAGAAAGCCTTCTTTATAAACAGTATTCCATGGAAAACATCCAGACTAAACAAATGAGACCCTAGGAATGGCAAAGCAACATATACCACAGACATAGGATTTTACCTACATGAAAAATCAAACAGCCACACCACCTTTCTGCAGTGGGATCCTGGATGGTGCCCACCATGCTCCAGATACTGCTGCAGAGGCGATCGTCTCAGCAGTTTGAGACAGTTCAAACACTTGCTAGAGGGGATTTTCTGATTTGGAAACTATCAGGAGGCACTTTAAGGCAGCAAGTGTGCGTGGCCCATGAAGTCATCATGGAAATTTAGGCAGGGGTGTGGCTACCTAATTTACAAAATGGAGCCTCTTAAACTGCCTACCAAGTGGGACAGCGCACCTGCCCAGTGCAGAAGGGCAGCTGGCACCCCTGAGGGCTTTACTCCACACACACACACAACTCCACAAACACCCAGCTATCACGGGCAGCATTTTTCACAAAGTACCACAAAAACAGCCCAAGCAAAACTCCTTCAGAAAGTGCCGAGTAATTACTTAATGACATAGTTTCCCAGCTCCGAACTGTCTTCTGTTGTCACGGCAGTCGGGCCCTCCTGGGAGAGGCAAATGGGCGCAGGTGTTTCAGGCTCCACCTTCACTATAAGGCAAGAACAGAGAGAGCGGTCAGGGCCCGGGGGAAAGGATCTGTGTGGCAGCACTGCAGCCTGGTGGGGAGGCTAGCCCTCCAGCTGTGGCAGGGACACTGCCGGCAGGCTGAGATGGCTCCAGACGTCACCCATCACAGGGGCAGTAGACAAGGGAAGAACTGTTAGCCGGGGGTAGGGGCAATGAATTGGTGTTTTAGATATTTCTTAAAGGGCTACCCTCCTATCCCTGAACAATGCCATATTAAAATGTCAGCTTGTTCTAAATTTAATGCTACAATCTCTTCCTTATCATCTCTGTAAATTTACCACCTTCAACATGATCTTACTGTGTTCTAACATTCAATAAAAAAGTTAAATCTGATCCATAGTACTTGTGAGTTTCCAAGCCAATCACAACCGATTTAAAATACAGGTTTAAATACAGTTGTCCCATGGTATTCATGAGGAATTTGCTCTAGGTGCCCTAGATGGCACCACAATCCATGGTTGCTGGTATTGAGACCAAGTGCATTAAGATGCTGCCTGTGACACCAGCATCTTATTATGGCTACCAGTTCATGTGCTGGTTACCTCACACTTCCTATCCTTAGGAAAGTAGCGTAGGATGGCCCAGGTGTTTGGGCCACAGCTGCCCATGTGGGAGACCCAGGTGAAGCTCTTAACCCCAGACTTTAGCCGGGTTCAGCTCTGGCCACTACAGCCACTTAGGGAGTGAAGCTGCAAATGAACTTTGTCTCTCCCTCCCTGTTACTCTGCCTTTCAAATACATAAACAAATACACATACACACACACACGAGATCTGTTTGAATTCTTTGATAAGCAGAATTACAGACTGAAAGAGAGAGGGAGAGATGTCTTCTATCTCCTGGCTCATTCCCCAAGCAGTTGCAACTGCGTGAGCTGACCCAATCTAAAGCCAGGAGTCAGAAGTGTCCTCTGGGCCTCCCAAATGGGTGCAGGGGCCCAGAGACTTGAGCCAGCCTCAGCTGCTTTCCCAGGCTGTAAGCAGAGAGATGGATGGGAAATGGAGCAGTCAGGACACAAACTGGCACCCCTAGGAAATGCCAGTGCTTCTAGGCAGAAGATCAGTCTGTTGAGCCCCACATCAGCCCCACTACTTCATGTCTTGATGGAGGACAACACCTGCTGTCTTCGTGCACGCCCTTCCTTTCCCGAGTCTTCAATCAGAGCCCCATGACCACACACCCACTGCTGCAGCTCCAGCTTCTATCTCCACTCTCTGCCCAACACGTCTTCTCATACGTTAGCATCAAAGACTTTTCCTGCAAGCCCTCCTTAATGTCATTTCTCTACTCAGAATTCCTTATAAAACAGGAGTACTACAAATGAAATACACTTTTTTGCTGTTTTATAACTTCCAAGAAACTGATATGGATGTTGAAAGCTCAAAGAACTCAGACTATAATAACATCCTGCCTAAAACATTTGGACAACAGTATTGTAAGATCCTACATACCTCTTGCCACAGTTGCTGGAGCAGGGCTGGGGATGACTGGAGCTGGAGCAGCTACAGGCAGAATGGTAGGTGATTTGTTGGTGGAAAATGACTGAACCACTGGAGAGGAAAAAGGAGAGTGTATGTAACATAGAGGAAAACGTTAGTATTTGTTTTTTCAAGATTTAATTATTCTATTTTGAAGTTAGAGTTACAGTGAGAGATTCTCCATCTCTGCTAGTTCACTCCCTTCATGGGGGCTAGAGGTGGGCCAGGCCAAAGCTGGGAGTGAGGAGCTTCTTTCAGGTCTCCCAAATGGCTGCAGGGGCCCAAGCACTTGGGCCATCTTCCACTGCTCTCCCAGGCCATTAGCAGGGAGCTGGATGGAAAGTGAGGCACCTTCTGGGATGCTGGCACTGCAGGTGGGAGATTAGCCCATTATGCCTCTGTGTCAGCCCAAATTATTATTTTTATTTAAAGATTATTCTTATTGGAAAGCCAGATTTACAGAGGAGAGACAGAAAGATTTTCCGTCTGCTGGTTCACTCTTAAAGTGGCCACAATGGCTGGAGCCGAGCCAATCCGAAGCCAGGAGCTGCTTCTGAGTCTCCCATGTGGCTACAGGGTCCCAAGACCTTGGACCGTTCTCTGCTGCTTTTCCATATGGGAAAAGCAGTTGCAAGACGAGGACTTTAGCCACTAGGCTACCATGCTGGGCCCCAGCCAAATTATTAAGGAGAAGAATCTGACTCCCAAGTGATAGCCCTAGCTTAGAGTGACAGTACTCAGACAATCTCAAGACAGGAAAAGTTTGCTTCTTTTTTTAATACAGATCTGACTCTTTGGACTATCAGTGTTCATACTAAGGGGACTAAGCTACACAAACCAAATTGTATAAACAGGGATTTGTCACTAACAACAATCCCAAACTCTCACTAGTGCTTAAACTGTTCCCCTTGATAAGTTTCAGGAATAAGTCCTTAATCAAAACCCGTGGCTCACCTGGTCTTTCCTTCCTGCCCTAGAGTTGGTAACACAGGGTTTGAGGTTCCTGAAACTAAGCAGCTTGACGGATGGAAGGCAGGCTGCACAATGAAGAGCTCTCAGCAGAGAGAATGGAACTCCCACTCCCCCGGGCCACCTCTGGATGACCCGGGGCCACACAGCATGGCAGACCACCGCTGGAAGACCCACCTTTATTCACAGGCATCAGGATAGTCTGCACGCCTCCCGATGTGTTCACACTGAGTGGTTTCAGCTGGCTGGGAATCGTCAGGACAGCCTGCTGAGGACTGGATTGACTGGAGTGAATCTTTAACAAACCTAGAAGTTGGGTGACAAGGCAAGCTGGAGATCAGGTGTTCATGTTTCTTGCCCTCTTTACTACTCTTATTTTCTCACAGGAGGAAGTTTCTAAAGGATTGTGGAAGCAAAATGACACAAGTACCATCAATTTCACAATGGATCACTGATGTGATGATGAAATTTATTTATTTTTTTAAAATTTATTTTATTTGTAAGTTAGAGACACACAGAGAGAGGGAGACAGAGTGAGATCTCACATCTGCTGGTTTACTCTCCAAATGGCAGCAACGGCCAGAGCTGGGTCGGTCTGCTTCTGGGAGCCAGGAGCTTCTTCCAGGTCTCCCAAGTAGGTGCAGGAGCCCAAGGCCTTGAGCCACCCCTGACTGCTTTCCAAGGCCATTAACAGGGAGCAGGATCAGAAATGGAGTAGCCAGGAGCTGAACTGGCACCCTTATGGGATGCTGGCACTGCAGGCAGAGAATTACCTTGCTTTGTCACATGTTGGCCCTGACATGATTTATTTTTTATTTATTTATTTTTTTAAAGATTTATTTTTATTATTTTTTTATTGGAAAGGCAGATATACAGAGAGGAGAGACAGAGAGGAAGATCTTCCGTCCGATGATTCACTCCCCAAGTGAGCGCAACGGGCCGATACTATGCCAATCCGAAGCCAGGAGCCTCTTCTGGGTCTCCCAGGCGGGTGCAGGTTCCCAAAGCTTTGGGCCGTCCTCGACTGCTTTCCCAGGCCACAGGCAGGGAGCTGGAAGGGAAGCGGGGCTGCCGGGATTAGAACCGGCGCCCATATGGGATCCCGGGCGTGCAAGGCGAGGACCTTTAACCACTTGCGCCACCGCGCCGGGCCCCACATGATTTATTTTTAAATGGGGTTGTTGGGGCAGGCACTGTGGTGCAGCAAGCTAAGCCCCTGTGACCCTAACATCCATACTGAAGCATTAGTTTCATTCCTGGCAGTTGTTTCCAATCTGGTCCCTGCTAATATGCCTAGGAAAGCAGTACAGATTGCCCAAATCCTTTGACCCCTGCCTCCATGTGGGAGACCTGGAGTAAACTCCTGGCTCCTGGCTTCGGCGTGTCCTAGTCCTCTGCTGTGGTGGCTCTTGGAGCAGTAGAGCAGCAGATAACATATTTCTCCACCTCTCCCTTTCTCCGTAACTCTGCCTTTCAAATAAATAAAATAAATCCTTTACAACACAAAAAAATGCATAGTATTATTTAAACAATGTCATGACCTGCAATAACAAAACTGATAGAGAAATTCTGCAAAAGCAGGATTAACAGAAAAGGGAAGTCCTACTGCAGGAAAAACAAATGCCAGCACTGAGGTACTTCTTTCCATGTGTTTTCTATGACTGTTTGCTACATAGCTATGATTAGGACAAGACAGGAAGTTTCATATTTTGATGCAGAAAACTGCTACTCTCCTACTTAAAAATTTATCTTGGCTTCCCACAGCCTAAGAATATTCCTGAAATCAGCTCCAATCACTCAGGGGCCATTTCACTTTGGTGCCGCACCTCCTTCACACTGTCACTACATAACCAATGCTTCAATGTGCAGGCACACCTTACAATCTCCTGAACCTCTGTGTGGTCCTTATATTTCAAACGCCAGGTATTCTGTTTTTAGAAAGGGTTAGTCTCTCATTTTTATTTTAGAGTTTCGAACTGTTTGCAGTACAAGAGTATTCTAAGCAGAGGGTCAGTAGCAAAATCAAAGTCTCACTGTTAAAGAATTTGGAGAATACTAACAACATCAACATACGGAAAAGCTTAGCACCTGGTAAATAACAGGGACCTTACAGTACCGAAAGTGGTTGACTTGAGCTAATCATCACAAATATTTTCTAGAACACAACCTTAAGTAAGAGTGTTTCCTGGGAACGGAGGAATGCTGAATCAGTCAAGTGGTAAGTTCTTGCTAAGACGTGCCTTCAGGGAACAGGGCCAACAGTCAATGTTTTGATATTTTCCAATTTTTAAAATAAAAATATTATATGCTATGCAGTTGTAAATAAAAGAAACTACAAAAGGCTTAAAAGAATCGATATTGCAGGCCATGATTTGTTAATTTCTGACTTAGTACTACAGTAGATAAGCCCTTTAAGGCACTAAGACCATTTTCTCTATAATCCAGAATTGTTCTCGGTTGATCTAAAGCAGCACAGCACGACTGCATTTTATTTCCCAGTTAGCCATTTTCTCCCTTGCCTCTCCTTAGTTTCTTTCCGCATCCCACTAAGCCATTCCACCTCCTTGAGGAGCGCTCTGAGGCACCCCTCAACTTAGCTCTCCACGGGGTGACATATCCCCACTGAGAGTCCCCTTCCCCATGAGCTCTGCCTGCCCTAACTGACCGCTGTGTTCGAGGCCGACCACAGAGCCCTCGTCTTAGGGCCAGCTCTTCCCCCTCATCCTAGGAACTCCCTTCGCCTTTCTGTTGATCATAGGCTTTGGTTTTTTTATCTGGATTGTACTTCTTCGTTTTAATAAAACATATACATGGGTATCATTTCTTAATATGGTGCATAGGAAATGTATTTGAAAGTTTGCCTGTCAGAAAAATTTCCTACCTTCACTCAACAATAAAGAATTCTAACTTAAAGTGTCAAAGGAATGTAAGGGTTGTCAGACTCTCACGGTCTAACAGAAAAGGCATCAAGCTAACGAACAGGTGATGAAGGCAGGGCTCTCATGCGTGCTTCTCTGACAGTGACTGTCACAGATAACTGCCACTCCACTGCTTCCACAGAAGCTGGTTTTCTTATAAAAATACAAAAAGTCACCTCTACATGGAACCTGCCCACAAACTAACTGTCCAACCTATGACTACTGTCTTCTGAGCTACTAATCATTGCAGCAAAAAAAATTATCATTTCAAAATATGTCATGTAAGCCTTGGTCGGCCTTTAAGAGCCTTGGGGCTGGTATGGCTGCAGCAGGTTAAACTGCTACTTGTGACACTGGTATCCTGGAGTGCCAATTTGAGTCCTGGTTGTTCCACTTGCAGTTCAGCTCCGTGTTAAGGCACTGGGAAGGCAGTGGATAATGGCCTGAATGCCTGGTCGCTGACTCGCACAGGAGAGACCTTGGCGCAGCTCTCGGCTCCTGGCTTTGGCCAAGCTATTTAGTGAATGAATCAGCAATGGAAGAGTTCTGTGTCTATCCTCCCTTGTCACTCTGCCTTTCAAAACAAAATGTAAACTTCCTTTTGCCCCAACCTCTCTGAATGTCCTCTAAGCACTACGGCCTGTGATTCCCACTGCAGTGCTCTACGTTGTCAAGAACAGGTTATTTCTGTTTTTCTACAACAGAAATGTGCTTAGCTTCTAGCACTGTTACTGAGAAGTTCAATCACAATGTAATTTTTAAAAAAGATTTATTTTTATTGAAAGGTCAGATATAAAGAGAGGAAGAGAGAGAAAGATCTACTGTCTGTTGATTCACACGAGGCAGGATTCCATATGGTCACCGGTTCTAATCTCGGCAGCCCCACTTCCCACCCAGCTTCCTGCTTGTGGCCTGGGAAAGCAGTTGAGGACGGTCCAAAGCTTTGGGACCCTGCATCTGTGTGGGATACCCAGAAGAAGCTCCTGGCTCCTGGCTTCGGATTGGCTCAGTTCCAGTTGTTGCAGCCACTTGGGGAGTGAATCATCGGGTGGAAGATCTTCCTCTCTGTCTTTCCTCATCTCTGTATATCTGCTTTTCCCATAAAAATAAATAAATCAATCTTAGGAAAAAAATTTCCTGTCCCAAGTAACTTGATTTTTTTTAAACAGGCGAGTCACTTTCATTCACTATGTTCATTTGTGGAAGTCCAGTCCCTGAGACCAAGGGGAAATTTTGTACTTTATTTAGTGGCTCTTTTCTTCCCACTATGTTCTCTGTTCTTTTTATTCTGCTGCAAATTCCCAGATATATCACTGAATTTTCTTTAGTAATCCACTCCCAGTTTTCACCCAGTGCCCCAGGATTTATATGGATCAATGCCACTCCCTTTCCAAAGGTGAGGCAGATCCTGTTACTCTATAGCTTAAACCCTCCAGTGGTTCCCCTGCCTTACACATTCTGACCTCATCTGCTTCCTCCCTTGCTCATTCTGCTTCCATTCCAATGATGCATCAAAAAAAATTTTTTAAAGATTTTATTTATTTTTATTGGAAAGTCAGATATACAGAGATGATGGAGAGACAGAAAGGAAGATCTTCCATCTGTTGTTTCATTCCCCGAGCGGCAGCAATGGCCGCAGCTGAGCCAATCCAAAACCAATTTTAATCGGGAGATAGGGATAATGGGAAAATACAGTCTGCCTTACTCTTCTGCTCTCCATGCACAAAGCAAACAAGATGTAAGAGCTTGTGTGAAGCCACGTATAGAAGGTAGCAGTAAGAATAATGACAATAACATCCATGGTCTTTCATCCAAAGAAAAGCCATGTGTTTGAGTGTGAGTGTGCCTTTCTCTTACTGATAGTTTTTTCTGTGGACCGGCACCAGCTGGTGAACTGGTTATTACCAATCTGCAACAAGGTAATACAGAAATTAAGTGTATTTAGAAGACCATGGGACACTTTGACATTGTTGTGACATTTTTACTGTATTTTACAGAACTATCTCTCTGCACTAAATTGTAGAAAAACAAAAATAAAATTAATGTTTCAAGTTTGGGAAACAAAACTATAAATTTTATCAGTCCCCTGTGCAACTGAGACAGCATGATGTAATCTAACACATCAACGGTTCTTTGGCAAAATCACAGCAATATATAAGTAGTATAAACAAACTATCACTAGAGGTAAAAATGTGTGCTAGAATTAGCAATGAAATATAAAACCTTTGGTTTTCATAGTGTTTTAAATTTTAGAATTCAAAATAAGGATTACAGAGTAAAAACAAAAACGCTGACACTAATGATAAGATTATGGCAGCGATTATTACAATCAAGGCAATCTTGCCTCAGGATTTATGCTATCATTCAAAGAACAAAACAAAAATGATTTCCAAATCTACGAATTTATCTTTTAATTCTATCTCCCACAAATTCTTTCAAGTGCCAGCCAAGTGTATCGTGCCAGATCAAGGGTCTCTGTAACACTACCCTAGTAAAAATCAGGACTTGAGGGACTGGTGTCATGGCCCAGGGCAAGAGACTGTTGCAATGCAAGCATCCCAGGTCGAATTTCAGCTAGAGTCTTGGCTGCTCTGCTTACACTCCAGCTCTCTGCTAATGTGCCTGGGAAAGCAATGAAAAGTGCTCAAGTACCTGAGCCCAACACCCATGTTGGGAATCCATGATGGAACTGGCTGCTCCTACATGGCCCAGGCCTGCCAGCTGCAGCCATTCAGGGAATGAGCCAATGGATCCAAGATCTCTGTGCCTCCCTTTCCTTCTGATTTTCAAGTGAATTTCTCTTTAGAAAGATCATGATTTGGAGCATCCGTGGTTCATATGTATCTTTTGAAAGCAAAGAACTGTATAGCATGCCTTACAGGTTCCAATGAAAACTGGTAAGGAAGGAAGGAAGAAGTGAAGGAAGCAGAGGGAAGGCAGAGACACGGGAGCTAGAGAAAGGGAGTTAGGAAAAAGGGAGTTCGCTCATTTTTTCCTCATGGAGAAAATACTCCATAACACATTATGAAAATAGCCAATAGGGTGCCAGTGGCCACAGTTACATTGTATTACCAAAATTACTAGTTGAATAATATTTTTTCAAAAATTGTACTACTTTAAAAAGCAAGAGAGAGGGTAACAAATAAAAAAAGATTTTCATTAAATTGATTTCTTCTCCTAATGTCTACAAGAGCAGCAGACTGAGCCAGGCCAAATCCAGATGCTGGAAACTCACTGTATGCATCCCACACAGGCTACTTGAGCCATCGCCCCTGCTCTCCCAGGGTGCACGTGAGCAGGAAGCTGGCAGTAGGGTCAGAGGGTATGGGACTTCAACCCAAGCACTCCGCTATGAGACACAGGCAACCCAAGGTCTTGAATGATATGCAAGAAGCCTGCCTCTGAATAAGAACTTTTAAATGATACATTTGAGGCCTCGGGCTTAATTTCATACACATTTTAAATAATAATCAACCTCAAAAGTAGCTGTATGGAAAATCTTGCTGGGTTAATTGTTAGCAATTTAGTATACCCAAATACTATGTAAGATCCTACAAAAATACTCTGGCCCAAAGAGAAAAGCAGAGAAAAACAGTACCATGACATAACTGACCTGATACTGTGGCCTTCCCGGAGATGGGGTTTGGTGTAGACACCAGGGATGTGGTACTGACGACGCTGGGTGTGGCGGCTTTGGTGGTTCCCATGGCCTGGCTCACACACACCTGCTGCTGCCCAGATGTTTTCATTACAGAGCTGATAGAGGCTGACGGACCTGGAGCTGTTCCTTCCGACTGCTCTCCCACAAGGCCACAAATAAAAGAGCAGTGTCACATATTTAGAACAATGACTCCCACACAGCACTCAGTAAATATCACCTATTATTTATATTACCTATTACTCATTTATAATTACATATTAAATGTCATTCCAATTAAAATGACTATTTTCTTATTTGGTGGTTCCAATACTTCTAGATTTCATGAAACAGGAAAGCTAAAAAGCTTATGTGCAGTGCTACCATACTGAAAAAATCTAACACCTATTATCTTACTTTATAAAAACACTTTCTCCACACTAAAAAATAGGAAGAAAAAGGATAAAATGGGCTTTATCCAGAATGTCTGTCACTTCATTCAACATATGTCAGGCATAGCATCAAATGCTGAGATTTGGAGACAGAAGTCATCAGAAAGGAGTCCCAAGAGTGCGACGGATGCGACAGCAAGCCCAGACACCTGCACTGCCTGTCCTGAGACGGCAAAGACGGTACTAGCAGGAGCTTCAGAATCTTCAGAGAAAAGGAGATACAGCAGAGTGTTTCCTGGCCCAGGAGAGGGTACAGAAAGCCAGATGGGTGTGAAAGAACACGGTATGTGCAAGAAGCTGCAAAGGACGTGATTGGTGACCAGGCACATGAGAAAAAGAGGTAGTTGTAGGAAACGAAGCTTCAGAAATAATCAAGTCAGATCATAAGATTCCCTGAAATCCCAAGACAACCCAGAGGGGAAACTGCCTTTAATGCATGTTGCTGGAAAAAAAGCTAGTTATTTACAGCAAAATAGTAAAGGTGGCTCTCAAGTTATATTATAAACAAAAATTAATTAAAAAATGAATCAAGGACCTAGATGTAAGAAACAAAACTATACAAAAATCTCAGAAGAGGAGTCAGTGTCTGGCTGCAATGCTGGCATCCCATATGGATACTGGTTCAAGTCCCAGCTGCTCCATTTCTGGGAAGGCAGCAGAGGATGGCCTAAGTCATTGGGCCCTTGCACCCACATGGGAGACTCAGGAGAAGCTCCTGGCCCCTGGCTTCAGATCACCTTAGCTCTGGCCACTGTGGCCATTTGGAGAAGTACATCAGTGAACAGAAGATTCTCTTTGTTTCTCCTCCTCTATAACTCCTTCAGTCTTTCAAATAAAAATAAATTTTAAAATCTCAGAAGAAAACATAGGCTTAAATTTAATTATCTTGCATTAGGTTTCTTAGATGTGATACCCAAAGAACAACTAAAGAAAAACAAGTAATAGACCTCTTTGTTTTTTGATGCAGTGGATTAAGCTACAATCTGCAGAGCCAGCATCCCATACGGTGCTGGTTCAGGTCCTGCTGCTCCCACTTCCAATCCAGCTTCTTGCTATTGTGCCTGCAAAAGCAGCAGATAATGGCCCAAGGGCTTAGGCCCCTGTTCCTCTAGGGGGGACCCATAAGAAGCTCCTGGCTTCAGCCTGGTTCATGGCCATTTGGGCAGTGAACCAAAAAATGAAAGATTTCTCTTTCTGTTTCTCCATTCTCTAACTGTTTGAAACAGCAAACTGATATATAAAACAAAAAAATCCATGTTTCAAAGGATACTAGCAAGAAAGTAAAATGTCAGATCAGAGTAGGAGCAAACTTTTACAAACATCTATAAGATCTACACTACAATCTCAAAAAATACTTTAATTCAATAGTAAGTCCATTGAAAATGGGCAAAGGATCTGAATGGATGCTTCTTCAAAGACATGCAAATGGCCAATAAATGCATGAAAAGATGTTCAATATCACTAGCCATCAGGAAACTGCAAACCAAAGCACGACAGGGAAGGGGTGGGGGCACTTGGCACAGCAGTTAAGCTGCCACCTTGGGACACCTGCTTCCACATGATGGTATCAAATTGGATACTAGTTCCTCTGCTTCTGATCCAATGTCCTGCTAACACGCATACTAGAAGGCAAATGATGATGGCTCAGGTACTTGAGTCTCTGCTACCATGGAGACCCAAGCTGAGTTCTGGGCTTCTGGGTTTCATCCTAGTCCAGACAAAGCTGTTGTGGTCCACCAGGCAGTTAACCAGTAGATGGAATATTTCTCACTTTCTCTAACCTTGCAAATAAAACTTTAAAAGATATATTAAAAAAAAACTACAAACAAGAAAACTAAATAAAAAAATGAGACAACCACTAGAAAACATATACCATACATTTAATAAAGTGATTCCTTTAAAAAAATAACACCCACAGCAAGATACCACTGCATATCCAAAAGGAAGGAAACAGACAAAATCAGGTGCTACAGAGTGTGCAAAGATTGGACTCCTCATACATGGCTGATGGGAAGCTTTATTTTTCTTGTTAAAGATTTATTATTTATTTAACTTCAAAGAGTTAACAAAAACAGAGAGAGAGACAGAGAGACTGTCCATTCACTTGTTGATTCACTCCCCGAACGGTCCAATGGCTAGAGCTGAGCTGATACGAAGCTAGCAGCTTCCTCAGTGTCTTCCACATGGGTGTAGGGGCCAAGTACATGAGCCATTCTCTGCTGCCTTCCCAGGTCATAAGCAGGGAGCTGGATTGAGAAATGGAAGAGCCAGAATTTGAACTTTTGCCCACATAGGATGCCAGTGCCACAGATGAAGTGCCCACTGTGCCACTGTGCCAGCCACAGTTGATGGAAATGTGAAATAGTGTGGTCATTTGGTGAAAGAGTTTTGTATTCCTTAAAACGTTAAACAAAGAGTTACCATATGATCCAGAAATTTCATTCCTAGGTATATAGCCAAGGGAAATGAAAAGGTATTTATACAAATATTTGTACATAACTATTCATAGAAGCATTATTCATGTAAAAAAGTAGAAAATAATTCAGATGGCCATCATTTGACAAACTGATGAATTGTTATATTCACAAAATCAACTGACATTCAGTCATAAAAAGAGATGATGTATTAACCACTGCTTTACCATGGACCTTCAAAATGTAATTCTACACTTGACCTTAGCCAAAAGGCTGAGAAGCGGTCAAAATGTAATTCTAAGAAAAAAAAATCAGTAACATAAAAGGTAACCTGCTGTATCACTACATTTATACAAAGTGTCCAGAATAGGCAAATCCACAAAGGAAGGTGAGTTGAGTGGTTGCCTAGCGTGGCCAGAAGGGGTAACTCAGGCATGAGCTGCATGTGGGTATGGAGTTTCTTTAGATCTAAAACAATGTTCTGGCATGAGATGAACACAATGGCTGCACGTTTCTTTCCCACTACCTGTGCACTACAGAGTGGGGGATTTTACACTGCGTGAATGTGAAAACTTCTAAAGCAGCAGCAACATTTCAGTTTACTTTCACTGTTTGATCATGATGTGTGAGTGTTGTGCTAATTCTCACCTGCTGTGCAGGACCATTTGCTGAAAGGGCCACAGCTGGCGAAGCGGTGGCTGTGATGACCCCGCCTGCCACTCGGAGCATGGTGGTTCCAGGCTTAGAGAGCTGCGAGGTGGCTGGCACAGACTTCAAGGTGCCATCCGAAATTTTCATGAGAGATGCCTGTCCCCCAGGAGCTGCCTGCAGAAACAGAAAACAGGAAAGTAACAATGTTGCCCTGGTAATAAATAGGTTCAATTAATATCCTATCTACATTTCAGTTGTGACCCAAGAACTGGAGGCAATACAGAAAGTCTTACTCATCAAGCTATGGGAGGTGTTTCTGCATTTATGCTGCTAACAAGCTCTAAATTTTAATGATTTCCAGTCCACTAATAATATTCTTTTACTTTCCAAACTCATATGAAACAAGTAAATGAATGCATTTTAAAGTTTTTTGGCAGCAGTGTCTTCAAAACTACATACCATTTGTTTTTAAAATAATCAAGTCCAAGTGCTCTCAAATGCATATACAATACTTAAATATGAAATTCAAATCCAGACAAAGTCAAATTTAAGTGGGCAAGTTAATGGTGCTCTAGGCAAGGAATTTCATCACTCGATAACCACTCAACAAGGAACAGTCTTGGCAATCTACGTCAAGGCTCAGCCAATTCTTTTGTAAATGGCATTAAGTATTTTTGGCTTTGCACACGATGGAATCTTCAGTGCAATGTTTCAATTCCACTATCATAATATGGAATAGGTGTAATGAAATTGTAATAAAAATAGTATCTACAAAAAAGTAAATAAACCACAGAAACTAATATATCTCTGTCACCTGTCAGTCTCTGAGAGCTCATTAACAAGCACCAGGAACAGCAGAAAGCGCATGTGCATATCTCACAGAATTCCTGAGTTACTCTCTTCGCTAACTTTATAGGTTGGATTTTAGTTTTATCTTAGATGAGAAGATAAAGCCCAGCAGCTTTTACTATAGTCACACAGCCAGTAAATGGAGAAGTTACGATTACAGACCAGAAATAATAGCCACTGTGTAATTCATTTTAGAGTCTTAGAAAATGATACTATTTCACACTCACAAAAATAGCTAAAATGACAAAGAATAATGACTGGTGATCTCCCTAACTATTAAGGATGTAGAGCAACTAGAACTGTCCCACATGACTAATGGGAAAGTTACAACCATTTTAGCATGCTGTCAATTTCTTATAAACACACATTTACCTTATGAATTAGCAACTGTGAAGTACAAAAAGAAAAATCTCTAAGGGATGTTTACAGCAGTTTTATTTGTAACTAAAAACAACAACAACATCCAAACACGCATCAAAAGAAGTTATATAGGGGTTGGCATTGTGGTACAGCAGATTAAGCTGCTGCCTGCAACGCTGGCATTGCTGCACTTCTAATCCTGTCAGTGCTCCTGAGAAAAGCAGAAGATGGCACAAGTACCTGAGCCCTGCCACCCACGTGGGAGACCTGGATGGAGCTCCAGACTCTTGGCTTCAACCTGGCCCTGCCACAGCCACTGGAACCAGATAGGGGATTCTCCCTCTCTCCCTCTATTTCTGTTTCAATAATCAATCTACTAAAAAAAAAAGTCGCATGACATACACCACTCCAGAACAGCAGAGGGATGGGTACATCCCATACCAGAGAGCTGTTTCGAGTCTTGCCTAGCTCTTCCTAAGCTCCTAGCTTAAGTGCATGGGAAGCAGTGCAGGATGGACCAAGTGTCTGAGTTCCTTACAATCACGTGGAAGATCTGGATGAGAATCCTTATTCTTAGCTTCACTCTGGCCCAGGCCTGGCTGTTGTGGCCCTTTGGGGAGTGAACTAGTAATGGAAGAACTGTTTTTTCTCTTTAAAACAGTGCTTTCAAATAAATAAGTCTTGACAAAAAAAGGAGGTAGAAATAGGCTATGGATGCACATATGGACCAATTAGAAACAGTAGTTGAATAACAGAATGAAACAAGAGTACACAGTGTACAATTCCAGTATTAAGAGCTTAAAGAACAGACAAAAGCTGTTAATTGTAACACAAAAACAAAACAAAAAGCAAGCACTGGAAAAGGAAACAAGGGGAATGGTTAGAGTGTCAAAATTAGTCTGTGATCTTCATTGAAAAGCTGTGGTATAAGCATATATATGAGCAGCACACTGACAATCTCTTCATTATTATAGAAATGGTAGCTTGATAAAAGATGTAGGAAATAAAGGAACATTTAAAGCTTACATTTTCTAGAGCTTAGCTGTGGTTTGGTTCTATAACTTTAACATGAAGTACTAATGAGAAGTTAAGAAATGCCTGAATAGTTGGAGAACAGATTTGCATTTTAATCAGAAAAGCCACCCTCACTGAAGTGGGCAGCCATCATCCAATCTGTTAAGGATCCCAACAGAACTAAGAGCAGAAGGAAAAATTCCCTCTCTCCCCTTCAGCTGAGACATTCATCTTCTATCTGTAGACATCGTGGCTCCTCAATAGGGCCTTACCCTGGAATTGATGCCTTTGTGTCTCTCACTCCCATCCTTGGCTATGGGGGAGGGGGAGTAAAGGCAACCCAACAGATGGCTTCACTGCTGTGCCAAACGCCTGTCTCCACATATCTTTGTTTTAATTACTAAAAAAGACTTCTCAGGGCGGGTGCTGTGGAGTAGGAGGCTAAGCTGCTATCTGGGACACTCTGGGATGCCTGTATCTCACATCAGAATGTAGTGAATGGAGTCCTGCCTCCACTTGAGATCCAACTTTCTGCTAACTCACCTGGGAGGCAGCAGACTGCCTCCAGTGTCTGGGTTCCTGAAGGCCACGTGGGAGACCAACACTGAATTCCTTGTTCATACGGTCAGCAAAGATCAGAGCCAGCTATTGAGGGACTCCACTGACCAGGCCATTGCACCCACATGCGAGAGAGAGCACTGGAGTGGATAAGGGGACTGGGAAGGCCTCCCAAGGCCAGGCTGCCCAATCTGCAAGAGTCACATTCTGGGGCCAGTCTGGTGAGGGTCGGTGAGGTAGGCTGTTGCACCGGCATCATGGGCTGGGGTTGCAGAATCCATTGGCTGACATAGTCTACCCTACAGTCTCTGTCCCAGATTTTCACTGCCAACACGTGGCTGGGGTAGTTGATCGATTTGTTCTTTCCTCTGTCCTCTGTTGTGCTACCAGGTGTCCTATGTAGGTTCCAATGAACTGCCATATCCTCCATGTGCACCCGGATATGCTGACCACTGCTCCATCTGAGCCACTGAGGAAGCTCAGCTTTGACACTTGCATTCCATGGTTAGATCATGGAACCTGCATTTCTCTCCGTGGTTGGGGTTCTGAGATCAGCAGTTCAGCTGAAGGGATCTCCAAAGAAATACCATCTGAGGTAATCCCAGACCTGATTCTTGTGTGTGTATGCCAGTATAGGGTCAGGCACAGTCCATCGCCCCAATTTGCTTATGCATATGCTGGTGGTTGCAATTGCTGGGTCAGTTCTGTTTCCAGCCTTGTCTTCTACACAAGCCAATGGGTGTTGCAGTCCAGCCTGATCCTGCCCACTTCACACTTGGCCCTCACACAAACCAATGGGAGCTGGAGCCTAGTCGGAGCAACCCTCAATAACCCCCACCAGTCCCCATCCCTGCCCTGGTTCCTGTGTTTGCCAGTATGCACAGCAGATTGGTCCATTCTGTCCCACATCCCACATCTCACTCAGCTTCCCTACATGTCAATGGGCAATGAAGCCTAGTTCAACCCAACCAGCCCCCACTATCCAGCCCACACACATGCTGGTATGTGCTGTGCTGTCCAGCCACACCTGCCCCAGTCCTGGTTTTCATGCTTTCCAGTGGGAGTGGTAACACAAGAGGGAGGTGCCCACTATTTCCCTAACTGAGCCCCATTCCCACTGCTGGATCATGTACTCTCCAAATGGTTCTGCAGTTTAACTTGAGAGAATTAGCCCCCAGTGCCAGCATCTGATGCTGTGGCAAAGTCCAATCAACCCTCACCCGTTCTGATTTATGCTTGCACCAGTAGGAACAGTAAGCCCAGTATGGCTTTTCCCTAATCTAGCTCACATGAGAACCACAGGTGTTGTAGCCCAGCCTGGTCTGGTCTGCTCACATCCCAACTCGTGCTCCAATGGGAATGGTGGTCTAGCAGGGGTGCCTTCCACATTCCTCCACCAGCCTTGCCACCTCCCCTCTTGGCTACATGTGCTGGTTGGGTGCTACAGCCTGGTCTGGCATGGCTTGCATCACCTTGTGGCATTTGCCAGTGGGTGCTGTAGCCTGGTCCAGCCTAGCCCAGCTCATACTAGGGTGCGGGGTTAAAGCCTAGCCCAGCAAAGCCGGCATCAGTCCCAGCTGTAATGTGTACTGATATGTGTTGGACCCATCCCAGACTGACCCACACTGTATTCTGGTGCTCAGATTCGTCAGTGGGTAATGTGAACTGTTTCAGCCTGGTCTGCCCCCAACCTGCACCAAATGTATGCTTCTGGGTACCTTTCCTGGCCTATTCTGGGCTGTTCCCTATCGTGGTTCTTGCGCTCACCTGCAGGGACTGTGTCCCCAACAGGAGTTGCCCAGGCTCCTCCATCAGAACCTCTCCCAACGTTAGATCTTGCACACACCAGTGGGTCCATGTGCCAGCACTACTTAGTCCACCTCCTGTCCTAGCAGGAACAGTAGCCTTTCCTGACTGGCTTTCAATCCATTCTGGTTTTTACTGTTGGATGCTTCAGCCCAGCCAAGCCTGGTCCACACCCAGCCACAGCTCACACATAGCTCAGTAGGGGCAGAGACCTAACCTAGCCTGTCCTACACCTACCCTGGTCCTCCAGAGCACCAGTTGGTGCTGAAGTCTAGCTCAGTCTGGTGTGCCCAGCCCCAGTCCACACTTGTGCCAAAGGACACTGCAGCCATATTTAGACCAGAAAGCAGCTCCAAATTCAGTCCCCGCACTCACCAGTGGGAACTCCACCTCAGCCAGGGTGTCCTCTTAGCTCCCCATCAGGCCTGTTCCCAGCAATAGTTCTTGTGCGTGCCAGTGGTTGCTCTGATATCACTAGGCATAGCCCCTCACCTGTCTTTCCCTTTGCTTTAGATGCTCTAGCCTGGCCTGCCCCCAGTCCAGATTCTTGCTGGCAGGTGATAGAACCTGACCCTGCTCAGTCTACTTCCATCCCGGCTCATGCAAATCAGTAGGTGTAAGAGCCTAGCTTGGCAGGACCTGTGCTCCAGCCTGATTTCTGTTCTTACTGATTAGCTAAGGTGTGCTCGGCCATGCCTGATCCACCCCCTTCATAACCAATCCACATATTACTGAACAGCTGGAGCTACTTTGCCCAGCTTGCCTGACCTCCAGGCCTGGACCATGTGATCATCAGCGGTAGTTACGACCCACTAGGGGTTTCCCACTTTCCCCCTCGGTCTACTCCCACACCAGAGTTCATAACAGCTATTAGGTCCTTGCCCAGCATAGTGTACCATTCCATCTTGACCTTGAATGAGCTGGTGAACCTTGTGGCCCGGCCTGCCCCACACCCTACGTTAAGATACACATATGGGTGCTGCAGCCTGGACCTGCCCAGACTGTTATTGGTCCCTGTACCCATAAGCGATGGCAGGTTCTATGGTCACACCTAGCTCAGCCTATCACCACCCCAACTCTTGAGCCAACCAGCAGGACTTGTATTTCCACAGGGTTGGGTCCACACATCCCCAACAGACTCTACTCCCAGACACAGTTCTCTTGCGTGCTGGTTAGTGTCATGGTTCTGCCTAATGTGACCATCCTCTGTTTAGACATTCTGTCAGGTACTAGGATCTAGTCCTGCTAGACAAACCCTCCACCCTAGCTTTTGCGTGGCCTGGCGTGTGGTGGTCAGCACTGTTCAGTGACAACAAGCCCTACACAGGACTCACATGTAAGCTGGTGTATCGATCTGACCCTACAGATCGTATGGGCTCTACCCTCCAAATCACCAGGTTTCAGTACCCTCGCTTACCTCCAAGTAAAGTGACCATGTCATTGAGAGTTCCTCAGGATTGACTCCTTACCAACACATGCAGTGACCTCATTCATGGACATCCTTAGGCAACAATTCCACACCCCTAAGACCCCAGAGCTCACACCGGGCAGCCAGAAGGTGGAGCCTGGCACCAATAGACTCACTGGCCACCTAAATCTCAGGAGTTGCTCACCGCGTGGCAGCGATGGCTGTGGCCTCAGCCCCTACCACCGAGTCTAACCTGGGTTAGGTACCCCCAGCAGCTGCCAGGCTGCTCGAAGCTCCCTCCACCCAGGTCCTGAGGTGGAACTCCCCCATGTCCTTCCTGCCACAAGATGAGCTATTTTAGAGTATTGTTCTTGATACATGATATCAGATTGATGCATCCCTTCAGTATGTTTGCTTGGCAAGTTTTGGAATCTAGCTATAGAATCCTCCTATATAACATTCTGACATCCCACATTCACTTTAAACATGCTGCTTATACTAAGGGACACGGTAGAAACATGTCCTCAATTGTTTTACCATAATTTTGTTTAAAGAGAGAAGCCATCAATAGGTAAATAAACTCCACAATCACCAGCCACTGTGAATTATCTATTTACCTGTGTGAACAGAGTAGTTTTTTGTCCAGAGATCACTTTTAATGTTTGCTGCCCCGGTGTAGAAGATGTGCTAACTCCCAGGGTCCCCTGCACCACTGATCCAGTAGTCAGTTGTTTTCCAGATGTCTGAGGCGATGGCTGGCCAACTAAAAATGTGCCCTAAGTTAGAAAAAAATTAAAAAGGAAAAAATAATTAAAAGATTAATGAATAATTTAACTCAATAACTTGCTCTGATACTGTAATTCATGGGTCCCAAGGTCCATATAACAATGCTGTCTACTTCAATTTTGCAACCCAAAGTAATTTTTTTTTACCTTCAGTTACAAAATTTTGCAGCGTTTACAGAGTAGGCTGTCAGAAACTCAAGTTTTCAAACATAGTTCCCAAAACTAGATACAATCACTCATGCTTGAAATTCTCACCCTTCTAATATGAGCATCTGGAACCTACTCTCCTTGCTGGAGAGTTAAGATTTCAGTGACTGACTGCCATTATGGCTCAACTGGCAATTCTTCTGCCTTTCAGTGCTGGGATCCCACATGAGTGCTGGTTCATATCCCAGCAGCTCCACTTCCCACCCAGCTCCATGCTTGTGGCCTGGGGAAGCAATGGAGGACAGCCCAAAGCCTTGGGACCCTGCACCCACTTGGGAGACCTGTAAGAGGCTCCTGGTTTATGGCTTCAAGTGGACTCAGCTCTGGCCACTATGACATTTGGGCAGTCAATCAGGTGATGGAAGATGTCTCTCTCTCTCTCTTTCTCCTTTTTGCTATAAAATATGCCTTTCCAATAAAATTCAATAAATATTTAAGAAAAAATTTCAGTGACAGGGGAAACAAGGCACATGCTAAGTGAATGTAATTTCAAACATCACACTGATTATTCCCTGCAGGAACAAACTTTCAAATGCACACAGTTTACTACCTGGCACACTCAGGAGGCAACCAGCACAGTGCAAATCTTTCTTTGAAGTACAAAGACCTGTATTTAAACCCAAACTTCACCTTAAGTTTAGCAAAGAAATGTTGAGAAAATTTTCAAGTTGTTCTGAATATTTCCTTTTTCTTTTTTTAAATGGAACGGGTAAAGACCAGCATCAGCTTTCTCTTTTAAAGATTTATTTATTTTTATTGCCAAGTCAGATATACAAAGAGGAGGAGAGACAGAGAAGAACATCTGCTGTCCCATGATTCACTCCCCAAGTGACCGCAACGGCCGGTGTTGCACCAATCTGAAGCCAGGAGTCAGGAACTTTTTCCAGGCCTTCCATGTGGATGCAGGATCCCAAGGCTTGGGCCATCTTCGACTGCTTTCCCAGGCCACAAGCAGGGAGCTGGATGGAAAGTGGGGCCATCGGGATTAGAACCGACGCTCAGAGGGAATCCCGGCATGTTCAAGGTGAGGAATTTAGCCACTAGGCCACTGCACCGGGCCCTCCTCTTTTCTTGAAAAAAGCTCTAAATAAATGGTATTTACACCCCTGATCCCAGAGAAGGTAAAGCAGCTAAGCACCAACAAGCAGACCTGGGGCGTCTGCTTGAGGATGTATGATGTGTAGGTCAGGTGCTGGGACACCCCGCCAGGGCCAGCAGTGCTCGGGGTCCCTCCTGCTCCTGTGGCTCCTCCTCCAGCACCACCACCGCCACCTCCTCCACCTCCGCCAGCAGCACCAGTAGCGGCAGCAGCCGAGCCAGACTGCAGGTCTAAAAATACAAGAAATTAGAGTAACATTGTGAAAGTTGAGCTGAAAAAAACAAGTGGAGCCTAGAGAGATGATTCCTTTTCGGCTTTCCGAATCCTTTCCAGTTTCCATTTCGCTTTGGTGAGCTATTCTGTGACAGGAGTAAGGGAGAACTCCCTGGAGTATCGAGGTGAAGACTCAAATCTGCACTGAGCATTCCCCAAACTCAGAAATGGGAACCTCTGTGAACACTGACATGACAGCAAAGTTTCAGACTCTGGACTTTGAGATTAGTGACGTTCAACAAGGAAAAGCCTGTGCAAACACCCCCAAATCTGAGAACACTTCTGGTCCCGAGCGTTTCAGATGAGGGATACTCGACCTGTGCTTTCAACTGAATGGTGACTGTCTGCATTTTATCTCCAAATACAAAGAAGAACTGTATGTCTGATGGGCATTTTGAATTAGTTGTAGATCAAGAAACAGCCCGACACTGACCTTCAGTAGCCACATGCTTTCATCAGCACTTGAATTTGCTCAGGTAGGTTCTTCTAAACTTTGTGGTGTCTGAGTCAGTTTCACTGAAATTGCTGGCACTTGGTAGAATCTTAGAGTGTTTTATATTTTCTCTTTCTGCTGGCCAGGGGAAACTATATATTTAAAAATACACTAGGGTGCAATTCTTTTTGTTTTTCAAATCCCACAGGCCTTCAGCCCTTTCTAAGTTTTATTTTTGGTGAGATAATGTACATGAATTACCTGGATCATAAACAACTACTTAATAAACATTAAGAGTTCAACTTCCTTCCTCATCTTAACGCCTAACAGATTCTTTCCCAGTGGTTTATCTTGACACTGATATCACAAAAATCTAAGTAGCTTTTAATACGAATTTTGGAATGCTTTACACTATTCTTTTCCTACATATTTGATATTTTCACATCACTGTCGAGATATGAGAAAAAAGGATTAGGGCAAGAGCAGAAATGCCTCAGTACCGGGAATAAAAGCAATGGCAACAGAACTGCTTAATTCCTACGAACCTACCTCCTACTTGTGACTCCTTTTCAGCATCACTCATTGTCTGTAACTCTAGAGAACTACCTGCTCTCCTTGGGGCTTTCAGACGTACACACTGGTATGGTACCAGTATTTCTCTATCTCCAAACTCAGCGTATCTAAGTAGTACAAATGACGGCAAGCAGGGACACTTGATTCTACTCACAGTCCTATCTCCTTGAACAGAAAGTCAGACCTGCGGATACTGGGAGTATATGAGCCTTGCCTTTGGAATCACTGATTTTTTTCAGTAGACAATTCTCCTCCCTCAACCTACCCACCAGAAAACCTCAACATCCCGATCTCTCCAGGTATGAACCCCAAATAATAACACTGCCATTTCCTAAGAATACAACTATTTTAACCCATTTGCACCAAAATTAGCTGATGTCTTAAATCCATCTGAGTGAATGGCTACTGTTACACCACCCTTAGACAAATGCTACCTGAAACAAGTGAGAACTGTCCTCAGGTGGATGAGACAAACATACCCAGAGACCAAGAACCAAAGGATTTAATGATGGACTAACTGGCATTGTTGGTGGCTCTCAGGATGGCTCCTTGAGGGATCAGCAGCAGCTTTCCTTTTCCAGAAGGGTTCTTGCTGTTTGTTGTAAGGTAGAGTTTAGTGCCCGGAGGCAAATTTGCCAGGTTAGCTAAATTAGTGGCTGGCAGCTGCAATGTTGCCATTACTAAAATCACGGAGAGAAAAACAAGGAAGAAAAACGGTAAAACAAAAAGGAACTCAGGCATCACTTCAATAAATTCAAGAGTTAATAAATTAAAAACATGAACACACAGTCTTTAAAGGTTGGTATTCCTAAATAGCTTGTTAATTAAAAAGTATTATACCAAAAGAACCTACCACAAACTATTTCTGCACATAAGCAAGATGATCATTTGTGTTAATTTTGTATAGAAAGGTGCTAATTTACACATATGTCCCATTGTTATTTATTAAAAGTGATTATTTTGGGCTCGGTGCGGTAACCTAGTGACTAAATCCTTGCCTTGCAGGCTCCAGGATCCCACACGTGTGCCAAGTTTGTATCCTGGCTGTTTCACTTCCTATCCAGCTCCCTGCTTGTGGCCTGGGAAAACAGTAGAGGGCAGCTCAAAGCCTTGGGATCCTGCACCCATGTGGGAGACCAGGAAGAAGCTCCTGGCTTCAAACTGGCCCAGCTCTGGCTGTTAAGGCCACTTGGAGAGTGAATCAGTGGACAGAAGATCTTTCTGTCTTTCTGTAAATCAGCCTTTCCAATAAAAAGAAATAAATCTTTTAAGTGATTACTTTTACTCTGACAAGTATTGATATTTACACTTTTAATCAATGACACATTTTCTCCCATTTGTTTTGAGTCCCTTCAGTCCATTTTTAGTATGATAATTCATGCATTTCAAATAAGACTTCTAGCTCCCCTAACTCCTGCAGGAGTAAGATAACGCTTCAATTAACAACTGGCACATACATTATGAAGCTGTAAATTATCTCTTCATAAATTTCATCTAAAAAAGTTTTCCTTTGGATCCACATGGTATAGATTCCTGAACATAAGTCTTGAGGAGCTTAAATTTAACTTTTCTGCAGATACCTTAAGTTTAGAAAAATCTCTATAATCAAGCCCATAGAATCAACTGGGTCAGCGAGAGGGAAAGCTTCTTGGACTTTGTGAGCCTGGGAGTGGTCTTTTTGATGCCCACCCTCTGGGAAGCAGGAACCCTGACATCTAGCCCCACATCAAAAGGATGTTTAAAGGACAACGGCAGTAGAACGGAGCGCCACTCCTCTCCACAGTGAGTACAGCCCGGCCGCTCCGCCCCTGCGCCAAGGGCAGACCTCCCTGGTCGTCCACATGCACCTGGACTCACACTTTCAAGTTCCTGAGCTGAATCACCCCTTCATTCTCCTCCTTTCTCACCAGCTCCTTCCACGCCTCCAGAAATTCCTGCTGTGACTGGACTTCAAACGTTCAACCTGCATGTAGGGATCAGCCCCCATTCTCTTGATTTTATATATGTTTAATGTACTTTTCCACCTTTTTAATTTATTTTTTGTGAAAGGCAAAGTTACAGAGAAGGAAGGATAGACATCTTTCATCTTCTGGTTCACTCCCCAGATGGCTGCAATGGCCAGATCTGGACCAGTCTGACACCAGGAGCCAGCAGCTTCTTCCCAGTCTCCCACAATGATACAGGGGCCCCAGCACCTGAGCCATCCTCTGCTGCCTTCTTAGGCCATAAACAGGGAGCTGAATCAGAAGTGGAGACGCAGGCAGAGATTCAGCCTGCTACATCATGGCACTGGCCTCTGTTTATTATATGTTATACTATCTCTGTCACAGTAAATATATATAGTTTAACAGACATTATATGCATTTAAGCCTACTTGCATACCTGTATGTAAAATATGCTTTAAAATGACAGATTTCTTAATGCATACATTTACTGCATTGACCTATGGTTTGCTTTTGTGAACCAAACCAAGAATCAAATAAAATCACTGGCAAAGGGAATTTTGGATGCTAATACTTCTCCAAGAGCCCCCAAACAACCCTTACCTGAGCCCTGGGATCCACTTTTCTGAGGGCCGGCGGCAGTGACCTGAGCCTTGGTTAAGGTCTGCACCGGCTGAGCAACAATGGTTCCTCCGCCTCCGCTCACAATTGCTTTGGCAACTCCTTGGGTCACAACTTGCTTGGGACCAACTGCTTTGGCGACAGAAGAGCTGGCCTTGGCCACGAGGATTTGGCCACCGCTGATGGCCACAGCCTGTTTCACTGCTGAAGGTAAAGTAGATCCGACCGGCACCCCAACAACCTGTTCAAACCAGAGGACAGTTAGCAGTGCTCCTTCTCAGAGGCCCTCAAGACCTCGCAGGCTCTCCATTCTAGCAATGAACAAGGTAAAGGCCTAGGCAAAATAAAGAGATGAACCCAGCCATACTACCCAGACTGCTATAACACCACCACCATGTCCTCATTTACAAATTACTAACGGTTACACATTGTCCTATCTCGGCTTCAACGAAGGCATATCAGAAAAACCTTCCAGATTGAGAATGCTGCCTCTGCAGTTCAATGTATGCTTCTTAGTCCCTCGAATGTAAAACACACAGCTGAGATCACACTATACACATAGTTTCAGAATGTTTTTATTTAATATCCTATTATAAGCATTTTATAATGTGATTTATAGTGCCAAATTAGGGTAACATCTCCTATTACCCAGTTCTTTATCACTCCAAAGAACATCTCACCAGAAATCAGATAAAGACTTATATTTAAATAAGAAAAAATGTAATGTTGGAGAGCCCAGCACGGTAGCCTTGTATGTGCCAGGATCCCATATGGGTGCTGGTTTGCAACCTGGCCGCTCCACTTCCCTTTTAGCTCCCTGCTTGTAGCCTGGGAAAGCAGCTGAGGATGGTCCAAGGTGTTGGGACTCTGCATCTGCGTGGGAGACCCAAAGAGGCTCCTGGCTTCAGATTAGCTCAACTCCAGCCATTGCAGTCACTTGGGGATTGAACCAGCAGATGGAACATCTCCCTCTCTGCCTTCTGCCTTTCTAATAAGATGTAAGAAATCTAACAAACAAACAAACAAAAAAGGATTTTTTCCCCTTAAAGACAAACAAAGGTACAGCAGGAAGTACTTTTCACTCATCAGCTGGGAAGAAAGGATAGATAAGAAGTCAACATGGCGTTACCTAGAAGATCTGGTGAAACATGAACTCCTATCCCGGCTGGTGATAGGAAGGGAAGTATCTACTCAAACTTGATGATTCACCTGTTTTATCATTGCAGGAATTCTACTTTTAGGAAGGTATCCCAGATAAATCTTAAGACACATGCTCAAGGGAACATAAACAAGACTGCTTAATTATTGGCAAATCTTCATGTCTAAGATATGTAACAATCTCTTCAGAGTCTACAGACAGAGGAATGAGTAAACCGAGGTATAACAGTGAACTGGAGCTATCTATATATCTGCATAAAGACTAAAAGAATATCTACTGCGTGAAAAGGAACTGCATAAAAATATAATTATTCTTTATGTAACTTAGAAAAAACCCAGTAACACATGTTCTTAGTGTCTAGTATTTATGTAACGGAAGCATCAACTGGAAGGCTACAGATCACATTCCTGATAATGTCTCCAGAAAGGACAACGTGGACTTCAACCTTATCGGTCATGTTTGGGGAGGAAATAGATCTACACATGATCTTAGCCAAAAGGCCGAGAAGCGATGAGGGAAAAGATCTGAAGTAAACCTAGACCTGTTCAATCGGGATGGAGCATATGTGAGTACAGACTACATTATCTTCCCCAAATTTTATTCTTTCTAAATTAAAAAATAAATAAATACCAGAATTATTTAGGAGGTGGAACAAAACAACAAATCACACTCAGCTGATGAATGGAATGTCTCAATTCAAGAATTACAAAATCAAATGTAGCCTCTTACCAAAGACTGTGACTATGGTAAAACAATTTCTCATGTGTGTAGGAAACACGGATGTACACAAAATGGTCCCCTATGAGACTGTTAATAACCACAGTCTAATACAGCGGAAAGAGCACAGGCGAAGGGCACGGCAGAAGGGTAACAGCTCCAATGTTAGCAGAGAGGTCTGTTCCACAGATTACTTACCTGGTTAGTGGTTGGGTAAGTAACTTAACCTCTGGAATTTAGCATTAGCCTATTCATCTATGCTATCCACATCACTTTTATCTCATAAAATCATGAAGCAATTAAGAACATGTTTATGTGATGTCCAGCTGACATGACAGTGCTTCTGGGCTTACAATACTCTTCTTAAGAGAGGAACGGTAATTCATAAGGCCACAGAGAAACTAGGCAAGGAGAGTGCCAATGGCAAATATCTGTTATTATCTTTAGCATCTGGCCAAGGGACAGGCCCTTGATGTCCAACCATGGACTCAAACACAAACTAATCTTGAATGAAACCACACGGCATCTGTGATCTGCTTTAAACTATTCCATGAGAAAGAACAAACTCAGCAAAATGATCAAACTGGGTAAGAGGCGTATGCGACTGTTACACTGCTGTTTCTACCACTATGCATGTTTAAAGAAGGGAACAGAACAAGAAAGAAGCAAAAGGGTAACAGGACCAATGGAAACAAGCAAGTTATCCCAGAATGGAAGACAGACGGTTCATCCCCTCGGCTCTCCTGGCTCGGTGCAGACAGCCCTACAATCTAGAGGTACACCTACGGTCCTCTATTCCAGCTGTGGAGGATGTAGCTGGAGACCAGAGCTGAGCTGAGCTGAGGCTACCTCCCCAGAGACACGGACATGGAAATCCTCATTCATCCAGAACTCTTCTGTGCATCAAAAGAAAACCAAACGGAGGCGGGGGGAGCCGGGGGTGACACGAACTTCCAGTTGAGCCTCAGTGTTCACTTTGTCCTTTTCTCCTGTAGTAACCGAGCCCAGCTTTAGCATGGGGGAGTAGCCGCAGAAAATGCAGTCTGCATTTACTCCCCCCTTTGCCCTGCCCTCTGAGCGAGAATGATGACACCAACTGCATTTTAACTCCTTCCCAGCTTGCGCCTTTCATTCTGGCAAAAAGCGTTGTATCCAGTGCATGAGATGAAACATCTGCCGCAGGCCATAAGCTGAAACCGAAATTCTGAGAAGAGGAGGAGGTGAGAGTCTAGATTTCTGACAACTACAAAGCCATCAAGGTAGAAGTGACTGCTAGTCTTTCATATATAATATAAACAAACTTATTTAGGCTTTTGATGTTATAATTTCTCTGTTGTAGCAAACTTTCTTCCTAAGATATAACTGTCCTTGGGCATTGTACCGTAGCCATCACCTGTGACCCTTGCACTCCATGCAGGTGCTGATTTATATTCAGGCTGCTCCACTTCTGATTCAACTCCCTGTTAATGGCCTGGGAAAAGCCTTACAAGACTACCCCAATGTTTGGGCACCTGCACCCACGTGGGAGACCCGGAGGAAGCTCCTGGCTTTAGCCTAACAAGCTGTAGATGTTGTAGCCATCTGCGGGAATTTCTCTCTCTGTATCTCCCTTTTTGTAATCCTGACTTACAAATAAATGAATCAATCTTTTTTTAAAAAAAATAAAATTCTTCATACTTCCCAAATACATCAAACAATCCATCTAATAAACTATACATAATCTATTTCCATGTTCCTAAGCTGAGAAAGGAAGTGAATATTTAAAGGAAAACAAAAATACACATTGGGCCTATTTCAATTTCCTCCCCATCACACCATGCTAACTTACTTTTCCCTCCTTCCAAAAATCACTTCAAGGTTTCTAGGATGACTTCTGTCGAACAGCCCAACCAAATGCAGTATTGCAAGTCAGCCACACGAGGGCAGTCTTCACAGCAGCTTATATAAGGCACACCCCGCTGGCAAGATGAAAACTCACTTTGGAAATTTTAATCCAAGGAAGTAAAATGTATTCTGTTTGGAAAAGCTACCCAAAGCTGATATTGGACAAGGAAGCAGACAGGGCTCCTAAGTAAGACACCATTAACCCAAATTAATACTTATGTTTTTTTTGTGGAATATTAAATTTAATCTTTTGTATTATTAGTTCATTTTAAGACACAGCTTCATAGGCTCTGGGATTCCCCCAATTCCTCTCCAAGACCTCCCTCCATATTGTTACAGTACTACAGTTCATAACCAGTCATGATTCCTTCATTGTGGGCACGGACCACCCAGAGTCCACGTCATCCACTGGCAACTCCAGGCACCAGTGTGGGTCGACCCAGGTTCTGTCGCAACAAAGACTAGTGCACAATATGGAATGCCGAGGTGAGGTTGCCTGTACCGAAGGGACCGCAGCGCCCAACCAGCCTGAGAACAAGAAAGGAAGTGGGCAGAGCCGGCAGGGGAATAAGGGAGGGTTCCTTTGCTGGACAGATACTTCCGCAGGAGAGCATAGGCTGGGATGGGGGCAGACCAGATTAGGCAGAGCTACCACACCTGTGTGCCTCATGTGGACTAGATCAGGGAAAAGCCAGGCTCGGCGGATTATTCCTACTGGTGCAAACAAAATTAAAGTGGGCGAGGGTTGTTTGGGCTTAGACGCACCATCAGCTGGAATCTGGGAGTGGGAGAGGCCTGGGAGGGAAATAGTGGGCTCATCCCTCTTGAGTTACCACTTCCACAGGAGGACATAAAACTAAGATAGCGGCTGGGGTGGAATGGGGTGTGGGACAGACTGGATTACTGCTACACTTACTGGCAAACCAGGGTAGGGGGTGGGCCTGGTGGAGGTTATTGTGGGTCGCTCAAACTAGGCTACAGCTCCCACTGGTTTATGTGAGGGCCACGTATGTGCTGGGCAGAACCAGGCTAGACTGCAACACCCATTGGTTCCAGTGGAAGTCGGGAGTGAAAACAGAACCAACCCAGCAATTGCAACCACCAACTGATTGGAGCGATGGACGGTGCCAGGCCCTGTACTTGTTAGCACATACAAGAAGTTTCTTTGGAGATCTTCCTAATCTAAATGCTGGACTCAGAACCCTAACGAAGAAAAGAGAGAAGACAGAACGGGTCAACCAACCATCTCAGCTATGATGGACTATGTCAATCAGTGGATTTTTCGAAGACCTCATAGTGCTTGGAGTGGCAAGATTGGCAGCAATTCATAACTGTTGCAATATCAAAACCACTTGAGCAAGAACCTCAGAGCATGCCCTACATCCGGGACCTGGGGAGGGTGGGAAAATGGGTGGGCCTTCTCCCTTAATACCCCCCTTTTAAACATGAAGGTAACAATATGGAAAACATACTAGTCTTATCCACTTTCCTGTAGCCCTTGAACCTTCTTACCCTAATTAACTATGTAAAGAATGTCAAAATAAAATTTTATTTAAAAAAAAAAGAAAAAAAATACTTATGTTTTTTAACAATTGAATTTTCTGGCTTAAAGCCTAAACTCACTAACTCTTCACTTTCCATTCTAGGACATTTTCTATGTACTAGTAGCTAGCTTCTTTTTATATTTTCTTCATCAGTACATGACTTTTAAGAGCAAATTAGTCTGTAAAAGTGGTTAATGGAGTTACATATATTAAACATTAATATCTCTCTAAAGCATATAGACAACATGTTTAAAGCTTTCTAATCTCTTTTTAAAAATATTTATTTATTTTTATTGCAATCAGATATAAAGAGAGGAGAGACAGAGAGGAAGATCTTCTGTCTGATGATTCATTCCCCAAGTGAGCACTATAGCCAGAAGCTGAGCCGATCCAAAGCCAGGAGCCAGGAACTCTTCCGGGTCTCCCACGCAGGTGCAGGTTCCCAAGGCTTTGGGGCTGTTCTCCACTGCTTTCCCAGGCCACAAGCAGGGCCTGGATGGGAAGCAGGGACGCTGGGATTAGAACTGGTGCCCCATGGGGATCCTGGCACGTTCACAGCAAGAACTTTAGCCGCTAGGCCACCACGCTGGGCCCAAAAGCTTTTTAATCTCTTACTTTTCCTCTCAAAACAATCTCTGTGCAGCAGTTGCTGTGGGCAAAGCAGAATGCCAATTCATGTCACAGAACTGCTGCTTCCTGCTGACGTAAGCTGGGACGTAGAGGAGGGTTCAAGAATCAGGGGCCCCTGCCACCTGAGTTCTGGTCTCCAGGCTTTAACCTGGCCCAGCCCTGGCTGTATGTGGCATTTGGGGAGTGAACCCATAAATGAAAGATTTAAAGATTGAGCTCTCTATGCTTTAAAGATGGGAATAAATGAACACCTTTAAAAAAATGCGATTCACTTCTCCTAGACAGGATGGTTTCCAATTTAAAAACACACACACTTAGAGTGTGTCTGCCAAAAAATGAGATAGTTTAATTCTTGCTGTTCTAAAACAAAGCATAATGTGTAGTAGAATTGCTGCTCCATGATTCTATTAGTTCTGGAAGGAGTGTGGAGTTGGTCAATATGGGTTCAAACCCTCTATCACTAGTTGATGCTTTCACTGGAGCCAGTTACCTCATTTGTAAAACTACTTTGCAGGGTTGGATGAGGATTACGGATAATGTATAAAGGTAAGCATGGCACATATTAAACATTAATTAGACACCACTTCTTTCTAACTGATGCTGAATACATGGATTTATGTGCTGTTTCATAGTTCTCAAAATACACTAATTTGGGGGACTAGTACCATAGCATAGTTCATAGTTCACTAAGCCTCTGCCTACACTGCTGGCATCCCATATGGGCACCAGTTTGTGTCCCAGGTGCTCTACTTCCAGTACTAATGGCCTGGGAAAGCAGTGGAGGATGCCTGACATCCTTGACCCCACACTCAAGTGGGACTTGGAAGAAGCTCCTGGTTTCAGATTGGTCCAGGTCTGGCTGTGACCATTTGGGGAATGGGTCAGCAAATGAAAGATTTCTGTCCCTACACCTTTCTCGGGAACTCTACCTTTTGAATAAAAGAACAAAAGGGCCTGGAGTGATGGCTCAATGGCATCCACTTAGGAGACCTGGAAGAGGCTCCTGGTTCTTGACTTTAGGTTGGCTCAGCTCTGGTCAATGTGGCTACCTGGGAATGAACTAGTGAATGGAAGGTCTCTTTCTCTGTCTCTCCTTCTCTCTGTAAATATTTCTAATAAAAATAAATCTTAAAAAAAAAGAAATATATTGGTTCTTCTGTAGCTCAGATGAGCCAAGGATGACTAAATAGATCACACAGCACTGACATCAGAAGCAGGAAGTGCAGCACTCACTCTCCTACGAGAAACCAAGGTCAAAGGTGGGCATTTGGTCTAGCAGCTAAGAAAGTAAAGAAAGATGCCCATGCCACACTGGGGTGGCATGGATTCATTACCTGACCCTGGCTCCAGATTCCAGCTTCCTGCTAAGATGGGACTCTGGGAGGCAATGGGGACGCCTCAAGTTCCTGCCACTAACATACTTCAGCCTGATCCACTGTGGCATCTGGGGAGGGAACCCACAGACGGGAGCTCACTCTCAACTAAATTACATATAAAAACCTCTTCTGAAGAAATAAGCGATACATTTATCTCAAATGTGAATCAAGTGGAAATTTCTATGAAGTCAGTCACCTTCACTGTCAAAGAGACAGCAGGGTGTCTTTCTGCCTCTTTGACAATTCCTGGACCCTCCATAACACACACTCTACTCTGGTCGAGGACTACTACAGAAGCAAAAGGTCTGATCAGCTACTGATTTGTTTCTCAGATTTTATTTTTATTGGTGAGATATGAAGAGAGGAGGAGAGACAGAGAGGAAGATCTGTCTGTTGATTCACTACCCAAGTGACCACAACAGCCGAAGCTGAGCTGACCCGTAGCCACGAACCCGGAGTAGGGTCCCAAGGCTTTGGGCCAACCTTAATTGCTTTCCTAGGCCACAAGCAGGAAGCTGGATGGAGACCCCGACACTTGCAAGGCAAGGACTTTAGAAACTAGGCTACCACACTGGGCCAAACTGGTTTGTTTTTATAGCTAGGCTTTCTTTTTTTTATTATTATTATTTTTATTGGAAAGTCAGATATACAGAGAGGAGGAGACACAGAGAGTAAGATCTTCCGTCTGATGATTCACTCCCCAAGTGACCTCAATGACCGGTGCTTGCCAATCTGGAGCCAGGAGCCAGGAGTTCTTCCAGATCTCCCACGCGGCTGCAGGGTCCCAAGTCTGGGCCATGGTCGACTGCTTTCCCAGGCTACAAGCAGGGAGCTGGATGGGAAGCAGGGCCACCGGGATTAGAACCGACACCCATATGGGATTCTGGCGCGTGCAAGGCGAGGACTTTTACCACTATGCTATCACGCCGGGCCCATAGCTAGGCTCTCATTTACAGGTTTTACGTGGTTAGCAGCTCTATCACCCTGAAATTTATCAGAATTTTCAATTATCTGAGCAAATCATATTCAATTACATTTTCACCTCTACATCCCAACTCGCCACAAACCTTGGAGGGCTGAATCTTTGGTGACTGGGTAGCCCCTTCTCCAGTGGTTATGCCTTGTTTTTGAGGAGATACAGTTATCATGTGACCCCCTTTGACAGTGACATACTGAGGGAGTGGTGACTGGCTGGCAGCTCCTGTGCTGGGCATGTGAGAGGCTTCACTGGGTTCCTGTTTGATGATCACCTGGTAACACACAAGACGACACAGAAAGCATGTTTTGTTTGAAAAGACTCCACTATAAAGATAAAAAATGGCTTAAACACAGTCCCTAACAGTGATAGATAAAAAGTATCATCTGGACTTAATCCTGAGCTTTTACAAACTCAATCTAGTTTCTTATTTTAGAGGCTGGCGACAAAATAGTAGCAAAGAGAAACAAACATACTGTGCTCTCTGAATGCACCCCACCCAATACCAAAACGCAGTGCAGTGGACATTAATAAATAACAGCATGACTCACAAAGAGGATCTGGTTACTAAGATGCAACATGTAGGAGGAGTGTCAATCAGCTCCTGCATGTATAAAGAGCATTCCGCAACAAGCCCACACCCAGTGGTAGGACAGTGTCCTGACAGCTACTCACTTTTGTGAAAGCTCCCAGTCCTCCAGTTATGGGCTTAGGGCTCTGAACCTTAGGGTGACTCCCAATTGGGCAAAGAGGTGGCATAGACGCAAACAAAGAATCCTCCTGCTGTGTGTACAAAAATACAAGTGTTACAATCAGGATCAAATGGGCAATTTCAGCTATTATAGTCACTTATATGAAGGACAAATGCACAATATTCTCCAGCAACAGAGACAACCAAATGACAAAACATTCAAAACACTTTAGGGTTATAAGGCCATTGCATTTGCATTTTAATCTTGTTTTGGAAACAAATACAAACAATAGTTTTAACTTGACAAGAATTGCCTTATCTGGGTCCCAATGCATGCTGCAAAAACTTCTATTACCTATTACGTTTAATGAAAGCCACTGGTAGGCATGCTGGTCCCCTACCAGGTGGGATTGGATATTTATTTAATTTATTCTATTCTATTCTATTCTATTCTATTCTATTCTATTCTATTCTATTCTATTCTATTCTATTCTATATTATTTCTTTTATATTCCTAGAGCCTGGGCACAAAGTATGTAATTGAAAAAAACTATATTGCTATAATGTTTCAGTATATACTGTTGTAATGTGCTCACAATTTTATTTGTAAAATTTACTCAATAAACACCCAGAGTTTGGAGAAAAAATTTCAACAACATTTGAAAAAACAAATCAGCAAAGACCAGCACTGTGGCATAGCAAGTTAAGCCTTCGCCTGCAGAGCTACCATCTCATATGGGCACTGGCTGGAGTCCAGTTGCTTTGCTGTCCATCCAGCTCCCTGCTAATGCACCCTGGAAAGCAGTGGAAGATGGCACAAGTGCTTGAGCCCCTCACCCACATGGGAGATATGGAAGAAGCTCCTGGCTCCCAGCTTTAGACAAGCCCAGCTCCAGCTATTACCAACCACTTAAGAAAGTGAACAAGAAAATAGAAGGCTTTGCTGTCTCTTCCTTTCCTTCTCTCTGTTAACCATGCCATTCAAACACATAAGTAAGTCTTCAGAACAAACAAACCAAAAATCCAGTAAAAAGAACTGTTAGCATATACAATGACAATGGTCAACATTCAAAACAATTAACATTTGCCTCTAATTCTCATATACAAATAAAAATCTTAAACAATTTGCCACGTTAAGTTTTAAATTACATATAAATTTTAAAAGCAAAGTTATGATATTTCTAGGTTATATAATGAAACATCACCATGAAAAGACAGACTGGAAAAGTTAAAACTTTCAAGGGAATTATTATAATTTGGACATTCACCTATCACAGTGCTTACATACTACCTAGGCTTTGGAAAAAATTTTGCTTTGACCCTGGAAAACATACAATATCATCACCACACCACTAGGTGTCTAAGTATAAGAAATGCAGGCCAGCACTGTGACAAAGTTGGTTAAGGTGCTGCTTGCAGACACCTGCATCCCGCGCCAGGGTGATAAAGAGCTTGGGCTGGCTATGTATGGTAGGAAACCCAGATGTAGGCTTGGACTAGAACAGCCCAAGCTAGTGTGCACAACTGAGGAATAAGGCACCCTGCCTTTCAAATAAATACACAAATCTTAAGTAAAAATAAACACAGTGTTAGGTACCAGACCGCTGAGAAAAAAGATCTCTGCATTCCCACCGTTCTCCCACAGGAGTTCACATCTCAAATGGTCTAGACAGGGCAATCAAAATAAGCTGAACCTAAGCAGACAGCAGAGAAGCACTGAGATGCCAAGCAGTTTTGATCTCAACGAGTTACAGCATACTTGGGAGTTTCAAATTTCAAAAGACTCTTATCCTCAAGTAGGAAGAAAAAAAAATATTTTCAATTAACTAAAAAATAAACATATGAAAGAAAATTTATTTACTTCTTGGTGGTACAAATATAGGAAAAAAGGAATATATTATCAGATGACTATTGTCTTTTTAAAAAATTTCATTTATTTTTATTGGAAAGGCAGATTTACAAAGAGAAGGAGAAACAGAGAAAGATCTTCTATCTACTGGTTCACCCTCAAATTAATTGGTCACCTTTGGGGCCAGCAGTCAAGAGCTTCTTCATGTCTTACACATGGGTGCCAGTGCCCAAGACTATAACCAAGCCATAAGCAGGGAGCCGGATCCGAAGTGTGAAGTAGCTGGGGCACAAATCAGTGCCCATATGAAATCCTAGCACTTTCAGGTGCAGACTAGCCAACTGAGCCATTGTGCTGGCCGCTAGATGAATATTGTCTTTTTTAAAGATTTGTTTTTATTAGAAAGTCAGATTTACAGAAAGGAGAAACAGAAAGATCTTCACTTGTTCACACCCCAAGTGGCTACAACAGCCAGAGTTGGGCCAAGCCAATGCCAAGATCCAGCAAACCTTTTCTGGATCTCCTGTGTGGGTGCAGGGTCCCAAGGCTTTGAGCCACCCTCTACCGCTTCCCAGGCCACAAGCAGGGAGCTAGATGGGAAGCAGAGCAGCCAGGACACAAACTGGAGCCCATATGGGATCCTTGCAGTTGCAAGGCCAAGATTTAGCCACTATGCTATCACATCAGACCCCCTAAATGAGTATTTTTATAACATAGCATTGTTTTTTTTTTTAAAGATTTATTTTTGTATTGGAAAGGTGGATATACAGAGAGGAGAGACAGAGAGGAAGATCTTCCGTCCGATGATTCACTCCCCAAGTGAGTGCAACGGCCAATGCTATGCTGATCCGAAGCCAGGAGCCTCTTCAGGGTCTCCCACGCGGGTGCAGGGTCCCAAAGCTTTGGGCCGTCCTCCACTGCTTTCCCAGGCCACAGGCAGGGAGCTGGAAGGGAAGCGGGGCTGCCGGGATTAGAACCGGCGCCCATATGGGATCCCGGGCGTGCAAGGCGAGGACCTCTAACCACTTGCGCCACCGCGCCGGGCCCCTGTTTTTCTTTTTTTTAAAAATTATTATATTGTTGACAATCTTTACATAGTTAATTAGGGTAAAAAGGTTCAAGAGCTATAGGAAAGTGGGTAAGACTATTATTTCCATACTGTTTCCTTCATGTTTAAAGGGGGGTATTAAACAGAAGGCCCATCCAATTTCCCACCCTCCCTAGGTCCCAGATGTAGGGTATGCTCCGAGGTTCTTGATAAGGCAGTATTTTTAAGAAAACTGTCTCATCCCCAACAAAATATATAAATAAGGCTATACCTTCATTACAGCTAAGTTTTATAATACTTAGTGATCCTCTGAAGTGTTGAGAAGTATCTTCTATATTAGAAAAAACAATCAAGGTAAAGTAGTTCAATTTGGAGTAATGACTTATAAGCTGGAGAAAGTACTTTATCAAATCTGCATCACCAGCTAACCTACTCTCAGTAAAATTGAACATGCTTTCTTCAGGAACTGACAAAGTGCAATAAGACTGTTACCTTAACAGTAGATGTTACAAAACTACTCCCATGGATTTTAGGAATAGGGGAGCCTGTCCCTTGAGAGACTTGAGAAGTTGTGGAGAGCTTGTTTGTAGGACTTCCTAATAAGCAAGTCAGACATAAAAATTAAATATGAGCAAGGTAAAATTTGCAAAGTGTAAAGTAAAACAACTTTCCCATCATACTCCCCTTTCTCTATTTGCTTTCCATTTTTAAGGGATGATAGTTCATAACTCTAACTATTAACTAACTCATAACTCATAATTATTATGGAAAAAACACTTAAAGATTCATTCCTAAAAAGTCTGACTCACACACAGCCTGAAAAAGGATAAAAAGCTGGCGAGAATTCATGGGAGGAAATGTATGCACATTATTCTTTACTGCATACAGAGCAAGAGACAAGGTAACACAATGGTACTGGCTGTGCCAAACCTGCCACAATGCATACATTTCATTAATTAAATGCTTTATAGCCCATCAGTTTATCTCTGCCAGTTAGGATCTAATAAAAATGAACTGCACCGCCCACAGTTAAGAACTAAAATCATATTCAATCATTAGTCACCTATTCCAGTTACCATACTTGCTTCTGAAGACTTTTGACCTATTCCTAAGACCAACCATCCTTAAAGGACACTTATCTGACATCCATAAATACATTCAGGCAGTTATGGTTAAGGGCTGACACAAACCTATTTTACAAGAAATTCCACACCACATGTGCAATTATTGTTCAAGTGGTCGGCTTATTGGAGAAAAAAAGAACTACTTGGAAAAGTCCAACAAACATTTATATTTGCTAAAACCCAGCGTGTTTTTAAAAACTAGTGTCACAATGCTATAATGATTCCTCTATTTCATTTCTCATTGTTTCTCTTCATTGGAGAAGTCTGTACTTGGGAGAGTTTGTTTAAATGAGGGACTTTAGCAAAATGTTAACAAAAGCAACTAAAAAATCCAGGATAGCACTACATAGTTACATGTGAATCCAAAGACTTTTTATCATCCCCAGTAGAGCCCTCTTTTTGCAACTACAGCTTTCAACATCCCCTCTATGAGCAAAATATGTCTGACCTGCAGAAAAGTAAAACATCACTTTATTTGGGAATAGCAATCCACAAAGCTACCACTGCACTAAAAGCCTAACTTGGAAAGTTAGTAATCACACTACTGCAGGCCCTGAAAGAGCAAGCAGTCCAAAGGAAAACAAAATCGATTTGTTTAATTTTCAGAAAACTTAATTCCTAAAAATGTAACTTATATACACAAATAATATACTTTTTGCCACAGAAAGTATTGAGATTACTTTTATATATTCTCTCTTCTATTTTTGAAACTGTTATACAGCTAAGTCAGAGCAGTATTTCATATTTTTTTTTGTTTTGATGTTTGAAAATATCAATTTGACCTAAGATTCTAGAATTGGGAAGCACTTCACGAATAGTAAGAGATCAAATCTCTGAATAACACAAATGTACAGTACCAGGAGCAGCAACTCCAATACACACCTGTACTGGGAGTTGCAGCTCCAATAAGTTGTCCAGGCTTGTCCACGATGACGTAAGGGTTATTAATAACAGAGTTGGCAGTGCCTTGTTTTACATGAACTGGAGTGGAAGCTGGAGTTCGAGGTAATGGTGAGGGACTTGGAGTTGAAATTGGGGAGCCTTTGTTAAAGAAAAACAAAGAAGAAAAAAAAAAAAAAACCCATGCAATGAATCTAAGCAGTTGGGGATTGAGAACAAGACTACACACTTTGGATCTGAGCTGCAGTGGCAGGGCAGCTGAGGCCTGGGAGCAATTTATCTCACTGGGCATTCTCCTCCATGAGCCAGAAGCACCAGCACCATTGGGGACCTTGTTAGAAACAGACTGTGAGGGCCCATCCCAGACCTACTGAACACAGATCTCCATTTTAACAAAATCCCCAGGTATACACAGTCAAGTTCAAATAACAGGGCTTTACATAACAGTGTGGAACTGCAGAAGCATGGCACAGTAAGTCCCTTAACATCATGTGGTTACATTTGCAGACACTGAAATTAGGCAGGAAATTAGATTACCAGTTCAATCGAGGAACCCAGTGTCTTGCAGTTTACTTAAATAGGAAAATACGATATTTAGCATTGTCCAAGCAAAAAGTCTGTTAACACTATACCGTAGAAACAATTCTCACAGAATACTCTCAAAGATTACCAATGTAGGGCTAAATATCCCTTTTACTAATATCCCTTTTACTAATCAATTTTTTCTTATTAATCAATTTTTCTAACTCTCAAAATTTACACATTCAGCCTTCCCATCTCAATTAATAAATTCTAAAATTTTCCTAACTGATAGAGAAGATAACATATGTTTAGCTTTTCATCAATACCAAAGATTCAGTAAACATTTCTCTTTAGCGATCTACTTCTAGCCCTGACGCCTTCCCATCCCCTACTCATTTAAGTGTTGTACAAAAGCTTTCCTATTGCCTGTTGACTTGGCATTCTTTTTCTCATCTTTCAGAGGTGGTATACCCAAAACCATAAAGTATATTCCTACACAAAGCTTAGTTCACATAAATGTGAAGCTGTCAAGAAACAGTCCATCCAAACCTAAGTGAAAAGAAGCCCCCAAATACGTGCTAATAATAGAAATAATTATTTTAAAACATGTTCTTCTGAGAACTTTTAAATTTACCAAAATACTGCAGTTCTTATATACCCCCTCTCACCAATTATTAGCATCTTACTAGTATATCTGTCAAAATCAATAAATCAGGGTAAGAGATCTCATTTCTAAACCAGCTCCAAACCTTCAAGCTAAACACCAAACCAAAGGCCTCTAAATTATTTCTATTACTAGTCAACCTGTTTTCCATATATATAATCTTCAAACTTAATTCCTATTTCAGTTTCAACCATGGATCAAAGTGAATAATACTTATGCTGATTATGGGAAAAAAGTTCTGAGCCATTTTGAATTTCATTGTTTACCCCTTTCAAAAATCACCACATGAATGAACTTCTATTTTGCTTTGTGTCAGCTTTGTCAAACCACAATGACTGACCACACACACACACTGCTGGAAAGAAGCCACGGAGGCAAAAGCCAGGTAACTTGCCGTCATCCTGTCAACACCCCCTTTAATGCATCCCCTACGTACCTGAGACAATCTTGCAGCTCATGGTGATGGGCTGGAAGGATTTCCCAGGTGACTCGGGATTAGGAACCTGACTCTGAGGCACTATTTTGCAGCTTGAAGCTATTGGCTGGAAAGCTGAATTACCATGAGAACAAAAAGTAACCTTCTGGGCTGTTGTCACTTTGGTGGGTGTTCTTTCCAAAGAAGACGGCAGAGAGTAAAACGTAGTGGGTCTCTCAGCTTCCGTGCTAGCTGGGAATCCTGTGAAAACAAAACAGGCAAATGGTAAGTTACCAATTACTCCAAAATAACAGGGCCTTTCCTGGGTAAAAAAATAAATTAAAATGCCGTATTTCAAGACCCTTTTAATGTAGCAAAATAATTTATTGCCCTTATGATTACTTTTTATGGGTAAACATGTTTCATCATATTTATCTAAAAGGCACCTTTCAAGAAATTAGAAAACATTACCTATAAATCATATAAAAGAACATAGGTTCATGGTGTCCTTACAAATATGTAAATTTAAAAAACTACTTAAAGATAAAATAATAAAAAAGAATGTATTCTATTAATCTAATAATCTCATTTCTTATCAAATGTCTGTAGATGCAACTGAAACCTTAAGAGAAAGTGACATTTTACAGAAGAACTAAAATATTAACACAGGTTGAAATATAAAGTTTAGAGATAAGTACTAACATCATTTAAAATCAATTTTATCTTAAAAGAAGTTACTTCAGAAAGTTCTTGGAGGGGTTGGTATTGTGGCACAGTGGGTAGAGCCACCGCCTGCAGAGCTGAATCCCACAGGGATACAGGTTCCAGCCAGCTCCCTGTGCCTGGGAAAGCTGTGGAAGATGGTCCAGGTACATTGGCTCATGCACCCATGTAGGAGACCCAGACAAAGCTTCTGGCTCGTGGCTTTAAACTGAGTCAGCTCAGGCCATTGCAGCCAGTCAGGAACAAAACAGGATGGAAGGTCTCTCTGCTTTCAGTAAATTCTGCCTTTCAAACAAATAAATCTTCTTGAAAAATGCTGTTGGAAAGATGAAAAATAAAAGACAAGTTCATTTTGAAGCAAAACATCAGATTTTTTTATAATACGTACCTTCCATAACTTTCTGAAGAACCCTTGTCTGTGTGAAAACTGAAATATGCATTTAAATATAGATATAAAATGAAAAAAAATATTTTTAAAAACATTTGCAAATGAATCTTATTTGAAATAAGATTAGGTATTTAGTATTCAAATTTCTTGTTCACACAGAGGTTGAACCAGAAAGTCTTCCTGTAATACATTAGAAAAAGCCATTACAGAGCTGGCATTGCTGGAGTCCCAGTTGTTCAATTTCCATTCTAGCTTCCTGCTGAGAAAACCAATGCAAGACGACCCAAGTACTTGGGCCCCTGTCTCCCATACGGGAGACGAGAGGAAACGTCTAGTTCCTTGCTTCAGCCTGGAATAGCACTGGCCTTAGCAGTCATCTGGAAAATGAATTGAGTAGATGTAAGATCTCTACCTCCTCTACCTCTACCTCTCTCTACAACTCTTTCAAAAATAAAGAAATCTAAAAAATTTTAAATTAAAAATTAAAGAAAAATAATTCTCAAAGAATAAAAATCAAACCTAAAATGACTTTTTCGTTTTATAAAATGCTGGGAGAGCTTTATTGAAAAAAATGAGAACAGCAGAAATTTGGTTATTTTCATAGACTTGTGTAGTAGAGACAGCATGACTATTCTTTTTATATTGAAACAGCATGACTATTTATGGAAAACTCATTTTCCATACAGTCTGCCTCTGAAGATCAGTACCACATCATGCAAATGAGAAAGCAATGCCTAAAATTACTCGATTCAAAGGAAAACGCTCTGTTACCTTTCTCTGCGGAGCTATCGGGGACTGGCTCGTGTGACGGCTTCACGGGTGAAGAAGCTTTCACAGGGGCTGGAATGGTCAGAGGCAGAGATGGGGGCGCATCAGAGACGTCTGATTCAGAGGACTGAGGGTAAACGTAGTCTTCGCCAAGAGAATGTCGATGGAGCTCAACATCCACTACCTACAGAAATGGGCAACAACCTGGCTCATCAGTGTCCCACAACGCACAAATCTTGCCCAAGAATGTACTGTTTGTCACTTCAAAGGCAACTGCAATCTCAAGAATAAAATAACTTTATTCTAGCCAGGAATCTAGTCTGGTTTAAGAGACATCTTAGAGCAAGAGAAAAATCTTGTATTCACTGGTTTACTTCCCAAATGGTCAGACTGGGTCAGGTGGAAGGCAGGAGCTGAGAACTACATCCTGTCTCACATGAGTGGCAGGGGTTCAGGGACTCGGGTCAAATTCTGCTGCCTACCCAGACACGGTGACAGAGAACTGGACCAGGAGTGGAGCATAAGGGCATCAAAGCAGCACTCCAAGCAGAAGCTTAACCTGATGTGCCATAATACAGGGTCCCAAACGCTTAACTTTTTGACAGTAGAAGCTATCTTACTCAGTGCTGTACTTTTAAGACTTGGACCACCAATGTTCTGACTACAGTAGGTGCTCAATAAATATCTTCTGATATAATACAGGCCATTTCTCTGGGAAGAGTAATATTTACAAATAGTTAATACTGATTGTGACAGCTACTGCTAATACTTTACCATGAACACAAAAAAGATGAGTGAGGATGGAGAACCAAGTTGGTCTTATATCTTCCAACTTCAACTGTATTACGAAGCTCTGTCAAAATAGTATGTTGCTGACCTAAAGACATACTGATCAAAACAACAGACTAAACCCTTACATACACAAGTATTTCAAAAATTCATGAAAAATGGAACTAAATGCTAAAATTTTAAAAAATATTTATTTTTATTGGAAAGGCAGATACACAGAGAGGAGAAGGGACAGAGAAAAAGATCTTCCGTCCGATGATTCACTCCCCAAGTGAGCGCAATGGCCGTTACTGCATAGATCCAGAGCCGGGAGCCAGGAGCTCTTCCAGGTCTCCCACGCAGGTGCAGGGTCCCAAGTCTGGGCCATCTTCAACTGCTTTCCCAGGCCACAAGCAGGGAGCTGGATGGGAAGCGGGCTGCTGGGATTAGAACCAGCGCCCATATGAGATCCCAGCGTATGCAAGCCAAGGACTTTAACTACTATGCTGTTGTGCCGGGCCCATTTAATGTTAAATTTATCTTGGTGCAAAGAGGTTTTCAAAATTTCACAAAAATACTCATTATGAAGAAAAGGCTATTCATGGATCTGAAAAACTTTTTACACTAAAATAATAATTCAGGGTACAGCACAGTAGCCTAGTGGCTGGGGTCCTCGTCTTACAAGCGTTGGGATCCCATATGGGCACCAGTTCGTGTCCCAGATGCCCCATTTCCCATCCAGCTCCCTGTTTGTGGCCTGAGAAAACAGTGGAGGATGCCCAAAGCTTTGCGATCCTGCACCTGTTTGGAAGAGCTAAAGGAAGTTCCTTGCTCCTGGCTTTAGATCAACTCAGCTCTGGCCATTACAGCCACCTGGGGAGTGAACCACCGAATGAAGATCTGTCTCTCCTTCTTTCTGTGGATCTGACTTCCCAATAAAAACAAAATAGTAATAATGTAACTCAATTTTTTAATGAGTTTTTTATACCGCCCTTGTATGTATGACCAAATGATCTTACACAAGGGTACCAACAATATTTTCCTAACAAAAGAGGCTAAGAAAATTAGATATTCACATGGAAAAGAATATAATCCAGCCCTTACATTATGCAGAAAATTAACTCAAAATTAATCAGTTTCCTTTCAGCATGCACCCTAAGAAGTAGGTGTCTCAAGTAGTTGGGTTCCTGTTACCCACGTGGGAGACCTGGGTTGAATTCTCTGGCCCACTCCTGGCCACTGCATTCACTGGAGGACTAAACCAGCCGATGGCAGCTCACTCTCCTTTTGCACTGTCTCTCAAATAAAGAAATACACTTTAAAAATTATCAAAGACCTATACAAGAGCTGACAATAAGATCTTATAAGAAAACTTAGCAGGAGAACTTCATGACACCGGATTTAAGATTTTTTGGATATGACAATGAAAATACAAGCAATAAAATAAACAATGGGCAAACTTAAAAAACATTTGCCTCAAAAGACACAATCAGCCAAGTGAAAAGGTAAAAATGAATCACAGAATGGGAATGCATACATGTAAGTCATGTATGTGGTAAGAGCTAATATTCTGGAAGAGCTTGAATATGAGTAAGAACTCTAGGGGTCGGGCACGTGGGGTAGAACTCCGCTTCTTCGGCCAAGATTGAAAGCAGCCCATCCCTCTGGCTGCTTTTTAAGCAGCTAGCACTACCTTTATTCTGCAGCCACCAGTGCGCCCTTTGGGCACCGGGCTTTGCCAGCTGGCCACATACCAATGAGCTCTGGGGAGTTGGGGTGATGAAATATTGCCTAGGGACATCCATGGATACGGACACCATATGTGAAAGTGAGCAATTAATCCTGAAGGACACCTAACAACAGGGGCACAGTACTGGCTGGTAAGTGAGGGGACTGAGACCTGGTGGTATGGAGGGGAGAAACTGGAAGATCTGTATGGGCCAGACTGATTCATCAGCTCAAATGGGATTCCCAAGATGGGCTTGTTAGCACAGAATATCACTGATTGGGCCCGGCGCGGTGGCGCAGTGGCGCAGTGGTTAAGGTCCTCTCGCCTTGCATGCCCGGGATCCCATATGGGCGCCGGTTCTATCCTGGCAGCCCTGCTTCCCACCCAGCTCCCTGCCTGTGGCCCGGGAAAGCAGTCGAGGACGGCCCAAAGCTTTGGGACCCTGCACCTGCCTGGGAGACCCGGAAGAGGCTCCTAGCTTCGGATCGGCATAGTATCGGCTGTTGGGCTCACTTGGGGAGTGAATCATCGGACGGAAGATCTTCCTCTCTGTCTCTGCTCTCTGTATATCCGCCTTTCCAATAAAAAAATATAATAATAATAAAAAAGAATATCACTGACTACCACACGGCATACTACATGACAGCTATGGCTGGGGGCCTGTCTAGCAGACCTAGATCCAAGTACCTGACTGAGTGCTAAAACAGGGGACAGGTCACACAGGCAGGGCCATGACACTAACCAGCACGCAAGAGAACCAGGTCCAAAGTGGATTCTGTGGAGGATAAGTGGGTCCAACCCTGTGGAAATACAAGTCCCGCTACTTAGCTCAAGAGTTGAGGTGGTGATGGGCTGAAATTGGAGTAATCATGGAAACCACCAACACTCACAAGTACTAGAGCTGAGGACAGGCTGGGTAGGTCCAAGCTGCAGCACCTGCACGTGCATCCTAAAATAGGGTGTAGTGCGGGCCGGCCCTCAACATTCACCAGCTCAAAGACCAAGATGGAGGGGCAGGCTATACCAGGCAAGGGCCTAGCACCTGCTGGAGCATGTGAGATTTGGGTCTGGGAGTGAGCCGAGTGGGGAAACCTGAGAAACTTCCTTATGGGGCCATAGCTGCCACTGGTGAACATATGTTCCAGGCCTAGGGGTCAGGCAAGCTCAGCAAGGTAGCCCCACCTGTTGGCAAGTGTGTGGGGTAGTTTTGGAAGGGGACAGACCAGGCAGGGCCGAGCAGATCTTAACCCACTGGCAAGTACAGAAACCAGGTTGGAGTACAGGTCATGCTGGGCTAGGGTAGCGCATCTACTGGCTCTCATGTGCCAGAGATGGGAATAGACTGAGCTGAGCCAGGTTGCAGCACTTACCAGTGAGAGTTGGGACTGGGGGCTGGCTAGGTCAGGCCAGGCTACAGTATCAAAAGGCAAAGGCTAAGATGGATGGGGCTATGCTAGGCCTAGTCAGAGCAAACACTGCCACATGTGAAATCTGTGGAGGGGAGCAGGCCTGGCTGGGGAGCTAAGGGGACACTCTGGCTGGGTAGTGATCCCCATTAGAGAACACGAGGGCCAGAGTGGGATCCGCATTCTGGTCTGGATACAGCTGCAAAAATCCCTCAGCATGTGTGTGGGCTGGGTATAGGATGCGCCAGATTGGGCTAGAATCCAGCACCCACTGGTACTCATGAGAACCAGGGTAGGTATAGGACGGGCTAGGCCAGGGCTCTGCCCCTACTAAGCCATGTGTGAGCTGTGTCTGGGTGTGGAGCAGGCTTGGCTGGGCTGTAGTGCCCAACAACAAGAACCACAATGGGTAAGGGCTGGTGAGGAAAGGCCACTGTTCCTGCTATGAAGGAAGTAGACTAAGTAGGGCTGGCCCATGGACCCACTGGTGTGCACGAGATCTGGCATTGGGAGAGATCTGGATGGAGGAGCCTGGGGAACTCCTCTGTCGGGACACAGTCCCTGCAGGCAAGTGCAAGAACCAAGACAGGGAGCAGCCCAGACCAGGCCAAAATACTGTACCCACTGGCATACATTTGGTGCAGGTCGGGGCAGGCCAGGTCAGGGTGCAATAGCAGCCAGTCCACACGAGGGCTGGGAATGGGGGCTGGCAGGGCTGGGCTAGGTTGTAGCCCCCAGTAGCGTGAGTTGGAATTTGGGGTGGGCCTGGCCTGGCCAGGCTACAGCACCCATTGGCAAATGCTGAGGTGAGGGAGCTGTACCAGATTGGGCCGCAGCACCCAAACAGCACATGTGAAACATGGGGGGTGGTGGGGATGGCCCAGTGAGGGGGCTGCAAAGGCCCCCTGCTGGGTCACTACTCCCTCTGGTGAACATGAGAGCTGGGATGGGGACATATCAGGCCATGCAGGGCCACATCCAATGGATCAGGGAAACAGCCAGACTGGCTGACTGTACCTTCTGGTACAGGCACAAACCAGTGTGGGTGTGGGTTGGTTGGGTTTTGCCACAGCATCAGCTGGCAGATGCTGGCACAGGGGTCAAATTCTGTCAGGCACAGGCATGGCCTAGACAGACTGGCACCAGTGTGGATTGGATAGTGGGGCTGGTTGAGACAAACTGGGCTTCAATACCCATCAACATGTACGACGGATGAATAGGATGAGCGACAGATGGGACCAGTCTGCTTTACATACGGCATGCAAAGGAACCAGGGCAGGGGCAATCTGGTTGGGTTTTTTGTAGGTCGCTCCGACTAGGCTCCAGTTCCCACTGGTTTATGTGAAGGCCGAGTATGGGGTGGGCAGGACTGTGCTGGGTTTCAACACCCACCCAGTTTCGTGAAATATGCGGTTGGAGTCAGAACCGACCCAGCAATTGCCACTACCAGTGTGTGTGTAGGCTGATTTGGGTGAGAAGTGCCAGACACTGTACTGATAAACACACACAAGAAACAGGTCTGGAATGGCCTCAGAGGTTTCTTTGGCAATTCCCTACCAGCTGAACCACTGGACTCAGAACCCCAACCATGGAAAGTTGCAGGTTCGATGGTCTGACCATGGAGTGTGTGTGTCAGAGCTGGGCCTTCTCAGTGGCTCAGACCGAGCAATGGACAGCATATCCGAGCACACATGGAGGATATGGCAGTACATCGGAGCCTCTAGAGGACACCCAGTACCATGGCAGAGAACAGAGGACAGAACAAATTGATCAACTATCCCAGCAATTGTTGGCAGTGAAGATCTGGGCAGATGGAGACACTAAGGTGGACTACAGCAGTCAGTGGATTCGGGAAAGATTTCATCGTGATTGGAATGGCAGGATCGCCAGCAATTCAGGACTGTTGAACTGTCAAACCTCTTGAGAAATTCATGGTGTTGTAAATTTCCATTTTTCTTCCTGTTGTTGATTTTGTATTGTGGCTTTTAAGAGGGATGTGTGGTGACTGTGTAATGGATACTATCATGTCCAGATGTGAGGATGCAGTGCAGTGTGCATCTCTACTTCCAGATCAAAGATGGACTCCCAATGAAACTATTAGCTGTACTTGACAACAGGAGGCTGGACTCTCTGTCATTATCCATGCCCGCAATGATGAACATGTGACTGTTTATGAAGAACTATGCTATAGTAATAATATAGGGGAAATTGGTGGGGGAGGGGAATTGGGGAAAGGGCAGGGAAAATAAAAATAAATAATAAATAATTAATTTTTAAAAATGAGTAAGAACTTCCACAAGCAGACAACAGAGCCACCTGATGAACAAACGATCAAGGGGCCAATGTGTGGCACAGCAGTAAGCTGCCGCTTGGGAGGCCTGTGTCCCAGCTCCAGCACTACTTGTGATTCTAGCAGGTGAAGGTTCAATTGGTTGGTTTCTTGCTACCCATGTGGGGGTCGTGCATTGAATCCCAAGCTCCCACATCAGCCTGGCTCAACCGCAAACATGATGGACATTTTCGTTGGGAACTCATTCTGTCATCTGTTTCACAATTAAAACTTTTTTAAAAACGTGTGCGGGGGAGGGATAGACAAAGGACTTGAACAGGTATTTGTGAAATGAAGATTTAGACTTGATATTTGTGGAGATAATATGAAATCACAGAAAATTCTGTCATAGTTCTTAACAATCAAAACAGAACTACCACAGAATTCAGCAATCTCATTCTGGGTACATACCAAAAAAATTGAAAGCAGGGACTCAAATAAGCATCTGTACACCACCCAGTATTCACCACCCACACTTATAGCAGCAGTATTCTCTGGCCATAAGTTTCCAGTCAAAATATGGAAACAATCCAAGTGTCCATTGATGGATGTTATTCATACACATAACTATGTATTATTCAGCCTAGAAAGGCAGGAAATTCTGAGTCTTGTTCTGACACAAATGAATCTTGAGGATATTATTGAACATGAAATAACTCAGTTATATAAGAAGACAAACACTATATGATTCCACTTCACGAGGCAGCTCAGTAGTCAAACGCACACAGAAGGTAGAATGGTGACTGGCAGAAGCTGGGTACAGGGAAGATTGGCAGGTGTGTGTGTGCCTATTTAATGGGTACAAAGCTTTAGTTCTGCACAATGTAGAGTTTTACAGGTGGGTGTGGTAGTGATGGCTGCATAACAGTGTGAGCATTGAGCTGTATATTAAACAATTAGGATGGTACATGCTACAATTTTTTGAGGCACAAAGAAAAAAAAAGAAACCAAAGAGATCAACTTTAAAAAGTCCAACACTTATTTTTTTCTTAGTAAGATGAAGATCAATTTTCAATTACTTGTTCCCAAATAATATCACAGAAAAAATACTTACCGTTTCTGCTCCTAATGTCTGCAAGCCAGTGTAAGTTCTGTCCAGCTATTAAAACAGAGGAGAGTGCGGAATGTCACTGTGCTGGCCCAGAATCTCAGCACATCTCTATCTAAGCCCCTCCCACTGCAAAGCCTTATAGTGGTTGTAGGTTATCCATTCATCACTTCCACAGAAACCCTCCATTTTCTGGGGGAAAGCACTGAGTAAAATAAACAACCTTATGCATAAGTTACTGCAGTTTAACATAAATTGTATATTTGCAAAATCCGATCCTAAGAAAAATCTAGAAATCTAGTCAGCGCTAGCTGTTGCAGCAGTTTGCAGGAGTGAAATACCATACGCAAGACCTGTTTCTATTTTTTTTTTCTCTCTCTCTCTCATTCTGTTTTTCAAATGAATAAATTTGGGTGATTGATAGTTACATAGATTTGAAGTTTCCATGTTCTCTAGAGCTCAGAAATTATACTTTGTTGCCATATATTGACAAGTTACATTCTTGGAACTAAATTTTAAGAGAAACATTGATAATGCAGTTGGTATCAGAATAACAAGAACTGGAAAACAGTATTATGTCATAAATAGAATTTGGCTCCAAACGCTCAAACAGACATTTAAATCCACTTTATGTTAATACTTAATGGATTAATGTTAATGGTTGATGGATCAGGCTGGTGGCTTGATCCCATCACAACATTTGAAGGTGTGGCTTTGGGAAGCCGCTGGTTTGGACAATGATGCTGCGAGGATGACTGCACACTCAGCACAGAGGCAGAGGGAGAGCGCGCTCCTCCACCTGGCTTCCGGGCTTCCCAGATCACCATGGCTCTCTCCCTGCACATGCTCCACCTTTTCCAACCTCAGAGGCTAGAATAATGCGGCCACCCAACCTTGAGCTGTAAATTTCCATAACTAGGCTGAAATAAATATATTTCCTTCCTAACAAGTTCCTCTCAGATACTCTGGCCATAATAATTAAAGGCTGACACACAGCAAAAAAAGCAACACTTACTACTGAATGAATTTTGATCTGGAGCAGAGAAAATACAGAGATGAAAATTATCAGTTTTAGGAATCTTAACCACAAAAAAAGTTTTTGGTATTATTTCAGAAAACAAATAAGGACAAATGAGAGTAAGGGTTTTTTTTTTTTTTTTTTGGTCTTTATTAAAGAGTAATTGTAGGTTGGTCCAGTGTGAAAACCTAGTGGTTAAAGTCCTCACCTAACATGCACTGGATCCCATATGCGTGGCGGTCCTAATCCTGGCAGCCCCACTTCCCATCTAGTTCCCCGCCTGTGGCCTGGGAAAGCAGTCAAGGATGGCCAAAAGCCTCGGAACCCTGCACCCGCATGGGAGACCCAAAGAGGCTCCTGGCTTCAGATTGGTGCAGCTCTGGCCATTGCGGCTGCTTAGGGAATGAATCAGCAAACAGAAGATCTTCTTCTTTATATCTGACTTAGTAATAAAAATAAAATAAATCTTTTAAAAAAAGGAGTAATTGTAGATAAATTTGTGAAAGAATCTTCTAAAGTTTATTTACAAAATGGATCAACAGGTGATCTTGGGAAGTGCTATGTTCCACGGTGATGGCTAAGAAGTTAAATTATTACCAATCAGGGATGGAAGATGGTGAATTGCACGTATTCTGGAAATCTTAAACTTCATCTAACACTTAAGGGTTTTTAATATATTCTTATAAAGATCTATTTATTTGGAAGGCAGAGCTCCAGAGAGAAGGAAAGACAGAAACAGATCTACTGCTGGTTCATTTCCCAAATGGCTGCAAAAGCCAAGGCTGGATGAGGTCCAAGCCAGGAGTCAGGAACTCCATGCTCTAGCCTGGTCTCCCATGTGGGTCAGGGGCCCGAGTCTTTGGGCTGTCATCTGCTGCTTTCCCAGGCATATTAGGAGGGAGTTTGATTTTAAGTGCAATAGCTCGGACATGAACTGGTGCCTACAAGATGCTGAATCACAGGAGGCTTAACCTACTGGGCCACAACACAGGCCATAAATATTTAATATTTACAGTATTTTAAAGCATGTCATATATTACAGGTTTTCAGAATACAGAGATTATCACAGGCTGAAATATCCAGGAAAATTTACACAGAGACTTGAAGAAAATTCAAATAAGCACTGGAAGAGGACAAGAGCATGAAAAGACACAGGGAAGAAAGAAGACCCAGGGAATTTCCAGCACGCAAGCAGGCTGACACGAGTGCAACAAGATGTTCACGCAAGTCAGCAGTACTAGATAACTCAGGGGAAGTCAAGCCAAAATGTGAAGAGCCCTGACCAGCAGAAGAGCATGAACTGCAACGTCAGGAATTCAAGTTCTCTGAGGAACCGCTAACTGGCGGTGGTGCGGAACGGAAAGGGGAAAGGAGAGGGAGTAGACAAGTCTACAGGGAGACAAAGGACTAACAGTCTAGCAACAGGACAGGAAGAAAGAATGTAAGGAAGATTATGAAGAAATCATGGTCTACAACTCAACAGAAAGATGGCTTCGAGAGTTAACACGGAAATGACGGGAGAATAATATTCCAGTACAAAGAAAATTCATATAGCCATAAAACAACTGTTTAAGGCATCAAGGCCAAACACACAACAAAATAATAGAAGCATGTTCCCTAGTAAATTAGGCAAGAAACATTTTGCTGGGTCTGAGCGATTTTTACAACATAATACGATGTATTCCTTAATTCAGAAATAAGGGATGGGCAGGCACAAGGTTTATGTGCAGTGGTTAAAATAAGATCAAAAGAAAGAAAAATTATTTTAGACCTTCTTAATTGGACAATATTCTTCCCCTGTGAAGAAAGTGGCTACATGCTCACTAATCTGCTGCGTTTCTTCTCTGAGGTCATAAAGGCACTTTAGTATTATAGTAATCTCCAGACAGTAACTCAGACATCAAGTTACAGCAGTACTGTCTAGCACTCAGGGAAGGTAAACGTCGCCACTCCTTAAAGCTGAAGGAACACAAGCAATGAAAGGGGAATTCTATAATGTACTCAGATTTTGTTTTATTTTTATAGCCATTGATGAGACTAGTGTGATAAATTACAAAGTAAGGGAGTTTTAGGGAGAATATAATATTAAAATTATATATGGAAAAAAGGAAACATGAAATCACTATAAGAGGGCCTGGGCAAATATTAAAAATGATTTGTCTTACAATTATAAAAGTTAAACATTCTTATTTTAGCATAGCGTCATAAAACTAGTATAAAAAACAGACTCATTGGTAAAGGGAGATCTGAAAAACAACTCCAACACTGTATCATCAACAGTTTTATATTATGCTTTTCACTTGCTACAATGGCAATTTTCCCTGTATATGAAAACACTTGATAAAACACAATTTACAATGGCTGTGTAATAACTCATGTGGATATATCAATGATGGATTTCTACAATACACTGCCATCTTGCCTACTGTTTCACAGATGCCAAAACATTCACTTCTACTTTCATCCTTATGAGATAAATGAAGCTTTTATTCTTATAACAAAAAGGGCTTGTTATCAGCCTTATTTTATAGAAAAATAAATTTAAAAAAAAAGATTTCAGCAATTTTGTCCCAAGTTCCACATTAATAGTGAAGTTCTGATTAGAGATTCAAGTATGCTAATAGCATGATCAACTAGTTCACCCTTTTTAAAGAATACACACTTGCACTGTGCTATAAACCAACTCCCTCCCCAGAGGACAATGAATCACTGTAGCAGAGTGCAAAACCAATTCAGCAAGACTATCCTGCTCCATCTCTCAGGAGGCCTAATACTATCAATATAAATAGCTGGTGAAAAAGACATTTCATTTCTAGAGCCATTGCTACAACATTGTTACAATACCTTTAGATTATGTATGATATCTATCCGTTTGTTCTGGCTGTCCTTAAAGTGAACTTGAACTCTGACAGGAAACTCACCCCAGCCTCTTCTGGTCAGGTGAAAAGGAGGCTCTCTAGAGAAAAGCAAACATCAACACATTCATCCATGTTCATCTCTTGTCCTCGAGAGGAAAAGCTCTCTCATAATGGATAAACTCAAGTTCTTCTGAGAATCATTTAGGCTTCCTCAACTCAAGTTAAATCAACATGATGAATTTTGCTAACATACTACATTATGAAAAAATAATTCAACTCAAACCTACACTAAGTACTGAATTACTGAATGCTTAGCGTTAAGGAGTGCAGCCCATACACTTCGGATTTGATGTCATTTCCACAGATGAGCAAGCCTCCCTGACAGGCACTTGATGGACATGCCTCACGAGGCCTATGTTCCCTACCTCACACCTGCAAACTCTGCCCGCCAAGGCAAAAATAAAACAAACAAGAATGCTCAACAAAGGGACTATTCATTTGAAGCTGTTTGCTAAGAAGACTTAAAGAATGGTCATTTGCTTACAACATGATTTTCCCCATTTGCTGACCATGATTTTAGTGAGTAAATGGAAATGTGTGTGAATACTAATTGGATTAGAGGATTCTTAGGCAAATATAATTGTGAAAGAGAGAATTAATCAACCATACTGGCAAACGATTACTAACTGGTGATGAGTAACTAAAGATTCATTATACTTAAAGACTTTCTGTAATAAAAACTTGGAAATTTAATCGATAAATCTTTAAGTCTGCAACATCATTTCAGCTCATGGGGAAAAGACAGAAAGCTTTTAAAATGAAAATTTGTTATGAATTCCTGGCTTGGAATTATTGTAATGAAAGAAGATGCCAAGATTGCAGTGAAGAAAATTTTTTCCATGGGATGTGATTCTGGAAAACTAAAAACACACACAGATTCTGTAAGGGCAAAATCTAGGAGCACAACTGGAGAGCAGTCACACTAGAAATGCTGCTGGTGATAAGCTTAGTCACTTAAATTCCAGCAAAGTGGAGCGACAAGCTACGCCCACTGTGCAACAAACACCCTTTAGTAACACTGTTTCCTGAACTTGTCTCACAATGGACATGGTAAATTGGGTATATTATTTAACTTATACTCATTACTTTTCAACTTCTCATGTAAGGTTAAATATGATCAATGACCAAAAAAGGAAAAACCACAGTAATAAGAAATGCAAACAGGACACAAATTCTTACTCATCCACTTAATTCAAACAGCTAGCCAGTCTGGTAACCACAAACTTCACATTTACTAAAGCTCCATTATGTTTCTTTCTTTCTTTCTTTCTTTTTTTTCATTATGTTTCTAAACAGCTCTTTTATCAAAAGTTTCCCTTACCTCCCTAATGTTGGTTCCAGGTAGCCATTCAAAACTATAAAGAATAGTCTTCTACCACATGAAAGGCCTTTGAAAGAACTAAACTCCCCTAACTTCTTCAAGATGAATGTCTCTGTTCCTTACAATACTGTGATACTGTGTCTCCTATGACCCAGCCAGTTCTAAGACCTTTTCATCTATTAACTTATCTAATCTTTACAACCACAGTTCAAAATACTCCCTCTGAAATGGTAAGGCTGAATAACTTGCCAAGGTTACACAAGTCACTATGGAGTCGGGATTGAAACTCCAGGAACAGGTTGCAGGAGCTGTGCTTTAACCACCGGGCGAGGCCACATCCCCCTGTTAGTGGATCTTATTGCACTGGCTGCTCTCCCATAGGCACACATAGTGTAAGGTCACAACTGTGCTGAGCACAGAAGTCCATCTGACATCTAATAAGGCAGCCTAAAGTTAGAATTACAGAAATGGCCTCCACAGGGTATTCTGATTAGGCAATACAGCTCTGCAAACTACTGTGGTATTTCGGAACACTTGTGAACTGAATGAAAAGGCAAAAACATTTTAAAGAGGCTCACGAGGGGGTCCTGTGCAGTGGCTGCCTGCACCGTGGCACCCCAAATGGGTAGTCTGAATCTGGACGGTCCACTTCCAATTCAGCTCCCTGCTAATGCTCTTGGGAAAGCAGCAAGTAACAACTAACTGCTTGGGAACTGCTTATTTGACACTCAGGGTCTTGTGGCTAAAAGCCAAATTTACAAGCTCAGCATTGAGAAGCTGGGTAAAGACAGTCATGACAACTGAACCAAATGTAAAAATGAGACTCCTGTGGGAGCAGAATCGACAGATGCTCTTCATCAGGCAATGTGCTATGATAGGGAAATTTAGAGTACAAGAAAAAATATCTGAAGCCTGGCACAGTGGCCTGGTGGCTAAAGTCCTTGCCTTGAACATGCCTGGATCCCATATGGGCACCGGTTCTAATCCCGGCAGCCCTTGCTTCCCATCCAGCTCCCTGCTTGTGGCCTGGAAAAGCAGTCGAGGATGACCCAAAGCCTTGGGACCCTGCACCCGCTTGGGAGACCCAGAAGAGGCTCCTGGCTCCTGGCTTCAGATCAGCGCAGCACAAGCTGTTGTGGTCACTTGGGGAGTGAATCATCAGGCGAAAGTTATTCCTGTCTGTCTCTCCTCCTCTCTGTCTGACTTTGTGATAAAAATAAAATAAATCTTAAAAAAAAAGAAGAAAAAACATCTGTTCATTTATCCAGAAATATGGTTAACCCCAAGTTTCAAGGCAGTTGCCAAAGTCCTATCTACTCATCAAATCAGTTATTTTTATTTTTTTTAAAGATTTATGTATTTATTCACAAGGCAGAGTTACGGAGAGGGCAAGACAGAAGAAGAGACGGAGACAGAAAACAGACTAATTGTCCATCCGCTAGCCTGCTCCTCAAATAGCTGCAATGGGCCAGTGTTGACCGGCACAAAGCCAAGAACCTAGAACTACTTCTTGGTCTCCCAAGCAAGTGGCAAGGGCCCTAGTACTTCAGCCATTTCCTGCAGCTTTCCCAGTCACATCAGAAGTGGGACTGGAAGTACAGCAGCTGGCAGTCCATATGGGATGGGATGCCAACATCATATAACCTGTGGTGTTACATCATCAATACCAATTTAAAAATTTTTTACTTACTTATTTTCATTCTTACTTGAAAGGCAGAGAGACACAGAAACAACAGAGAGAAACATGGAGATAGACCTTCTATCTACCGGTTTATTCCCAAGAGCCTGCAGGAGCCAAAATTGAGCCAGGCTAAAATCAAAGACCCAAAACTCAATCTAGGTCTCCTGCCCAAGACACAGGGAATGAAGTACTTCAGCCATCAGCACTGCCTCAGAGGGCGCACAGCAATAGGATGCTGATCCCAAGCACGGTAGCCAGAACCTGAATCCAGCTCTCTGATACAGGATGTAGAAATATCAAACGACAATTTAACTGTTATGCCAAATGCCCTCCCCTCTTCAAGCTAGACACTTGATAAAAGTAACATTTTGAAAGGCCAGTGCAATGGCTCAGCTAGCTAATCCTCACCCTGCAAGCACTGGCAACCCTTTGGGGTTCCTGTCCGGGCTGCTCCACTTCCTATCCAGCTCCCTGCTGTGACCTGGGAAAGCAGCAGAGGATGGCCCAAAGCACTGAGATCCTGTAGCCATGTGACAGACCCAGAAGCAGCTCCAGGCTCCTGATCGCTCAGCTTTGGCTGTTGTGGTCATCTGGAGAATGAACCAGCATATGGGAGATCTTTCTATCTCTCCTCTCTGTAGAGCTGCCTTTCCAATAAAAAGAAATAAATCTTAAAAAAAAAACAAAAAAACCAAAGAACCATATTGAATCCAACAACAAAAAATGTATTAACAGAAGATACTGCAGACACACAGAATGAAAGAAATGTGAAAAGAAACTGCAGCAACTGGACTTCCTTAGGACTGATGCAACACGCTGACAAGAGATCTGTCATACTTTAACACAGAGCCCAGCAGGGAGTTCTTGGCCAATGCAATTTCTTATCTAATTGTTCATTGTTTTCCTACAACTTAAAGAAAATCAATAATTAATTCTTGGTGATAATGTAAAAATAAAACTGGTGTTGGTTTGCAAAATAAAACAAGTGCTGGTTTGTATCAGCATGTACTAGATTTTATGTAATGACTGTTTAGTCTCATTTTTTTATGAATCAGATTTTCATCATCAACACAAAATATGGTTAACACATTTTAATTGTGTTAAAATGTTTTTCTAGGACTACGTGCTTCAGCTTCTACCATATAAGGCAATCTGCATTCTTTTAATTAATATAATCACAGACAAAATGTTTCTAAGCTTGTCTCTCACCATACTCAAACACCTCTGTTAAACACTGCCCACTTGGAGTTGGGATATCTAAACTCAGAACAGTGTTAAAGCATAAAACATTGTTAACATCTTGGGAGCTTTCCAGGAGAAGTTGGGTGCTGCACTAGTCGTACAGGATGTTACTTTCTTTTTTTTTTTTTTAAAGATTTATTTATTTGGGGGCTGGTATTTTAACATGTGTAAAGACTCTGCCTGCTATGCTGGCATCCCACATGGATGCTGGTTTTAGTCTCCACTTCTGATCCAGCTCTCTGAGAAGGCGCCTGAAAATGCAGTGTAGGATGGCCCAAGTACTTAGGCCCCTGAGCCCATGTGAGAAACCAGAATAAAGCAGCTGGCTCCAGATTCTGGTCCATCCCAGCCCTGACCACTGTGGCCATTTGGGAAGTGAACAAACGGATGAAAGAACCCTCTCTCTGTCACTTCTGTTTTTAAATAAAAAAATTTTTAAAAATTTATTTAGGGCCCGGCACAGTGGTGCAAGTGGTTAAAGTCCTTGCCTTGCACGCCCGGGATCCCATATGGGCGCCGGTTCTAATCCCGGCAGCCCCGCTTCCCTTCCAGCTCCCTGCCTGTGGCCCAGGAAAGCAGTCGAGGACAGCCCAAAGCTTTGGGACCCTGCACCCGCGTGGGAGACCCGGAAGAGGCTCCTAGCTTCGGATCGGCCCTTGCGCTCACTTGGGGAGTGAATCATCGGACAGAAGATCTTCCTCTCTGTCTCTCCTCTCTGTATATCCGCCTTTCCAATAAAAATAAAATCTTTAAAAAAAAAGATTTATTTTTATTACAAAGATATACAGAGAGGAGAACAGATAGAGAGGAAGATCTTCCATCCGATAATTCACTCCCCAGGTGACTGCAACGGCCGATGCTATGCCGATCCAAAGCCAGGATCCAGGAACTTCTTCCGGGTCTCCCTCACGGGTGCAGGGTCTCATGGCTTTGGGCTGTCCTTGACTGCTTTCCCAGGCCAGAAGCAGCAAGCTGGATGGGAAGCAGGGCTGCCAGGATTAGAACCGGTGGCCATATGGGATCCAGGCACGTTCAAGGCAAGGACTTTAGCCACTAGCCCACGCCGCCAGGCCCTTAAATAAAAATTTTTTAAAAATAATTTTAAAAATATGTATTTATTTGAAAGGCAGAGTGACAGAGATAAAGGGAAAGTTGAAGAGAAATCTTCTATCCGCTGATTCATTCCCCAAATGAACATAAACAGCCAGGTCTAAGTTATTGAAGCCAAGAACTCTAACAAAGCGCTCAACATGGGTGGCAGGAGCCCAGATACTTAGACCACCATTCACTGACTCCCAAGCACATTAACAAGAAACTGGATCAGAAGTGGACTAGCCAGATTGTGAACTGGGACTCCAATATGGGATGCTGGTCTTTTAAGAACATCTTAACCCACAGTACACTAATAGCATCTGTACAAGGCATTTCTTAAAGTCTGCATATAGCACATAAAGATGGGGTCCTCGTGTGCGTGCTTCCTTGTCAACCATGTGAACAACATCAAAACTAAAAGAAAAGAAATAATGACAAAAGTAGTGGCAGAGAGAAGCATTCATAATCAAGTGCTAAAATCATTCAAAGAGGGAAGGGATTTGTGGTATGAGTGGGTAACTGAAACAAAGGAGAAGCAGCAGGTCAAGTTTCAAATGAGCTGAGACTTTCTCAGAGAGAAGGGAGAAAAGCAGTCTACATGCCACAAATATGAACAGGAAGGACTCAACAGAGTAAGATGTGTGGGAGGAAAGCAAGCCAGCCACCACTTGGAAAAGCTACAGAAACAGCAAGATCCTCAGAAGACACCCTGTTGCATCTAAGAGTCAGGAGTGGAACAGATGTTCTGAATAGAGCACAGGACATAGGAGAGTCTGATAACAAACCACATCCACAGCACAGCCATACAGTGAACACAGACATGACCCATAACAGACATAACGATCCAAAAAAACATCTAAATCATACAAAAGGCTTCACAATAGTACACATACTGCCATTCCTCTATGGAAGAAAACAAAAGCAATTCTACAAGCTTATTTTGTGTTTCAAAAAAAATCTCATTAGGAGTGGCATCTGAGAGGGACCACAGGAATTTTCAGCATAAAATACTACTGCACTTCTGTATTTTGATATGCAGTAACATTTTTACACCTATCTATGTAAGCAAGTTCAGCTCTTTTCAGGGGAGAGCAAAATCAGCTAAACTAAGAACAGTAACAAACTGGCAGGAAGGGGCAGTGCCTGCTCAGACAGCAATCTGCAAGGAGAAAGCCAGTTTACAACTCTATTATGACTAACAGTCAATGCTGAGTAAATTATTAATAGAAGAATTTCCAGAGAATGTGCTGAAGTGAAGTCACTGTTCCTCCTATTTCCACTTTAGTAAACCTGTAGTTCTTAGGTTAACTTCTCAAGTACACTTACCTAACTTCCACAAGGTCATTTGGTTTGTAGCTAGGATGAAGGAAGAACCAAACTTTTTTAACAAAATGATTAATACTGGGTTCTCTACGAGATCCTCGGACATACACCATCCACTTATGTGTTGACTGGTCATTTTCTTCCCTCTTATCTGGAGGTATATACCTAGAAAAAAGGAAGAAAACAAAAAAGACAGAAAAGTCTGAATTTCTTTTTGCTTCAAATACCAAACAAAACAACCTTTACACATAAAACTTTTCCTACTTAAAACAAGGTTAAAATTCCAGCAATATTTAACAGTGGTATCACGCAAACAATCTTAGAAGTAAATCATTTTCCTAAACTTTTTTTTCCCTTTGGATCAAGGGGGCATTCCTTTAATTTGTCATTATCAATTTGAAATTAAAAAAAAAAAAAACAAATCATTTTTCCTGCCAAGTGGGTACTGAGGTAGAAACAAATGGGCCTATTCCTGTCTGTGTTGGGGAGTGAGCACCCTTTGGGTTGCTATCATTCAGGTTTAAAGGCACTATAGCTTTGCAGCTTTCTGATACTCACCGCTGCCAATGTGGGAACTGGCTTCCTTCCCGAGTCAAAGGATGCCATGGCCTCTGTCCTGACCATAGCAACTAACATCATTAGCCCTCTTCTTTATGTGCCCTGTCTTTATCTCAAGGTATGCAGCTGTTTTCCATCTAGCTGGAAAACGTGGTTATGGCCTTCTATTCATCTATACCTACAGTTATCCTTAGGGGGTCAAACTGTCTAACTGTCCATTCTTTGCCCTTTGCTCTCATCTGTGAAAACCAGCCTGTAAGTTACATGAACCCTGTTGATCCCTAGATAAATCTGGCAAGAAGCAACTTCTTTACAATACTGAGCCTTAGTTTTATCATGTCCATAGTAAAGTTTGTGTAAGTTTCCACAAAAGGCTACTACTAGTGTCTTTTGACTAACTTACTGTGTACTTATTTTTCTCTGTATATTCAGTGCATCTTTCAGGATACTTGTGGGCAGGTGTTTGGTGGTGGTTAGGATGCGACCTGGGACTCCTGCACCGAGCAATCAGAGTGCTTGAATATGGAGACCTGGCTCCACTCTCAGGCCTTCCTTTCTGCTAAAGCACACCTGGGAGGCAGCAGGCGCTGGCTCAAGTGCTACAATGTCCCCAGGTGGGAAGACCTGGATCTAGTTCCTGACTCCTGACTTCAGCCTCGCAGTCTCAGTTGTTGTAGGCATTTGTAAGTGAACTACTGATAGGAGATATCTTTAAATTTAAAAAATAATAAATTAAAATAATTAAATTATGCCTTATAAGTATGTGTGTCACATAAAACATTCAATACTTGTGTACTGATATTGTATTCAATAAACCTGCTAACCCATAAATACCAAAATTTCATCAAACACTGTTCAAATTACACAATCATACTATCTATTAATCATATCAATAAATGTTACGCTTTTCAAAAAATCTGACTATCTCAGTATCTCCAAGTGCAAAGTTCAATACTAGAGTAATACACCTCATCTTGGTCTAGATTCTAACAGGAAGTTTAGCACTGAGGATGGGATTTGATATACATCTTTTGAAGATATTATTTGAGTTAAACAAAACCCTAGTATGCTAAGAAACATGATCAACGAATGTTAAATTTTGTCTAATGTTGTTGCTTCCACATCTTTTGAGGTAACCATGCTTTTATTCCTTTAATCTGTTAATTTGGTTAAGTATATTTATCAATTTGAATATTCAAACTTACACTTCTTGGTCATAATGTTTTCTCATTGCTATACAGTTACTAAATTCAGCTTACTAATTATTTTGTCCAATATTTCTGCATTTAAAAGTTATTTTTCAGAAATTGTCTGGCTTTATTAACAAAGTTAAACTGCTCTCATAACATGCACTGACAATTGCTTTCTTTTAGAGCCTGGATGGTGGTTCAACAAGCTAATCCTCCATTTTAGAGTGCCAGCATCCCATATGGGTGCTGGTTCATGTCCAATGCAGCTCACTGCCTATGGCCTGAGAAAGCAGCAGAGAATGGTTCAAGCCCTTGGGCTCCTGTATCCATGGGGGAGACTTCTGAAGCCCAGCTTGGGATTGGCACAGTTATGGCCATTTGGAGAATGAACCAGTGGATGAAAGAGCCTTCTCTCTGTTAGTCTGCCATTCAAATAAAAATAACATTTTTAAAAAGTAGAAAAATTTTAAAATAATTTTTAAAAACCTCACAAATGCTTTCTGCTTTCTCCAGTTTTATATAAAACTGGAATTATCTGTTCACTCAACCTATAAAGAAATCTAGGTTGGTGCCAGCACTGTGCAATACCAAACAAAGCCTCTGCCTGCACTGCCAGCATACCACACGGGTGCCGTTCAAGCTGTTCTTCCAATCTAGCTCCCTGCTATTGGCCTGGGAGAGCACTGAACAGTGACCCCTGTATCCATGTGGGAAACCTGGAAGATGTTCCAGGTTTCAAAATGGTCCAGCTCCAGAGCCTGGGGTCACCTGAAATGTGAACCAACAGATAGATTTCTTTCTGTGTCTCTCCTCTCTATAACTTTGTATTCTCAATAAAAATAAGTATGGTGGGGGATGGGGAGAACTAAGCCTCATGATTTGGCTTTGCACTGGGAATGTTTTCACTTGAGATATTCTGAATATATTGTATTTTCCTAGGAATTATTCAGCTTCTCATTTCTAATGTTGTGGCACCTGTAGTTAAATCCACTTATCACTGATTTTTGACTGTAGTATGGTCAGAAAAAATAATCTGCAGGATATGGACTTAATTTATAGATTTCATAAATGTCTCTTGCATACGTAAAGTTTTATTTGCAACTGTTATGTATAAAATGTATCCACAAAGCCAACCTTTATTAACACATATTCAAATCTTATACATGCTCATCTAGCATGGCAGGCATTTGGCTTAGTAGTGAAGATTCAGATGCCTAGGGCCAGAGTTGTAGTTCAGTGGGCAAAGCAGCCACTGTGATGGTGCTGGCATCCTCCACGAGTGCTGGTTTGTGTCCAAATTGCTCCACATCTGATCCAGCTCCCTGTTAATGCACCTCGAAAAGTAGGGGAGCCACTCATGAGGGAGACCAGAAGATGTTCAGGTACTGGATTTGGACAGGCCTAGACTAAATTGCGGCATCCATTTGGGTAGAGAACCAGAGGATGAAAGGTTTCTGTCTCTCCCTCTCCATCATTCTACCTTCCAAGCATTATGAATAAATCTTGGCAATGCCCATATCCCACACTGGAGCACCTGGGTTGGCTCCTAGCCATGAGGCCTGATTCGAGGTTCCTGAGGTTGCAGGCATCCAGGGATGAACCAGTGAGTGGGAGTTGTCCTCTGACTGCCTGCGTGTGTGTATGTCTCTGTGCTCATATCAGCCAATACAAATTTTAAACTTTTTATACTATACCTGTATTTGTTTGACCTATCAATTACCGTAAGAGGTACATAAAATCTCTCAGAGTATGGCAGTACTTGGAGTAATTTCTTCTGTTCTATCAGTTTGGGTTTATACATTTTAATGCATTACCAGGTGCATAGAAATTTAGTATCTTCATATTTTCTCAGCATAAGAAACTATTATCACTATAGAGTTTGTCTTTCCTCCATCAACACTTGAAATCAAGTTTGCCTGATAATACTATACTACCCTAGTTTTCTTTTGGACTGTCAACTGCTAGCCAAATTTCTAATTACGTACTTCAACCTGCCTGCATTTAGACTTGTCTATGATAAACAACTCAGAGCTGAATTTTAGGTTACTTTATCTCAGTCCAATGATTTCCTTTATCAAGGAAATTAAATCCACATTTTCCCCTTATCTTTTAAAATCAGTTTTTCATTTCTTCTTTCATTCCATGTTTTCCCAATACTAATTCAAAAGTAGAACCTCTATGTCTATATTTGTAATGGTGATGTTATGTACCTAACACTCTTAATAGAGTAAAATTAATCAATGTTTTTACTCTCTTCCAGAGCAAACCAATTTGAAACAGTCTCATGCCCACCATTCCTTCCCTAAACATCCATAGTTAACCAGTATTTTAGTTAAAAACCAAGCACAAATTGTAACTCTACATTATTTGGAAAAACAACAACAACAACAAAACAGTGGTTATCCCAAACATCTTGTGGTTGGTGAGTTTACTTAGACTTAAAACCTCGGTCTTTTCTGAGTAGGTCTCATATGCAATATGGTTACAATTCAAAGTCAAATTCCAAAAGAACTATTTATTTGTCCCTCAGCTAAATGCATGGTAACTCCAAAAGAATCTATAAAAGAGAGGCTTAATTGATTTGATCTTAATTTATTCCCCCACATAAGTATTATTAAATAATCTACAAGTATTGCCGAGATTAATAATCTACTTCTTATTGTTTATTAGTAACTAGGACTTGCAAGTTTGTTTTTATACCTTGTTTGATTTGTTTCACCAAGATAACTTTTACAATTTTGACTTCATTAGTCTAAATAATTACACCCAACTACAATTTTCATAAAAACACCTATTTTTTCATCAAGCAAATACTTATTTTATGGTAAATACTGTAATGTATAGAAACAAACAAGATAAGATAGTGGCTAAAGAGATTCTAGTCTGATTTGGGAAATTTGAAACTAGTAAATAACCGTATTTAATGGTAAAAATGATGAGAGCAGAGGAAAAAAAATCTAACGAGAAAAAAAAATCAAGGAAAGGGATCAGCAAATACAATTTCATGAAGAAATTAGTTAAAACTACTATTTAAAATCTTGATCACTGTGTGATCAATTTTTCTCCATTAACCTAATCCCTTCCATACAGTCACATCTGAACAACTATTTACATTCTCTTATGCTACGGGAAAACAGAATTCATGAAGCTCCTACAGACAGCCTGAAATCATTCTCTTAAAGAGATAGAGGCATGCTTCAAAATTTCTGGTTAAAGAATTAAAAACACTGGAGCTGGCAAAAGGGCTCAACTTGCTAATCCCCCACCTTCAAGCACCTACACCCCATAAGAGCACCAATTTTGTGTCAGCTGCTCTACTTCCCATCCAGCTCCCTGAGTAGGGCCTAGGAAAGCAGTAGAGGATGGCCCAAAGCCTTGGGACCCTGTACCTATGTGGGGAACATGCTCCTGACTCTGGATCGGTTCAGCTCTGGCCCTTGTGGCATTAGGGAGTAAATCAGCAGACAAAAAAATCTTTCTTTCTGTCTCTCCTACTCTCTGTAAATCTTCCTTTCAATTAAAAATAAATCTTTAAAAAAATTTCAAAAAATTAGTAACATTTCAGTTTGCATAACCAAATCAACATTTTTGAAATTAGCTAATAAGTCTCTGAAGAAAATAATTATGTCAGAAGATCAAAAACTCCTCCAAACCTGCATAAACTTACCTATTTATCAAATAAATTTGGGTAAGAGTCTGTCTCAGAAATTTTCACCCAGCACCATTTCACTCTAAGTCAAAGACAGGCAGGCACAGGAAAGCAGGCAGAGTCTCAAATCTGGACTTTGATTTCCTTTCCAAACAACTCAGAGCTTGGGAGGAACATTCCCTGAAGCCTCTACTGCACCACTAGGATAATCAGTATGCAAAAGTAATGAAACAAGTGAATGACTGGAAGGAAGATGCATGTGCCAATGATTTACTATATTCACATCAGTTTGGCTTCCCAGAGTGACCAAAAAGGATGCAGAAACTCAAGTGTCAGGGGGAAAAAATAAAAGAAAGCCATCACATAGTCTCGTGCTAAGAAACCAACTGACAGAATATGCATTCACAAAGAATACTGTTTCAGTGATGATTAGGAAAATAGTGGCTCCCAAGATTGAAAATGTAGAGAAAAATTAAAGATCTGAAAAGTTGAAGCAGAGGGCAGCTCCTGAGAATTCACTGTTTTCACTTTTAAGTTCAACCATCTCCAGAAACTACACATGAAAGTCACTATATTGTTTAGGGCAACATTTTGAAGCAAACATGTGCCCTTGTTCATGGATATCTATGAGAAGGATGCAAAGTAGAACGACAACACTGTAGAGAAAAGCAATACAGAGGAGATGATATCCAGATGAAACTAGGAAATCTAGATACAAATGCTACCTTTGCTTACTATTTATTACCAAAACTGCAAAAGTCTCTGAATTCTGGTTTACTTTTGAAACAACTAGGAGAAAGAATCCCTGAATTCTCTTCCTATTATCATACTATAAGAATGAGGGCATTAATGCCACGGTATCAGCATACATGCATCTGATACTCACTTGGACACATTGCCTACTACTATTGTTTTCTTTACAAAAAGCCGTGAAGTCTCATCTCCCGTGAGATCAGCATTCCGTGGATCTGTTTTATGAGAGCCGACAGCACTAGACGTGTCCTGAAAGAAATCACAATCAATAATCACTTTCTGTATGAACAGTTTCCAACAGGGTAAAAACAAAAAATATGAATGAAATGACTTTCTAAGTTGCAAAATTCTCTGGCTTTTTAGCACCTCCCAGACATAAAAAAAGTAATTTATTATAAATATTGCATTAGTTTATACAAAACACCTGCGAATCGTAATTCCATGTAGTTGTTAAAAAGTCATTTGTTTTGTATGCACACAATGCAAAAAAGACAAACAGGAAACTATTACAAAGATCATTTTTGTGAAATGGGAATGGAAATGATGCAGCGGTCAAAGGAATTTACTTTCTTTTCAGTTCCATAGTACTCCATAACTCAAACATTTTCTACAATTAATGAGCTAAGGTGTAATCTTGAGCAACCTCAGTTCCCTCACTGGGAAAATCAGGATGACTGTAGTAAACTTTCACACATGACTTTGTTTTATTCAGTTCTTAGATATCTGTTATAAAGCAAGTATTAAATGTTCATCATATAAATACATATATAAATAGCCACACATAGTACAAAATATTCAAAGCTTCTAAATCCTATGATTGGTCTGACCTAGATCAAAAAAAAAGAAAGAGAGAAAGAAAAACGTGCAACATTTTGCTCATGATTACATGATTAATATTCAATAGACAAACATTAAGCGTTCTGATTTATAAGTCACTCTTGTGACTCTTACAAGTGATTTCTTATCAGTGACTCTTCTATTCCTTTTTTTCTGCATTGTATTTTATAATTTATAATCAGGAAATAAAATTCATCAAATTCCTGAGATCCAAACATGCAGAAAACTCCCTCTAGAACCAAGCCCCAGGCAGAGAAAAACCAATGATTTAATCCAACAATGGATAATCAAATATTATTCCAAGAAATACAAAGTTAACTTGAAATGAGAGCTCAAGAAATAAACTAACAAAATCAAAGAGCAATAAACGGTTTCTTCTTCTGTTTATCATTCATCACATTTCCTTCACCCACTAAAGCATCTTAGAATATAAATTTTTCTTTTTAAAGATTTATTTCTATTACAAAGTCAGATATACAGAGGGGAGGAGAGACAGAGAGGAAGTAGAGCTGCTGGAATTAGAACTGGCAACCATATGGGATCCCGGTGCATTCAAGGTGAGGCCCTTAGCCACTAGGCTACGCCGCCAGGCCCAGAATATAAAATTTTATAAAGGAAACTGCTAAAGAGCCACTTTTCTTGGAAGACTATATATGATCGAGAGGAACAGCCTTGAGCAAGGACACAGAACTGACCATTTCTGAAGGTTTTCTTTCCAAATTTCATGAATGGCATCCAGAAACTATGTAATTCTAAAACTAGAAAGAACTAAGCTTCACTCTCACTTCTGATATTATTGGGTAAACACAACTTTAGAAAAAATATTTTATTTTCATCTAAAAGGCAAAGGGGCAGATAAATAGAGATTTTTGATTCACTGGCTCACTCTCCAAATGATCACAAAAGCCAGGTCAGGGCCAGGCTGAAGCCAGGAATTAGAAATTTTATCTAGGTCTCCATCGGGATGGCAGAAGCCCAAGCACTTGCACATCATCAGCTGCTTACAGGATGAATTGGCAGGATGCTGCACTGAGGTCAAGCAGCTGGGACTCCCACTGATATGAGACAGGGGACATAGGCATTCCAAAGGGCAGTTGAAAACTGCCACACCAATGCAGCTTTCAACTGATCAACACCCACCTTCTCCCTTTTAAAAGAAAACAGTGTATTTCCTAGGGTGCCTAAGGAAGTACGATGAGGTAATACTAATATATATATAAGATACTATATATAATAATATGTAATAGACACTAGATCCCCCCACCCACCACCATCCAACAAATACCCTTCCAGGATTTCGGCTTGGTCTCTGCTCCACGTGGTTTGAGAGTCTTTCTTCTATATCCAGATTGCTGTTATTATCTTTGTCAGATAAGAAGTCATTATGTTGAGATAAGGAATCACTTTCTGAATGATTGGCTGATGGTGTTTCTGATCTCTGATTAGTGGGAGATGAGGATCTAGATGGTGATTCCAAAAATTTCTTGATAGCAGGATGATTAAAAACCATTGTATCACATGTCTTTGACCCCTAGGGGGTAAAAAAATTAAAGGAAGCAAAGATTAAACACAACCCATCAAAAGTAAGCAAATATTTGGTCTTTCCAAAAAAGCTTATCTGGTCATCACAATCTCTTGATGCTTATTAAAATGAAGTTCAACTTTCTTTTAACATGGTCTTTGAACCAACAAAACAAAAACTAGAAAGAAAAATAATTACGCTAAAGTTTTACCACTAAAAGCTAAAGAAGTAAGGTCTTCTGGTGATAAGAATAATATATGCCAAATAAAATTTCACTTTAAAAAGGTCTCAAATCACTCTACACAGACACATCAACTGCTCTAAATAAAACATCCCTGTAAAACGGCTTTAAAGTAAGTAATAGCAATGTATAAACTTTTCCCTCTGTCTGGTACAAAGAGGCCCAGGGTGTTTTTCTGTATCTTAGCTACTTGCATACAAAATATAACACATTCTATTATTATGTGATACACTCTAGCTATGTTACTAGGAAACCCAGCTGTTAAAAAACTGCATCGTTAAAAAATCATTTTAGGGCCAAGCGTAGTAGCCTAGCAGCTAAAGTCCTCGCCTTGCACACGCCAAGATCCCAGATGGGCGCTGGTTCTAATCCTGGCAGCTCCACTGCCCATCCAGCTCCCTGTTTGTGGCTTGGGAAATCAGGCAAGGACTGCCCAAAGCATTGGGACCCTGCACCCACATGGGAGACTGGCTTCGGATCAGCACAGCTCTGGCCGTTGTGGCTGCTTGGGGAATGAATCAGCAGATGGAAGATCTTTCTCCATATCTCTCTTTATCTCTGTAAATCTGACTTTCCAATAAAAATAAATAAAAAATGCAAGACCCAGGGCTGGGAATGGGTTTGTAGGGAGACTGTGGGCACCTCTCTGATGGGCTGTACTTCCCACCGGTGCACATGACAACCAGGGCTGGGAGTGGATTTGGCAGGACAGGCAGTAGTACCTGCCAGCATGAGTGTAGGCTAGACAGTGGGTCATTTGGGTTAAACTAGGCTCCAGCACTCATTGGTGGGTGCAAAAGCCAAATGGGATACAGGATAGACTGGACCAGCCTGCTGTACTCACCAGCATGCACAGGAACCAGGGCTGTAGGCAGGCCTGGTGGGAGTTATTGGGGGTAGCGCTGACTGGGCTACAGTTCCCACTGGTGTACATGAGGGTTGAGTGTACGGTAGGAAAGGTTGGGCTGGACCACAGCATCAACTGATTTGTGTAAGAGATGGTGTTGGAGACAGAATTGACCCAACAACTGCAATCACCTCTATGGGTATAGGCTGATGTGGATGAGACTTAGCTGGATCTCATACTGACTAGAACACACAAGAGTCAGGTATAGGGTCACCTCAGACGAGGTTTCATTGGGGACACCCCTATAACTGAACCCCTTGGCTCAGAACTCCAACCACAGGGAAACTCGCAGGATCTGTGGTCTGACAGTGGAGTGCATGTGTCAGAACTGGGCCTCCTCAAATACTAACATTAAGCAGTAGATGGCACACCCAGAGGTACATGGAGGATATGGCAGTCTATTGAGGCCTGCAGAGGACATCTGGTACCATAGCAGAGGATGGAGGGTAGAACAAATTGGACAACTACCTCAGAGAACCTTAGACAGGAAATATCTGAGTGAATGGAGACTCTCAGGTGGATTATGTCAGCCAATGGACCTTGGAAGGATTTCCTCATCCTTGGCACAGACAGACAGCATTTCAGAACTATTTAAAACACTTGAGCAGAACCCTCAGAACATGTTCCACATTGGGGACCCTGGAATGACATCAGGTGACCCTCCCCCAAGCCCAGGTACTGATGTGGTTAGGATGCTGGGTGTGGCTTCTCCCCATCTCTCCTTCCCATCTCCCAGATACAGAAGAAAAAGAAACCTGGAAACAATGATCTCATCCTCTTATAATCCTCAACACTTTCTACCCTAATCAATGGTCCACATGGACATGCATCCTTCTATGTAAACACCATCAAAAATAAAATTTAAAAAAAAAAGGAAATATGCTAAAATTATCAAAATGTTAAACATTTTAATTTCAGTTCAGTCATATTACTTATGTTTGCATGTGGACAGACTGGCAGGATAAAAAGACAAGATACTTATTTATCACCTATTTGTCAAAAAATTAGGGGAAGAAAATGTTTCTTTGTTCCTGATTGCAATCACATTAACCAAATGATCAAACTGAACGTCACTTTCAGGACAGCCTGTCATCAATCTGCCTGTTGATGTGACAACATGAAGCACACAGCATGTTGTAAATATCTCTGCCAAAGATACTGATCCTAAATCTAATCAAACCTTTACACCTGAATTCACTTTCCAGAAAAAGCAGAGAATGAAGGAATAACCCAAGGCAAAATACAAAGCCAAAATTTATTCTATAAAATCAATCTCTTAAAAAAAAAAAGAAATAGGGGCCCAATGGCGTGGCCTAGTGGCTAAGATGCCAGGATCCCATATGGTTGCAGGTTCTAATCCCGGCAGCTCCACTTCCACTCTATCTCTACTCCTCTCTGTATATCTGACTTTGTAATAAAAATAAAGTAAATCTTTTTAAAAAAAAAAAAAAAAAAAAAAAAAAAAGAAATAAGGACAATGGCAGGGGCAATGTATAGGGCTTGTTCTAGGTTTAAAAGAAATTAGAGAAGGGGCCAGCACGGAGGCATAGCAAGTTAGGCCTCCACCTGCAGTGCTGACATTCCATAGAGGCACTAATTTGAGTCCTGGCTGCTCCAGTTCTGATCCAGCTCCCTGCTCAAGGTTGTAGTAATGAAAAGCTAACCAATACAAACAGTAGCATAAAAGAAAGCTTGTTACTAAGGCTAACATATGTCACAAAAGGACTATGGTTGAACACAATGACTGGTAAGTTTAGGCAGGCTTCTCAAATTCTAAAAGTCAATAAAAAAGTCTGACCCCAGCTGTAGGCAACTCTAGGTTGCCTTCTACCTAGACAAGTGTTATCTGCTGGGAGAAAAGCAGCCAGTAGCTGGTAGGCATTTTGGGCCTTGTTAGTATCAAACTTGTATTAACTATACCAGTGTCCAGCATACTTGCTCTTTTTTTTTTAATTTCAGATTTTTGAAGGTTTTATTTTATTTTTATTGCAAAGCTAGATATACAGAGGGGAGGAGAGACAGACAGGAATAGCTTTCGCCTGATGATTCACTCCCCCAGCGGCCGCAATGGCCAGGAGCCAGGAGCCCGGAATCTCTTCCGGGTCTCCCACATGGGTGCAGGGTCCCAAAGCTTTGGGCCGTCATCGACTGCTTTCCCAGACCACAAGTGGGGAGCTGGATGGGTAGTGGGGCCGCCAGAATTAGAACTGGTATCCATACGGGACCCTAGCACTTGCAAGGTGAGGACTTTAACTCCCATTAGGCTACAGCGCTGGACTAAAGGCAGGGGTGCTGTAGATTGTCCAGGGAAGGGAGTCAGGGATGTATTGGAGCAGGAGTAGCTGAGGGCATGTGGAAAGGAATGACTTCTGGGGTATTCCAAGAACAGGCCCCTGTACTCGCAGGTAGGAGGGAAAGCTGGGACATATTAGATGGAAAATTGGAGAACATACCTGCCTCAGGCCAAGGCACCTGCACATACAAGGGGATACCAGGGCTAGGCCAAATAGCATCATCCAATGAAGCTTGCAAAGGCTAGAGATAGGGGGCATGCCTGGCAGGCTTGTACTGAAAGCTAGGGGTGGTGACAGGTTGAGCCAGGCTGGACCACAGAACTCACCTGAAAGGAGCCCACCTGACACTCGCAGGAGCTAGGGCTGGGAGGAGGCCGGGAGGGACCAGGCTGTAGCACCCAACGGCACATGCAAAAAAGTTAGCACTCAGGTCAGACCATTCTAAGCAAGGCTGCTTCAAAGCTAGGAGCAGGCCTGATAGGAGAACCTGGGGAACTTGCCTGTTAGGATGCAGCACCAGCTATGGAGCATAAGAGTCAGGTTTAGAGGCAGGCCAGGTCAGGCAAGGCAAGGCTGCAGCACCTACTGTTACACAGGAGACCAGAACAAGGTGTGGGCTGCGCCTGGTTGGGTTAAGCTACAACACCTGCCAGCGAGTGCTAAGACTGTGGGTGGGCCATGCCAAACTGGGTCAAAGCACATGCCAGTACACATAAGGCCCAGTGCTGGGAAAGGGCCTTGTAGAGGAACTCTACTGACTTTTCTGCCAGGCTGCAGCACCCACTGATGCACTCATGCCATCATGGCAGGGCTGTGGGCAAGGCTATATTGCCCATCAGCATATGTGTAGGCTGGCTCTGTTCTTGAGAATCAGAATGGGTGTGGTATAAGGTAGGCTAAGTCACGGTACCTACTAGGTCACATGAGAGGCAGGTTTTGGGGTGGCCTAATTGAGGCTAGGCTGTAGCACCCATTAGTGAGAGCTAGAATAGGTATGGATCAGTCAAGGTTAGGCCGCAGTACGCACTGCTGAGTACAAAGACTGGGGACCGGTCATGTCAGTCTGGGTAGCAGCACTCAACAGCACACATGAGATCCTTTGCAGAGGGTGGGCCTGGAAAGGGAACTTAGAGAACTCTCCTGCTGGTCCACAGTTCTTGATGGAGCTAGCACTAGAAGCAGGCTGGACAATAGCACCCACTGACTGACTCCGTGTGAGTCAGGTCTGCGGGTGGGCCTGGCAGGGTCAGTCTACGGTACAGACTGACATGAAAGCCAGGATAGGGTGCAGACTAGGCCGAACTGGACTGCAACACCTGCCAGTTCACATGAGCACTGGGTGTAGGCCAGGCTGAGCTAGGCTGCTGCAGTTACTGGCGAGAGCTGAGACTGGGGATAGCTAGGCTGAGCCAGACAGTACTACTTGCTGCTGAATGTCGAGACTGAGGACTGAAACATTTGTCCCAATCACCTTGTGCCATACTTGAGCCTCTCCACCCTAACCAGAGGCCCACAAGGGCCTCTACATCTGTCAACTATGTAAATGATATTAAAAAGGGGAAAAAAACCTATGTAAATAATATTAAAAAGAAAGAAAGAGAAGAAAGAGAAAGAGAGAAAAAGAAATGTCTGAAAAGCAGGGAATCCACATTGACATAACTTTCCCTCACACAACAAAAACAGTGACTGGAGGAATACTCACCTCAGAAACTTTTAGAAGACCTGCAGAAGCGTAATAGTTTGCTACAATGCAGGCACGAAGTTTATCCATCATCCTTCTTGCTTCAATCAGTCGCTAGAAACAAATGATAATTTATTACTTTAAGAAAAAGGCAATAACAAAAGAGAAGTACAGATAATTCACAAAGTAAAAAAATGCAAGTGAAAGAGGATAACTTAATAAACCACAAAACTAAACGGAAATGACATTTTTTCACCTATTCAACTGGCAAAGATCTAAGAGGACAAACAATAGTTGCAAAGATATACAGATATCCTGGTATCTTCCCATGTATATTCACTGAAAAATAACCAGAGATGCCGAGTACAAAAGCAAAGAAGGATTATCTTTTGGGATGGAATTTTTGGTAATTTTAAAAATTCTGTACTTTCATTCAAAACATTAACAGTATTCTCGTCCCCTCCCCCAAACCCAAACAAAAAAGTTATTTTTCAAAGAATACTCGTAGTGGAAATGCAAAACATAACTATGGTGATAGACTTATTTTTGACAATTTGGTTTTTTTTTTATTATCGTTATACCTGGTCAATGACTTCAATTTCATGTTCCTTATTCTTCATTTCAAGAGCAAACTGTTCCTTAATAATAGTCTCAATCTTCTGCACGGCAGCATCTCGAGCTGCACAAAGAACATAAGATATACCCAAGGCCTAATTAATCAGCAGCTGTCCTGATTTAAGTCAGCCAGTAACAACAGAAACTCAGGAAATAGTAACTAAGAGCAGAAAACTAGCAGAGCTCACAGCAGAGAGGAAAAGCTGAGACCACTAAGATGGGGCAAAGTGACCCCGTGCTGTCTGACGTGATGCACTACAAAGATCACAACAGCACTGTGATGCTCCTGACAAAATGCACATCTACTCATTAATCAATGAACAAAGCATAATCAAACTCAAGCCACAAAAAAACATAAAATCAAACTCAAGCCACGGGGCATTATACAAAATAACCAGCCTGAACCATTCCAACATGAAAGCTAACGAAGACAAGAAAATGTTGAGGAGAATGAAAGACTAAAAGATTTGGCAATTAGACACTCTGTGTAGGGGCCAGAATGGAGGCATAGCCATCACCTCCACCCCATTTAAAGCAGGGTTCAAATCCCAAGTGCTGCACTTCCCAACCATCTCCCTGCTAATGCAATTAGGAAAGACAAACTAGGTACTTGGGCCCCTGTCACCCATGCGGGAGACCAGGACAGAGTTCCAGACTCCGGGCTTTGGCCTGGTCTAGCCACTGCTGTTGCAGTCACTTGGGGAGTGAACCAGCAAATGCAAGAACTCTCTTCCTCTTTCAAACTCCCTCTGTTTCTCTACCTTTTAAATTAATACCTACATATTTTTGACAAAAATAAGTGAATGCTCTGCGTGGTCTGAACTAAATCCTAAAGCCTGGGGGAAATAACTATATAATACAACAGCAAGGAAACATTTAAAAATTGCTTGTGGACCACAGATTAGATTACACAGTATAACAATGTTAAAATGTCTTGCCTGGGCCCGGAGGCATGGCCTAGTGGCTAAAGTTCTCACCTTGAATGCACCGGGATCCCATATGGGTGCCGGTTCTAGTCCCGGCAGCTCCACTTCCCATCCAGCTCCCTGCTTGTGGCCTAGGAAAGCAGTCCAGGACAGCCCAAAGCCTTGGGACCCTGCACCCTTATGGGAGACCAGGAAGAAGTTCCTGAATCCTGGCTTAAGATAGGCTGCCGGCAGCACCGGCCGTTGTGCTCACTTGGGGAGTGAATCATCGGATGGAAGATCTTCCTCTCTGTTTCTCCTCCTCTGTGTATTTCTGACTTTGTAATAAAAATAAATAAATCATAAAAAACAGCCTTGCCTTTAATAACAATATCCTGGCTATATAAAAGAATGTACCTAAAAAGAACGTACCTAAAAAATACACAGCAATATTTAGAGGTGTCCAAGTTATTCTCTAATGGTTTAGAAAGAAAAATAACATACTTCTTTTATCTGCACAACTGCACATACATGCATATGTCCATGGAGAAGGGGAGAAAAACAAATCAAATGAAGTAAAAAGGTATACAACTGGTGAACTTGCATGGAAACATATGTGTTTAAATTGTAACATGATAAAACTAGCAACAAATGAAGAATGAGAAAAAAACTCCATGAAGATCCTAAGAAATATTTGGTGACCTTTGAAAAACCATAGCATCAAATGTATATATAAACCTGCCATGCAAAATAGATTTCCCTAATCCAAAATCAAAATCTGAATCTTTTCAGTATCAATATAACACTACAAAAGTTGTGAGTTTAGGGATCCAGTGCGGCAGCCTAGCGGCTAAAATCCTTGCCTTGCATGAGCTGGGATCCCAGTGGGCACTGGTTCATATCCCAGCTGCTCTACTTCCCTTCCAGCTGCCTGCTTGTAGCCTAGGAAATCAGTCGAGGACGGCCCAAAGCCTTGGGACCCTGCACCCACATGTGAGACTAGGCAGAAGCTCCTGGCTCCTGGCTTCAAATCGGATCAGCTGAACTCCAGCCACTGAGGATACTGGGGAACAGAAATACGTAATTCTTGGGTATCTGCATATATAAACATCAGACATCATTCTTGGTAGATGCTGTTACACTATGGTCACTAAAGACTATCTTTTTTTTTTAATATAGTCTCAGAAATACCTCTAAATAAATTCTTTGATGGATAAAATGAAAACAAAACAATATCAAAATAGTACAAGCAACAAAAAAGCTTCCACCAAATCTAATTTGAGGAAAAAAATTCTGCTTAAAAAATGGTTGCCAGAATTAGGTGAAGTATAGAGACCCAAATGAAGAAAAGCAAATTGACCCTCCTTCAAAATGTACATTTTAGAATATATATTAAGTTTTGGAGGAAGCTACAGTGTTATTAAAACAATTGCAATTTCCTTTCTTATTTTTATTAAAAAGCTATGCTCATGAAGTTTTTTTTTTTTAAACTAAAGCATTTTCTTTTTTTAAAAGATTTTATCTATTTTTATTGGAAAAACAGATATAGAGGAGGAGAGACAGAGAGGAAGATCTTCTGTCCGATGATTCACCCCCCAAGTGAGCACAACGGCCGGTGCTATGCCGATCTTAAGCCAGGAGCCAGGAACCTCCGGGTCTCCCACACGGTTGCAGGGTCCCAAGGCTTTGGGCCATCCTCCACTGCTTTCCCAGGCCACAAGCAGGGAGCTGGATGGGAAGTGGTGCTGCCGGGACTAGAACCGGCACCCATATGGGATCCCAGTGCATTCAAGGTGAAGACTTTAGCCACTAGGCCATGCCGCCGGGCCCTGCTCATGAAGATTTTGACTAATTGACATAAGTTACATAACACTTTCATATCTATTTAACTTTTATTTAAGAGAATGCAATTTCTTCATAAATAAAAGTATAGGTGGAGTGAAAAACTGATCATTACTTTCTTTTTAATTATTTATAATTGGATCTGGGGCTGATGCTGTGGTGTAGTAAGTTAAGCTCCGCCTACAGTGCCCAAATCTCATATGGGTGCTTGTTGGAGTCCTGGGTGCCCCACTTTTGATCCAACATCCTGTTAATGCACCTGGAAAAGCAGCAGCAGATGTGTCAAGACCTTGGGTCCCTGCACCCACAGGGGGCACCTGGAAGAAGCTCCAGGCTCCTAGCTTCAGACCAGTCCAACTCCAGCCACTGTGGCCATCTGGCGAGTGAACCAGCAGAGAGAAGCTTTCCCTCTTTCTCTCCTTCTTTCTCTGCTATAATTCTGCCTTTCAAATAAAAATAAGTAAAGCTTGCAGCACTGGCTAATGTCTCGGCTGTTCCACTTTCAATCCAGCTTCCCGCTAATCCGCCTGGGGAAAGCTGTGGAAGAAGGCCCAGGTCCTCAGGCCCCTGCACCTACCTATGTAGGAAACCTGGAAGAACCTCCTGCCTCCTGACTTCAGGTCAGCCCAACTCTGGCCACTGTGGTCATTTAGACAGTGAACTAGTGGATGAAAGACAGCTCTCTCCCCCTCTCCCTCTATTTGTAAATCTACCTTTCAAGTAAATAATAAGTCCTAAAAAGAAAAAATTAATTATTTCTATGGATTCCCTTAACACACATTAAATAATTTCAATAAGTTTACTGTAAAAATATAAACATGGCTTTTTTTTTTTAGATAGTTCCAGAGCATTCTGGGTGAAGATAGACATGAAATATAATGCCCCCTAATCTTAATTTACCCATTAGTTGCATGTAGAAACTGAGCTAAATCAATGTTTTCTAAACTTCCATCATTCATATACCACCTTCAAAATACCTACCAAACCTGGGACCAATGTAAAACATTTGCTTAAATAGTATTAAATAAATTTTCCTTAAAAAAAGATTTGAGAACTATAAGGAGCAAGACAGAGAGAGATCGAGAGTCAGAGACAGACCGAGAGTCAGACAGAGACAAAGAGACAAAGTTTGAAAAAGAAAGCAGAGAAAGTCTGCTGGTTCACTCTCCACACGGTCCCAACAGTAGCAAGCCTGGAGCTAGGAAATCCATCCTGGTCTCCCATTAGAGAAGAGACCCAAGCACTGTGGCTGCTCTCCTCTGCCTTCCAGGCGCATCAGCAGTAAGCCGGATCTGGAGCAGAGTGGCTGGGACTCAAACCAGTGCTCTGATATAGAATGCCAGCATTACAAGTGACAGCTTAACCTGCTCCCCCAAACACCAGGCCAAATAGTATTATTAATGATTTTACCTTTATTTTAAGCAATCACAGCTATGAAACTACAAGTCTGATGAGATGATTTTCCTACACTCATTACAATGTTTGACTACAAAAAATAAAAAAATCTTAATCCAGGTATCACTTTTAATCATTTTACAATCATACCACACTGTGGTACACACTTTACAAGGCTCTGATCATACCTAACATTCAATGTTCGCAAAGACTTACAGCCTGGCTCATTACTGATGCACTCACTGTCTATGATTATATTTCCAAATCTACTGCCCTTTTATGTCACACATGGTGTACTGCTATTAAACAAACAATCTTAAATAGGAAACACATGTCAACAAAGAAGCAATTCTCAAAGTAGATAAATTTCTACCTGAATTCTCAATTGCTTTATGCCGTTTATTTGGAAGGGCCACAGATACATCCTCATAATCAGGGTCAGTTTCTTCGATTGTTCGCTTGATTCCAGACATGATGACACTCTGTAGTTCACTGTAAAGCAATGACAAATTCATTAATAGTACTGGATGACTCTACAGGTTCAAGTCCCAGCTGCTCACTTCTCATCCAGCTCCCTACTATATGTACCTGGAAAAGCAGCAGCAGATGGCCCAAATGCTTGGGCCTTTGCATCCACATGGGATAACTGGAAAGAAGCTTCTGACTTAGACCTGACCAAACCCCAGTCATTATGGTCATTTAAGGTGTGAATCAAGGATTTACTTCCCCCTCTTGTCTCTCCGCATCTCTCTGTAACTTTGGCTTTCAAATAAATAAAATAAATCATTAAAAAAAAAAGAAGAAAAAAAATTGAAGTAGTGACAAGGTGCTCTCTGCAGTGTTACTCAACAACACAAAGACACTAAAGAGTTCTATGATGATTTCCAAATATCTGCTCCACCACTAAGGGAGATTATTTACCTAACCAAAGGCAGAAATACATATTTATTTATTGAGATAAACTTTGACTCAAAACTAGAAAAACAGAACATTAGTTCAAAAGCTTTACATCCATTCAGAGTTGAAACAGAAGTAACAATTTAAAAGTCCTTCAGCTTGGTCTAGTTTTTCACCCATCTCAGAGACTCCCTTGATTCAGTTGGGAAATCATGTAATGATCTACAATTGCTCCTTGGTATGCTCAAGAGGACTGGCTAAACAAACCCTGCCTCCAGGATAATGAAAATCGAGGATGCAAACTTCCCTTAAATATGTAGTACTCCATATAACAAATGTATATATGCTTTATATGCATCTATGCCAATATACCTTAAGTCATCTATGCATCACCTGTAATACTATTGAAGCATTCATGTGATAAAATATTTATTAGACTATATTGTTTAGGAAATAATGGAAAGTGTTATATGCTCAGTATAAATGCAATTTCTCCCCCCAAATATTTTCAAGCAGAGGTTAGCTGAGTCCACATAGGTAGAATTCATGAAAACAGACAACTATATATGCAAATTATAGGCTTGAAAGAACCTTTTTTCTTATAACTGGTATCTTATGTAATACCACCAAACCTTAAAAGTGGTCTAGCAGCCATTAAAAAGAATGAAATAATACAATTTGCAATTAGATGGTCTCAACTAGAGACCATTATGCTCAGTGAAATAAGTCAAACCCAAATATCATGTTTCTCTCTACTTATAAGGAATCCATCATGCAAATTGGAATGTATACTGGCGGAGTAATGCAGACTACCATATCCAGATGTGAAGACACAATGCAATATGTATCTCTATTTTCAAACAAAAGATGGGCTCCCAATGAAAGTGCTGGACGTATATAGACAATAGGATGATGAACCGTCTGACATTGTCTGTACCAGCAATGTCATGGCACACTTAAATAACAGATTGATGGAATTGTAACTCCTTATGAAGAAATGTAATGTGTGACAATATGAGAAAAATCTATTGGGGGGGATGGAAATTGGGGGAAGGGGAATCCCAGACTATACAGAATTGTATGGTAAAATTCAAAAATTAAAATTAAAAAAATTTAAAAACTGGTATAAAAAAACCCCAGCATTTATATATATAAATATCCTAAATCAAGGCACTTAATGCCTATACAATGATTAGTCATCTGCAAAATTCAGAAAGTAACTGAAATCTTTTAGAGACAACTGGACTCCAGCTATTATTTTGTTTTCAAAGCTCAGAAAAAAACCGAAAGGACTTGTTTCTTTAAAATGCAATCAGTTTTAGCAACCTGAAGAAATTTGGAGTTCCTAAAAAGATCATCAAAATGACCATTAACTGATGACTAGACAAAGAAAATGAGGTATAGAGACATGATAGAATACTATTCAGCCATAAAAAATAAAGCCTGTCTTTCAAAACAGAATGAATGCAACTGGAACCATTATGCTTAGTGAAATAAGCCAGTCACAAAAAGCCAAAATCATGTTTCCTATGATTTGTGATAACTAACAATACAGAGTACAGAAAAAGTAATGTACATAAACGAAACGGACATCCTGAGATTTGATTGGTGTTTTATTGTTCTGTTTATTTTCTGGGGGAACAGATACCTTTTTATTTACTACTTGCTGAATTCTGTATTTAGTGAAGGGCTAAACTTTTAATTATGAAGCATTTCATTGCAAAAATTAAAACTAAGGAAGGAAAAGGGAGGGAATGGGTAAAGGTGGGAAGTACCATGTTCTTAAAACTGTGTATATGAAATACATTCGCTTTATATAAAATAATGAACTTGATTTTTTTTCATCCTTAATCCAAACAGGAATAAAAAATACCTCCTACTTGCAGCTAAACCTAGAATCAGAAAGATAAATCCAAGCCTGTTCTCACATCACACCATTCCCACTCGTCACGTCTTACATGGTTTGGCAAGAGCCTCATGGAATTATCTGTGAAGATGAGTCCAAGCCCAGCATCATCTTCACTTACCCATTTTATGAACTTCGCAAATCAGTTTATCTTCCCACTTCCAGAGTAACCTCAAGAACAGCAGCAGCTTGTTTCCAGAAAGCCTGGGGATCACTCACAAACTGTACTTATTTGGGCTGGTGCTGTGGTACAGCAAGTTAGGCTTTTGCCTGCAGTGTCAGCATCCCATTTGGGTGCTTTTGAGTCTTGGCTGCTCCACTTCTGATCCAGCTCCCTGCTAATGCGCCTGGAAAAGCAGAAGATGGCCCAAGTGATAGGTTCCATACAGGAGACCTGGAAGAAGCTTCTGGCTCCTGGCTCCACATCAGCCCTGCTCCAGCCACTAGGCTACTGGGGAAGTGAAATCATAGATGGAAGATCTCCTTCTCTCTTATTCTCTCTAAAGCTTTGCCTTTCAAATAAAAAAAAAACTTAAAAAAAAAACTAGTATTTTGTTATATTCTCTCTTAAAGGATAAAACAAAATTCTCTTCTGCCTTTTTCTCTAAAACTGAGGGGCTAGGCAAGGGAGGGGGAGAGAAGAATATTTGGTAGATCTTTGAGGATATATATACTTAAGCTTCCGAGAAACATGTTTCGGAGAATTTAGCATTTTGCTGAGTATGTTCCAGTTGTACTTCTGTAGTATGCACATGTCATGAGCAAGCACATGCTGGCTGAAGTGAGGCACATCTCACGTGCTTATCCTCACGTAGCATGGGAATGGGATGTATAACAAAGGACCCCCAATGTTTTCAATTATTTTGTCTGATTTTCGGTAGACACTGTCAATTCAACTTTGAAACACTAATTATCTTTAGAAACAACTGAAAAGAAAAATGATGAGACAGTATATGAACTACTGAAAAAACGTTTGTTTTCATTTGAAACTTGTCTGCAGGAACGAATCATTCTCCCCACTATGGGACAAAAACCAAAATAAGAGATATATGTAGGGCCTGGCACTCTGGCATAGCAAGTTAGATCGCTGTCGGGAGTGACAGCATCCCACTTTGAGTCACAGCTGCCCCACTTCTGAACCAGCTCCCTGCTAATGGCACCTGGGAAAACAGCAAAAGACAACCCAAGTGGGAGACCTAGAAGAAGCTCCAGGCTTCTGGATTCAGCCTCACACAGTCCCGGCTATTGTAGCCATTTAGGGAGGAAACCAGCAAATGGAAGATTCCTCCCTTTATCTCTCAGCAACTCTTTCAAATAAAACAACTACATCTGGGCCCGGTGCAGTGGCACAGTGGTTAAAGGTCCTCGCCTTGCACGCCCGGGATCCCATATGGGCGCCGGTTCTAATCCCGGCAGCCCCGCTTCCCTTCCAGCTCCCTGCCTGTGGCCTGGGAAAGCAGTCGAGGACGGCCCAAAGCTTTGGAACCCTGCACCCACGTGGGAGACCTGGAAGAGGCTCCTGGCTTCGGATCGGCATAGCATCGGCCGTTGCACTCACTTGGGAAGTGAATCATCGGACGGAAGATCTTCCTTTCTGTCTCTCCTTTCTGTATATCCGCCTTTCCAATAAAAAAAATAATAAAAATAAATCTTTAAAAAAAAAAAAAACAACTACATCTTTAACAAAGGAAGAATGGAAGGACCGATTATACTGTTACAATAAAAACACTGTCATGCATTTCTCCAAACTAAACTTTTTGTCAACAAAGCAGCCTCATTATAAAAAGCAAATACTGTTAATTAAAACTTTCATCTTTCTAAACAAGTCTGCATTTTTAACAAATGTTAGAAAGGTCTTAATGTGTTATATTTCTAAATAAATCCCAAGAGAAAAATAATTTCTTTTTTAACAAGAAAAGTAAATAATTAAAAACATTAACATATTATGTATAGTCACTGGAAAATCTAAAAAGGTTTTACTTTACATATCAACAAAGATCTTAGAAACGCCTCATCATGGGCCCAGTGTGGTAGCCTAGTGTCTAAAGTCCTTGCCTTGCACACGCTGGGGTCCCACATGAGCATTGGTTCGTACCCTAACAATCCTGCTTCCCATCCAACTCCCTGCTTGTGGATTGGGAAAGCAGTTGGGACCGCCCAAGACCTTGGGACCCTACACCCTTATGGGAGACCCATGGTTCCTGGCTTAGGATTAGCTCAGCTCCGGCCATTGCAGCTATTTGGGGAGTGTATCAGCAGAAAGAAAATCTTTTGTCTCCTTCTTTCTAAATCTATCTTTCAAATAAAAAGCAATAAATCTTTTTCTTTAAAAAAATCATAAAAATCTTATTCTCCTGATCATATGATCCTCTGCTTGAAACCTTCCAAGGCTTCCCACAACACTCGAATCAACTCACACTCCGTGATGTGACCTGCAAGACCGGACATGAACTGTGCTTGGTCTCCCTCGCCAGCCTTAGTCTTTAAGATCCAGACACGCTAGGCTTGTTTCCTGCTCCTAAATCAAATCTTTTCCCTTTGTAGCTTTTAGGCTTACGTCTTTCCTGCTTGGAATACTCTTCCCCTGGGTCAGTTTTATCAGATTCCATCTTATAGAGGCCCTACCTGAATACCCCAATCACACCCAGCTCCTCCTATATTCCCTCTCAGGTTCTCTGAATGGACAAAT